ACACCTACAACTACTAAATATTAAATCGAAATCAATGACAGATTTGTAAAGTCAAATTAAGTAGACTAGTTTGTACTTTAAATATTATATCATGATTAGAGCGAAATATAATTATTTCTTGCATAACAATCTCACCCGTATCGAAAATATTTATGTACCTGCATTCGCTAATGCAACTGCAAAAATAATCCCTTGTTTCAAAGAATGACATTTCTACTCTCCGGCTATTTATATTCAAAATATCGATCATTCGTCGCGCGATTCTTTTTATAAAATTTATCCCGAGTTGATCTTCAAATACCCTCTACGACCACATTCTTTTATTATAATAACTTTCGTATAAGCCATTTTCTTGTATAACTCATCGCTTGGAAGTTATTCAAGGTAATCGAGTTAGGTGTCTCATCCTGCATATAGCGGCACGAAACAAAATTACACAAACTCAGAAATCGAATTAGTCCACGTTAGAATTTGAAATGGTAGTCATTCTTTACATATTTTAGAGATAGGAATATACGAAATTTCGCGAAGGCGTAAGTCATGCATCGGAAGGGTTAATAAGTAAAGAGCGGTTGTCCAGTTGACCCATTCCATATCACTCATACGTATGATTTTCCCAGGTGTTGTTTCGCGACACGTGTCCATTAAAGTCTCAATGTCAGCGAATACAGAGGCACGTACTGCGATGAACCGTTCTGCTCTGTTCGCTGCTTTTATCGAGTATTATCGTACGACATGAGCCCTGCGCGTGAAAACAGCCAAGGCTCGCGGGACTGGTTCTTCTCTTTCGACGATGTCCTCCTCCTCGTTCTGCGTCGAGTTTCCAGCAACACGCTTTGCTCGCCTTTGCTCGCCGGTCATCGTTAGCGACAACTTGCCGCGTGCGAAATGCTCGCGCGACCAAATCATCGTTCAAGGCGCCCTTGAAGAGAGTTAGCCTTTGTCTTATCACAGCCAGCTTGCGCCAGGCATCAGCCTTGACTTCGCCCCTCTTTTTACTCCTCTACTGACTGTGCTGCGAAAATCGACCGACAGCATCTCGCCTGCGAATTATCGACGCTTCTTGCTTAAAGAATATCCTACGGTTCTTACGTAGAGGATCGATCGAACACGATTAACCCCTGCAATGTCACGCTTGACACTCGAATATATTTTCGCTGCAATTTTTTACTTCAATTCCGATTCTAACCAAGTACATTTTAACCCCTTGCACTATGACTTATTTGTCAAGTCAGTCAGAACTGCCCAATTAAGCTACAACGTTAAAATAGTCAAAACAATTGAAATGTTATTTCAATATGTTATTATTCAATTGTTGATTATACAAATTATAATTGGACTTGAACTCCTAATTGAAGCGTATTCAAAATTTGAGTAAAATTGATCACGGCCGAGGTACGAGTGCGTCAGAGTCAGACTCGTCAAAATAATGCAAGGGGTTAACTTTCTTCGATTGTTTTTACTTGGAGGTACAATTAGGTAGCAGTATATGACTGTCCACATAATTGTAGCTTAGGGGATTAAAGCTTCATTTGAACGATATAAGGGATCTTACAAAATTGTGCCTGTTATATTTCGATAGAAAGAACGGTAATAGATAGAATATATTATAATGACGATCGTAATCAGTTTATCTAATTGAAAGTGGTGTGGCACTGATACGGCAGTATTATCTGAGACCTTCAACTATCCCATAATCCCCGATTATCTGTAATCGTGAATCGTATAGGAGATAATCGATTAGTCGATACTCCGATTGAAATTTAAGTGAAACGTAGAGGTCTGCCTCCATTTTTCTCCGCTGTCAGATCGATGCATTTCGCTGTGGGGAATTTCTGCGAGTTTTCCGGCGGCAGGCCTCGTCCGGTTTCCGATTTCTGTCGACGATCTCGGGTTTCCCGTCTTCCATCGTCCCCGTTTCTGTCGGAACGAGATAAAACCACGAACCTCGAGTGACCAATCGACGCGAATTTATTATATTTATCTATCCCTCTTTGTCGACGATCGAAACGAAAAATTTGTACTTTCGCAAGTCTGAAATTACTACTATAAGAACGTTGTAAAACTACCCGAAAGAAATATATTGTTTGAAAAAGTAAAGTTCTTGAAATTGAAACTTTGTTCGGTGGAGAATTGTTCCGCGGAGCAGAACGATGGAAAAGAAAGAGGTGGACCAGAGTTACGAAAGTCCAGAGAGTAGCAAGAATAAAAAGGGATTTCGTAAAATCGATTCCATAGAAACATAGCGACGTTCGTTCACTGTAATTGCGTTGTTTCGACTTGGTATAGGCGGTTTTCACCTAACTTCCTCGTTTTCACCAGTGAACACTGTTCTACTTTCCCCTGGGCTCTCGAGGCTGGCCCACGCCTCCGCTGTTCAACAGATTCGAAATCACTTGGCTCGATTGACAAAATCACCACTGTAAATTGCTTTCCTTGTTTCGTGCAGATCCGGTAATTAACTTCTAATGGACTAGAAATTTCTTTACGTAAATTGTAACAGATGTGCGTTAAGTCGTGCTTTTTTATTGTTGTTTGCATAGATAACTGATACACGAATTTCGTGGAGTAAGTGGTTCGGAATTAAGATAAAATCGTTATCTTTGGCGAAAATGTCCCTCGAAAGACCGTATTGCGTCCTCTTCCCCTTTCGCTCGACGCTTCTGATTGTATCTAGCGCAAAACGTGGGAGTAACGTGGAAGTGAAAGTTAGATCAACGGATGGCGGGGGACATGGTGCAAAAGGCGCCAGTTAACATGTCGACGAATAAGAGGTTCAACGAATGGATGTATCACGGTATTCTACCGTTTCAAAGATCTTAACGTTCATTTGCCCTCTTGTTACTTCCTTCATTATCCATGGTATCGACGTTAACGATATTCGTATTAAATAATTTGTCGTAGTATTTTCAAAATTAGCGGAATGGTTTTCAATCACCTTTTTATCATGTTCTATTAAAACCGTAAAGCCGCTAGAAACCGATGAAAATTAGAAAGTCGATGAACGTAGTGAAATTAAGATTTCTTAGTTGTTCCAAGTTGGCTACATTCTGTGAAAATTAAATTCGTTGGCAAAAAACGATGTTGCGCCGTTTCGTGACTCGACGTCGATTTCCAGCTCGAGGGAAATGCGAGGTACTTTCTCGAATTGTCTTTCACCGGGCCGATACGAATTTCCCATCCTTTTTCATTTAATTCGATCGCGTTTCAGTCAGGTAAAAGCGACGTAATCGCGAGATTTCTCTTATCTGCTCGTATACTTTTGCCGCTCACAAAGAGCCTGCTGAAAAGTGAAAGGGGAAAATGAAGCTGTTTTTCGATCGTTCAATACCCGATCTCCTATCAGGATTAAATCGCATATACAAACTCTTTCCAGAAATAAAACGGTAGAATTTATTTAACAAATTCAGTCATTATGAAACCATTAGTAGTTCCATATTGAGCTAACGTGATACGTAATAGAATTTAACCAACAGTCCAATGTCGCTGACTCATGGTAGTTGAATGTTAACATAATTTATTTTTAGTTTCTTAAATGCTCGGGGAAATCTCGAACAAGATAATTTCCATACAATCACGTTTCGTTGGAAAACACACAACATCCGTTTCGGATGCGGTTTCGAGACAGATAAACTTGTTATCAAAAGAGGATTTACCTTCTTTCGGTATCGTGGCTAACCATGTATTCTTTTTCCGTCCGAACGCCTGTTGCGCGTACTGACAGTCGAATATGTAGTTCACCTACGTCTGTTAATATAACCGGAAGCATTGTTCTTTGGAAGGGGATAAACACTGATATTAATCCATCCGGTGTCGCAGTCGTTTGGCAACCCTTTCGATTAACGCGTCTCCTTTTACTCGGTAGGTATACGTCAGTGTATTCCGATTTAGCTTCAAAATTTCGAGACGTTTCAAAAAGCTATACCTTTTCTAAAGTTCTTCGTATAAATCTAGACTTGCAAAATTTGTCAAGAAGGTATAATTCCACGTATCGCGATTGACCGGAGAACATATTGAACTTGATAGTATCCTCAGCCAGAGCCGTAACCGATTCAGTTCCGTTATCGTGTCAAAGTATCGACTGTCCGATCGGTCGATAAGAGTCGAAAGGTTAAGACGAGACTAGCCACGGTTCCTCGAATGGCTAGAGGCAAGCTTCGCAGGTCCGATGAACCTGCGAGGCTAATGTACTCGACTCGATGATGCTCGAACAGTTCCGTACTTGGCGCACGTGAGTACCATCGCGTGCCCTGCATACCCTTCTTTCTTTCGTCTTTAGTTTTCTTCTTTCTTCTGCCTTCGCTGTTCCCTTATCCACCGCTCGTTCTCGCGCATCCCTCCTTCATCTACCCCTTTTCTTCGGCTCCCCTCCGAGACTCGTTCACGTGTTGTTGCCGCTCGATCAACCGTCGACTGACCTTCGTTTCAACGATTCAACGAATCTTTTGATCAGTTCGACCTCTACATTCATTCCATTTGCTCGATATTATCTTCCTTTCGTTCGCCATCTTTTAAATGACTGCGGTAAGGTCAACCGATGGAAATACGGAGTTTCTGGGATTTTGTGTTAGTATCATCGATACTTATTTCCATCTTCGATAGTAGCATTGATCAGCATTAATGTTGCTAACTTTATTTAGTATTAACGTTAGTCATTTTTGCATTAGCAATCGAAATATTAAAATATAGCAATTCGGAAATAAGGTACTATCTTCGAATACCAGACAGTTATTTACAGATGAGTCCTTCAATCCTTCAAGTCCTTATCTGAGGACTTCATTCATTTATGACCGAAAGAGTTGAAACACCTTCCCATTCACGAAGTCGCGAATTAGAAATAATTATAGGCTCGTATTCGCGAATAAGCCTTATCGAACTGTTTGGTCCTGTAATTATTTTGTTCGTATCGTGATACCGGGCAGAAAAAACAGCGTAATTTTAGCAAGACCACGCGAACTGAAAATAACCTGCTAATCTTTAGGTGTATTTTTGTGTTACAGACTTGCGGTGAGCGACTGTGCGCCTCAAACGTCGCGGGTCAGCTCAAACTTGCACAGCAGCAGTAGTATGGCAGTAAGTCGTGTACCAAGCCCTCCACCACCGGAAGTGAACACCCCTGTGGCAGAGAATTGGTGTTACACGCAGGTACGCACCTCCATATTCTTCTCCGAATAAACTTTGATACTTTAACAACTTTTTTTCTTTTATTTTTTTAATAAACCTCGAAGGTTCCTAATGGCGTAGCCGAAGAAGTACATTAGGGGTTAGCTTATTTAGGTTAATATTAAGTTTGCAAATAGGTACCCTACCATTAAGACTTCGCAAACTTTAATTTACCATAGTCTCAAAGCTTCAGAATTGTCTAAAGAAATCCCACTACCACCGACTCAGAAATCAAAATAAGAACCACTTGATCTAATAGCAAATTCGGTCAGGGTTCGAAGGCCTCCTTATTGCGTCTACGAGTCCCAATGACTCTAGGATAGAATTCGCGAATTTTCATGGGAAAAGCTCGAAACGTTTCCATGCGTGAGTTAGAGATGAAGGGAAGGGAGGAGAGAAGAAGAGCGAGATATCTAGTTGCAGGTCATTCACATCGCGAGGGGACGAGTAGTAAAAATAGAACAAGAGCGCCAGGAGCGCGTGCTCTCACGCACAACCACGAGGACGATCATATTGACGAAGAGTTGGTCGAAATCGATGATCCAGAAGGATATTGGACCGTGTAATTTTCTCGTACATAATCGATCTTCCATGCAAATCGACTTCGAAACATCTTCAGGCATTTGGAAAGATTCGGGTCGGAGATTTAACCCCTTGCGCTATTTTCAAGAGTCTGACGTACTTTGGCTGTGATCAATTTTACTTTGAATACGCTTTTGAAGTTCAGATCCAATTTGCATACTCAACGATTGATACCAGAAAGTTTCCACTTTTTTCCTGAGTTTTAATTTTGTACCTCTGTTTAGTTAGTTTTGACTGACTCATCTGACAGATAGCAAGGGGTTAACGTGATCTAGGATCCTATCAGAATTGATCCCAAGCCGAGTGGCCTTTGCAAATTATTTCATTTTCAAATTCCATGGCCAGTTTCCAAATGGGACACCCTGATAAGCAGGTTGCGAGAGAATGGAGGTTCGGCTGTAATTCGAGCGCGCTTTCTACGCTTTTATCGAGCCCATCGATCGCCGCTACCGCGAGTTACGACAGATTGAACGGCGATGGTGCGCGCGCGATTGCTGCACCAGGCTCTCGGTTGCTGCTGACGAGGCGAAATCGGCGTGCATTACGAAAGTTAACTGGAGCACGAATCGACTTTCGATTCGGTGCTGAAGAGGGGTCTCTCCAGTCACCGTGTGCTCTCCTGAAAACCGAGAGTACTCCTCGATCACCGCAACAAATACGCTCCCGGTTTTGCTTCACGCTCTCGAACCCGCTTAGGTACTATTACCTTATGCCCGAAACACCCACCTCCCTCAATTACTCTCAGGGTACACGACTTCTTATTCATTTATTCCTTTTCTTATTTATTTAGTTTCGTATATTTTTTAAAAATTCAATGAAGAATTTTTTGAACCGTAAAGGTACAAGGAACGATATCTTAATCATGTGCAGTGGTACATCAAGGTGTAATACATGAAATATTTAAAAAAAAAAATTGTGCACAAGTTGCTCGAAACTTTGTAACAGATCGGCAATTATAGAACGATAGATAGATTTGACGCTATCGTTCTGAATCATCCAGATAGCCATCTGATTACCGCCTCTGATTTACGCGTATCTCGAGACACGTGTTCGCGTCAGAACGAATCACGTGTCGCAGCAGGACGCGAGCACACCTGTTCGGGTGAAGAACCGTAGATCGATTTTCGCGCGACCGATTGTTCAGGAACGATCGTTTACCTTTGTAAGGTAGGTGCATGCTCGAGCAGCGTGTCCAGGATTCAACCGGAAGCCTCGACTTGGTCTGCTGCTTGAACCCGCGCACGCCGCTCCCGTAAACGGGCACGGGTGGTGATCTAGGATCCTATCAGAATTGATCCCAAGCCGAGTGGCCTTTGCAAATTATTTCATTTTCAAATTCCATGGCCAGTTTCCAAATGGGACACCCTGATAAGCAGGTTGCGAGAGAATGGAGGTTCGGCTGTAATTCGAGCGCGCTTTCTACGCTTTTATCGAGCCCATCGATCGCCGCTACCGCGAGTTACGACAGATTGAACGGCGATGGTGCGCGCGCGATTGCTGCACCAGGCTCTCGGTTGCTGCTGACGAGGCGAAATCGGCGTGCATTACGAAAGTTAACTGGAGCACGAATCGACTTTCGATTCGGTGCTGAAGAGGGGTCTCTCCAGTCACCGTGTGCTCTCCTGAAAACCGAGAGTACTCCTCGATCACCGCAACAAATACGCTCCCGGTTTTGCTTCACGCTCTCGAACCCGCTTAGGTACTATTACCTTATGCCCGAAACACCCACCTCCCTCAATTACTCTCAGGGTACACGACTTCTTATTCATTTATTCCTTTTCTTATTTATTTAGTTTCGTATATTTTTTAAAAATTCAATGAAGAATTTTTTGAACCGTAAAGGTACAAGGAACGATATCTTAATCATGTGCAGTGGTACATCAAGGTGTAATACATGAAATATTTAAAAAAAAAAATTGTGCACAAGTTGCTCGAAACTTTGTAACAGATCGGCAATTATAGAACGATAGATAGATTTGACGCTATCGTTCTGAATCATCCAGATAGCCATCTGATTACCGCCTCTGATTTACGCGTATCTCGAGACACGTGTTCGCGTCAGAACGAATCACGTGTCGCAGCAGGACGCGAGCACACCTGTTCGGGTGAAGAACCGTAGATCGATTTTCGCGCGACCGATTGTTCAGGAACGATCGTTTACCTTTGTAAGGTAGGTGCATGCTCGAGCAGCGTGTCCAGGATTCAACCGGAAGCCTCGACTTGGTCTGCTGCTTGAACCCGCGCACGCCGCTCCCGTAAACGGGCACGGGTGATTCAAGGCCGATCGTCGACGACCGCGGGTTGAACGACTCCCGGGGCGTCGACCGGGCCTTCTGTCGTCCTTCTCGCACCGTCGTCTTTTCTTCTATGCGGAAACACACCGAAGACGATGAACTTTGTGCCTTTTCCCGACGATCCTATCGTTTCCGCCGATTCTCGCTCCTCTCGGTTACTCGATGTCCGAGTAGAAACCCTTTCAGAAATTACCTTTCTACCTCTGGAAGTCTTCTCAATTTTTAAAATCTCCTTCTAAATTGTATGTGAACATTTTTATGAAAATCTCGTACGACTTCCTCGAATCCGAAGGATAATCCCTCTGACGCAATACGAAACAAAAGAATATCGAAAAGAGAATTATCGTTTCAACATCCACGTGCGTACGAAGCGCTAAAAGGCGTTCGAGTGTTTATAACGAATTTACGAGCACCAATACAGTCGATGTTAAATCTCTTTGATGCAGCTAAGAGCCTCTGCAGAATGTTATTTCATCTCGAAATAGCTTACGAGTCCTCCTTGGAACGATGAATGATATCTGTCGGTTCGAAACGTTGTTTATTCCGATTTCTCGAGGAAACTTCTTCGAATTTTATTTCAGCCATAATCGAAGCGCCTGAATCAGCTGACTCACTCGAAACGAGCTGCGTAAATTACAAAAATGGATAGTTGGGTAGTTTGTCCGTGATCAACGAGACACCGATCTTTGACCCAGCTTGTTCATGAAACGCGTGATTCAAGGACAATTATGAGCGATCATCGCGGGTTGAACGACTTCGGGGCCATCGACCGTACACCTCTGGTTCCTCGTTGCCTCGTTCCAAGGAAACGAACGAATCATATCGATATTCTCTCCCACCTGGATAGTTTAACAGTACCCGAGACCCGGTTAACAGTATCTGCGTATTGGCAGATGACACTACATCTTTTTCATCTCTTTCGTCGTTAATTGCTACAAACACTTCTCGTGAATTTTCATAGATAGATCAGAACATTTAATAAATTTGAAATGGAGCTTGGTGGTAGAAGTAGACAAGTTTAATACTAAACCTACCATGTATACTTAGAAGTTAAATTTGAAAAATAAATATACAAACAATGAAACGTAAACTAGTACATTTATTCTTTATCTCGTTAGAAATCAATACTGATTTCAAGGAATGTTCTTTAACAAAATGTGTACCTGATAATAAGAAACTTGTGGAGCAGTCATTTGATGACCGGTTTGGTAGTGAAAACGACACATTGATTCCACGCTGTTTGCCCGATGTAATTGCCGATCGAATTTTACAGCATTGTCGTCCGCAATTCTGACGTAACAAATAGAGGGTCACTGTGCGAGCACCGTGGTTAACGAAAGGAATACACATGAACCTCGTATTCGAGGGGATCAATCAAACGTGTAGGCAGACTTGGATACCGTCCAACACGTACTATTACGTGGAGGATACGGAATTAGATTCGAAAAATAATGCTATTCAATGTGTAGAGCAGTCGAGTTTTAATAACGCGTCACCCATTTTATCTATTCGCTCATTTTATCAATTACACCGATCTTATGAGTTAGCACAAATCTTCTACTGATAAGTCCGATAAATCATGTAACTAGTAAGCTGAATTTTTGCTGATAATTACAAAGAACCAAGTAACCGTACGATCTAAGAAAATACGATTCTCGAGAAACGTGTACCGTAAACGAAAAATCTGACGGCATAAAGAAGAGGAAGCTTGTGAACCAAGCAACCACGAAATCATCGTAACGTGCAAGTCAGATCCATAAAAAGGTTGAGTTTCATGGTTCACATGGAATGAAGAAACATTTTCCAACCGTGAACCGTCATAAGATGTAACTGGTTACCAGATTACACGTACAACAAGCGTACATTGAACTTACGAGATAGCCACCGAAGGTCACGCCAAAGTATGAGGATCATCGAACCCGGGTGTGTACACGCGAGCGCACCAAGTTTCAACTGTTAACCCGTTTAGATCAAACGAGTTTATCAATGTTGGACAAAAGTTTCAGATATTTCGAAACGTTCGATAAACGTGGAAAATAAAAAATTATTATGTAAATTATTGTTGAAATATTTTATAAGTTTCATGAATCTCTGCTAGATAATCTGTATCTAAAATCATGATGCAGCTAATATCAAAAGATTCGATGAAAATTTGATCGAGAGGTTACTGTAATATCTTCCACATGGACGATAAGGGTTCTAGACAACCAGAATTCGACTTTGATCTCAAGTTGGTTCACCAAGGTCGTGAACAGACGTGACGTCAGGGATCGTTGACTCCTGGAGGCTCGACCTCGGTTCCTTCCTCTTCCACCTCCTATTTGCTCTATCTTTTCCCTCGTCTTCCATTTACTTGGTCCACCTTTCACGAAAACCGTGTGTCAGTCGGAAGTCCGTGTCTTCGTCACGTTTTCAAACGGAAACAGTTCGCGAAACGGAACCGTTCGCCACCTTTCATGCAACTCGTTATGCAACCGATTATCGGTGACTTTTTCTTAGTTGCATAAGATAAAAATTATATTGGACATCGAATTATATGAATTTGTAGGAATAGGGCTACTGAACTTACTAGAAAACCTTGTGTTTAAAAGTTCTCCGTCTCTTATTTCTTATATATTATTCATAAATCCTCCAAATGTTAATATCTCCACCTTGACCGAAACCCATTAAAATTTCCAGCCCATGAAAAAGTAAGCGTTAATTAATCGTCCTGAAAATGTTAATGAACGTTGAATTTTGTAACGAAACGTAGAGTGACTTTTAATGCCATCTGAAACCCTGGTGCATATTTGAAGAGCGACAACGTGCATCGTAAAGGTTAATTCCTTTTTCTCTCCGCGCTTTTTTTTCGTTTCAAGGTAATTACGTAAGAGATAGAAGTTCAATTTGACCCTGGCTCTCTGTCCTCTCTCTAGCACGTGCTATCGTACTTGTAGTACTTCTCCCAACTGGTCTGTCCGCTAACTTACAAGGCCATGGATCAATTTAGTCGTACGAACCTTCCTCTCGAAAAGAACTTCTACGGTTGACTATGTTCTTTCTCTTGTTTTCGAATCACGGGACGAAACTAGCGAACAAATATATCCGAGGACGTGGAAACGCTTCTCTGTGTATGCTGTGTACACACACGTATAATCGTGTGCGTTGTTTCAAAAGGACGTACACATTGTACGTGCGTCATTCTTCGTTATCATCTAATAGTAACGTTGTACGAACTTGACAATAGACCGTTGGCGGAGTTTCTGATTTCAAAATTATTTTCGAGACGGTTTCTGAGGAAAATTGGGACGAGAAATTCGTCAACGATCGCTTTATTCGAATTATGACAACGAAATAGGTATCCAAACCTCTTAGAATCCACAGACTGGAACTAGTCAAGTATTTCTGATTTGCCAAGTATCCAAATATCTCCAATATCCATGAATATCCTCTCTAGAGGTACCCAATACGATACCCAATGAGCTAAATGTCCACATGTATTTTCAAACACTTCAGATCTAATTGGGTAAGAATTTCTAATTGTGAACGAGTATGGTAATTGAACAAGAAAAGAACCTTGGTACGTTGTTAAAAGGCGTAATAATAGAGGAATAATTCGAACGAAAATTTAGGTAGCCTTTAGCGTAGATAGATTAAGCTAGCTTCCACGAGATATATTCTGACGTGGTGTCGCATTTGAAGGTCTTATGTGCACAGGTGAAGGTGGTTAAGTTCAGCTACATGTGGACGATAAATAACTTCAGCTTTTGCCGCGAGGAGATGGGAGAAGTGCTGAAGTCGTCCACGTTCTCGGCTGGGGCCAACGATAAATTAAAATGGTAAGGTCGCGGCTAAAGATTATGGCTATTACGTTGCGCGTGCGCGACCGCCACCTGAACATATTTTTCCTTTTTTTCACGCGTGCAGAATTAAAAACTATTTCGATAAAAAAATTGTTTAAGATTCTTTGCATTGCATACCAACTTGTATACACACACACGTACATATATGTATACATGATTTTTTGCGAGGTATCGTCTCGAACATAACTTCGATCATTAACTTTGTTGATAAAAAACGAATAGCTAGTAGCCAAGGCTGCTTACTAATTATAACACCTGCAATAATCGAATTAATACTTCCAGCATTTTTACGTTGATTTATCGATAAACGGTTGTGCAAATATATATGCAATAAAGTTTCTTAATTTGTAAATTTGAACGTATAGTTTCAAGTTTGCAAAGTAACAAATCTCCGTCGTTGACATACCTTCAGCCCTTTGTCCTTAAAAAACTAACTCGATTAAAAATTTAATCATTTCTGTAAATAAAAGCGATCGTTAACGAAAGCTCTAGGGTATAGAAAAATGAAAAGGAATTTACATCATCGGTAATAATTGATTTTAGGTGCCTAAGAGTGAATCCTAAGGGTCTGGATGAGGAGAGCAAAGACTACCTGTCTCTATATCTCCTTCTCGTTTCGTGCAACAAATCCGAAGTCAGAGCAAAGTTCAAATTTTCTATTCTTAATGCCAAAAGAGAAGAAACCAAAGCAATGGGTAAGTCTGAATCATGCGAAACGGATGCAATGCAGGGTATTTTAAAGATTTTCATTTTTGTCTCTTCACGTTGACAAATCGTACATTACATATTTGTTGAATCCAGATAATTTTTTTCTCCATTTTCTAACTGTACAAGTTGAGCACATTTAGTATTTATAGTAGAACTCAAATAGGTTTGTCAGTCAAAATACAGCTTTATAACAAGATTATATCAAATTAATTGTCTTATTTATATTTTCATTGCATTCTTTGAAAAGTAAACGCTAAAAGTCCTCCGAGGATCTAGAACCCTTGAAACCTAGGTATTCTGGAACCTAGGAAGATTGGAACCTTTAGAGACTAGAAACTCCAGAGCATAGATGTCTCAAAGCTCAGAAACTCTAATTTTTAAGAATTCTGGAATCGAGGATCCCTAAAGGATAGGAGCCTTAGTGCATAGAAACTCCAGGGTGTAGAAATCCTAAGACCTTCTAATTTTGCACCCATGAACCTCAAAACCTAAAAATCCTACAGACTAAGAACCCTGAGACCTATGCCCTGAGATTTTAAGAACCCTTAAAACCTCGAGACTAGTCTCTGAGGCTTAAGTTAAACCTAAGAATCCACGATCCGTTGAGATAAAAAAATCTCCATCCCTTAAAACGAATAATTAAAAATAAACTTCGTACATTTGTGCTTTCAGAGAGCCAACGTGCTTACAGGTTCGTCCAGGGTAAAGATTGGGGCTTCAAGAAGTTCATTAGGAGAGACTTCCTGTTAGACGAAGCGAACGGATTATTGCCCGACGATAAACTCACGATATTCTGTGAGGTATATACCTTTGTATGTTACTTAATACTTGTCCAATTTTACAAGTGTCGTTCACCCTGAACGTAATAATGTGCAACTGGCTGTGATACGTTTGCAGGTTAGCGTGGTGGCGGATAGCGTGAACATTTCCGGTCAGAGTAATACTATACAATTTAAGGTGCCAGAATGTCGATTGCCGGACGATCTGGGTCTACTATTCGAAAACCAAAAATTCAGCGACGTCACACTGACCGTGTGTGGAAGGGAGTTCCAGGCGCACAAAGCGATACTCGCAGGTTGGTTCACCTCTGAGACTTGTGGAGGTAATCGAGAAAAGCGTGTTTTAACGATACATTTTTGTTTGTTCAGCACGAAGTCCCGTTTTCTCGGCGATGTTCGAGCACGAAATGGAAGAGAGGAAGCAGAACCGGGTGGACATTACCGACGTAGATCATGAAGTGCTGCGAGAAATGTTGCGATTCATATACACGGGAAAAGCAGCGAATTTGGAGAAGATGGCGGACGATCTGTTAGCAGCGGCGGATAAATACGCTTTGGAAAGGCTGAAGGTGATGTGCGAGGAAGCACTTTGCACGAGTTTAGCCATAGAGAACGCGGCCGACATCCTTATCCTTGCTGATCTCCATAGCGCTGATCAGCTGAAGGCTCAAGCCATTGACTTTATTAACACGTAAGACATTGTTCTAAATTTTTTCCAACGCTATCCTACAATTGGGAACACCGAGATCTAAAGACCTAGGTACCTAGATTCTCTGTAGGTTTGTTCCCTTAACTTTCTCAAATGCAAAGTATTGTACATACTACTTTTGTTACAGACACGCGACAGACGTGATGGACACGGCTGGTTTCAAGTCGATGGTGAATTCCCATCCGCATCTTATAGCAGAAGCGTTTCGCGCATTGGCCACCCAACAAATTCCACCGATCGGACCGCCCCGGAAGCGAGTGAAACAGAGCTGAAAACAATCACCATTGACACCGGGCACGACCTCCACATCGCCCCCGCCTATTTTGCATCCTTCATGACTTTTTTGTGTACAGTGATAGTAGTGTTAAATAAATGTTTTCTAGTGCGCCAATCACTGGTCCACTGTGAAAAGGAACCGGGACGGACGATTGTCGCCGTGATTCTCTCTCCGACCGATATTTATAATCGTTCGTTAGGAAACAAGAAATAAATAATGGAACACAGCGGCCGGCCGGCTCTCTTTTGGCCAGTCCGAGGCATGATACACAGTAAATCCATGGCTAACATAGACTCTGTTTATTGTCATTCAGTGAAGTCGTCGACGTTTGAAAGGAACTATCACAGAACACAGAAATGGAGAACGGATTGTGTGCCACCGCGTAATACACACGCGATACCAGAGGAGTAGTGTCAAGATCAAATTGGTAATCGTGTCACTATTCGCGATTGTACCGTTGTCGATGGTGACGATGATCACGCATGTTTTCATCCTTCTTCGATTCATCAGCGATTCCTCAACTTTCCACGCGTTGAAAAGCAGAGCCCAGAAAGGACCAAGGCGAGATTGAAACTCGCTGAAAATCGACACGACACGCTTACGCAGGGGAGAGGCACGTATACAGAATACACACATACACACACATACGTACGGACATACACGGACAACATACGATGCACGAAGGAAGTTGTGATAGACGTCGATCCAAGACGATTAAAAAAAAATTATTTTGTTCCTTTGTCGAGAAAAAAAAGAACGGATCAAACGAGAATTTTTGTCCCACGCTTGTTCGTTCTTTTAGGGCATCACGAGCAAGGAAAAGAAGGAGAACGTTAGAAACTATGGTTTATTAAGGATAGTGATTTTTAGTTTAAAGAGAAGAAGAAAAGAACGTCGAATTCTTCCAAGGACGGAGAAAAATGATTCTAGTTAGTGTTTTTTATGATCTCTTTCTCTCAACATGTACGACTACTACTATGATTATTATTAATGCTATACAATCTGTGCCCTGTATTTTTGTATATTTTTTGTCTGCAGATACGTCCCCCTTTCATGCGGCCTTCTCTCCCCATCTCCATTCCCTACATCCTTAATCCTTAGGCACAGTTTGTTTTGTTTTCTCGAGTATTGCATAGTAGATGCAGTGATAGATTCGAATTATTATTATTATTATATTATTATTATTATTATTATTATTGTATTATTATTATTATTATTATTATTATTATATTATTGTATTAAATTTAGGGTTGTCCATAATTTATCGAATTTTATGTTGATTATTATTGAAATGTCTATCATATTTGTGCGCAGGATACACGTGTAATAATTAGATGTGTTGCCAAGCATCTTATTAAGAAAAAAAGAGTCGAACACACAGTAATTAGAGAGGAAAATAATTAAGAAAGGAAAAAGGTGAATGCGCGTAACGAGAAAAGCAAAAAAAGAAATTGTATAAATAAAAAAAAGTTAGTCAATTATGTAGTACGAGATATTAATCGTTTTTTGTGTAATTAAAATATTGAATTTTACGAGATCGTGTGTGGTCAATGATCTGAATTATGGGCAACCAAGAAACGAAGTAAAACAATAATCATCATTTAGTACCGTACTGGCTTCCTGATCCTCCGATCTAGCTTTACCGAATGTTTTAAATGTGAGATATTGTAATATCTAACCATTACAATGGAGTAATGATTATTGAAGATTTAATGCCATACATGTTCTGTGATAAGACCACTTGTAATTACCGCAATTGTGTATCACAACCTTTCTAGAATTTCTGACGATCCTGGCAGCCAGTGAAAAAAATGTATATCTTTTAAGGAAACGGTCGCTATATCCGGACAGTCCCAAATCTAGCGTCCCTTTCGATTTTAAGGGTTTTTACTGTACATATCTACTGTGTATTTTATAAGAACTGATAAACCGAAACGGAACCATAACTTTTAAATGAAGGGTACAATAACCGAACTATATAATTTATTCTATTTTACAGACTGTGCTAAACTCATGTTCCTTGAAACAACAACACTAGCAATGCTTTAAGTAAATGTAATAATTGTAATTACGACAAATTAATACGAGATTAGATTGTAATACCGTGTCTTTTTGGTCCCGACATTGTAAACACGCCGTTCGTTAATTGTCACGACGATAACGCGTTTCTGTCGCGATCAAAAAGAATGATAATATCTCCTATGGAAACATAGTTAGGAAAGGTTTTTCCACCGTTTTTTACACGATGTTTAATTTCAGTCGTAGATCGTTAGGGCTTACAAAACGAAAAGGTCAAAAAAAAAGGAAAAATGACGAAAGAAGGAGGAGGAATTAATGACGAAATAATTATTGTAAGCGGTTTAAGGAACAGATTTTGGCCGTGATCGCTCAGATTTTAAAAATTTGAAGGTGAAAAAATGTCTACGTCCATTCTTATACTACCCATGTTCTATCTTTGGGACTGTGCGGCGAAATATCTCATGAAACTCAAAACGTTGAATGTCTCTTTTTTTCCTAAAACGAAACTAATATTAATCCGTATGACAATTCGAGCAGAAAGAAAACACACAGATATTAGATACGATGATTCTTCGAACCAATCTGCATGAGCGTATGACTGGATAATTTGATAAACTAAGTACAAGTAAGACAAGTGTTACCTCATCATGAAAATCAGCATGTTCGTGTCGCGCTAGCTACTACTGCGTTGCTGTCTGATACACTTCCGTTGTATATTGCATTTAAACCTATTTGAGAAAAAAACAAAAGCTTTTTGTAACTGAATAGTTCAGCAGTGGTAGCTCTTCGAAGTACATGACTGCTGTTCATCGAACCCAGCTCATACAAACGTTCATTTTTCCATTTACTTTAAGTCATTGCACCACATCAAATAAATGACATTTTCATTATATAATCATGAGAACTTTACGTGATTTTTTTTCATTATCCCTGACAACGCTTTAAGATAGATCTCCATCTCTACAATGATAAAAGAACTATAGTCCCTGATTTTCATTTAAAATAATCTTTATTATTCTACAAAATAACATAATTTGAAATTAATATTTTCGCTTTGAGAATCTTATATTAATGTTTTACTTCTGATTTTGCATATAAAATTTTTGTAGCGTGGATATAATTTATTATATATAACTTGTTGTTGGAAAGCCTTGATTCTCTGAAACAGATTTTCTGTCAGATGTCTTTGGAGTCTCTGGATACACAGGTGGTGGCTCAAGCATAGATATCTGCAAGATATAAATGTTATTGTGTGATAATATTTTCATAATCTAAAGGAAATTTTCACCTTCAGATCAGATAGTAAGTAAAAGATAATGAAATTAATTTTTTATTTGCTGCACTGATTTCGAATTTAATTACTGAAAAAGAGATGAATGTACCCTGTTGAAAGGAGCTGTGTACAGAGGCGGAGCACTGCAAGCCTCGCTGTACGAAGGTGGTCTGTCTCTGGACTCTCGTAAGGTGCAATACTGCAACGAATTTTCGTTGGATTCTAAATTGCGTTCACTATCTTGCGAGTACCTTCTGGCTCCCCTATAAATGCTTATTAAAAATATTGGCAATACACGATACAGTAACGCTACATTACTTTCGGATTATCAATAATTTTTAAAATTATTACACCTACCTGGTACAATTTTTGCAATATATCAAAACCGCAAAAAATATACCAAATATGAATATTAGAAAAATAACGAGCTGCGTAGCTGTAAAGAAACTGAAGTCTTCAAATCTGTAAGAAAATATGAGTCAGTTACAAATTTCTAGAATATACAAGTATTTGCAAAGAAGTATGTAAGTATAATCTTACCATTCCAATTTATAATTGAGAAATATAGAGTAGCATGATGATGGATGAATCGCGGGAAAATAAAGATGTAAGTAAAAATTGAAACTGTTCGGTTAGTTCAAAAGGATATTTTAGTTTCCTTACCTTTACGTCTGGCGTCCTTACACGTATTATTACTATAGGTTTCGTGGGAATCGCATAAAGAATCGTTTAAGAGCTGTCCCGTTGTACTTAATTCTGTTCATTTATAGACATTGATCAATTACGAATAGATAGAATGTATTCAAAAACAATAATACGTACCGAAGTCATTTCCGAACTCATTCATTTCGATTATATGAAGTAATTTAAAAAAGTAATTATTAAATCTACCATAACACACTGATCATATTAATGTAACTAAATCATGTGACCAAAACTTGAAGATTTACAATTCATTTCATGTGTAACTTCAATCAAAAAATGTTACAAACAATATGTGACATTATTTGTATAACTTTTACCAATGTTTAACCTTTTGCAAACAGATAAACTTCTTGCTTTAAACTAAAACACCCAAGTACTTCACATATAAAGCCTATAATCTTATCAAGACGTAACTCTCTGATAACACATACAATTAATACTTTAGTTACTTTTCTGTGCAACATAAAATGTTCTTCAATACATTCTCATCTATATATTCTAAGCAATGTGAACAGGTAAAATAAGAGAAGAAAATGCAGAATCACTTAATAGTATATTTTGTAATATATATGAATAAATTATTAATAACCCAAAGTCATAACAATTCCTAAGATCATATAATTTACAATAAAATTGAGACTTATAAGAGTTTGCTTGAAATTCATGCTGTACAGTCAATTTGTTAACGTAATTAAAGCTTCGACAACATTGCCACCATGTTCTCTCAGAATTTGTTCGGCTTGTGTTCTACTTATTTCCATGTGTTTTTCCTGCAAGAATAAGCAGTTTAATTTTTTATAAAGTAGCAGCATATGATGAGCGTGTCAGCCAGTTAGAAGGTAAGTGCAATTAATAACAAGTATGTATATCTTACAATGAGATCAACATATTCCTTCTTAATAGGAATCTTTAGCAACTCCTTTTCTCTCGCTTTCTTTTCAGCAGCTTCTTTATTTCGTCGATCTCCAATTATACTTAGGGCCTGTAATGAATAAGTGATATATTATATACATACACAAATTGCGTACACTGCCTATAGGTTAAGTTTTGCAACAGCTTACTTTTACGTTAATATATCATAAATATTAACATGTATGAAAAATAAAAGAATAAAACACCATCAGGAGTTTCAATAATGTAAATTTATACGATTATAAAAAGAGTTAAACAAACGTTGTTGACAAGCAAAAAACACGTGGGATATGAGGCAATAAGTAGTACCTACACAAGAAAATCCATCAGACGAAGATATTTCTTTTTCTTCTGCGTAATCTGTTACTTTTTCTAAATCTGCTGCACCGCTGTCATATTTCGCTGCTTTCTTTTGTGACTTTTCTTGCTGCACATCATCGGAATCACCATTTACATCGTTATCCGCCATTTTTTCTCCTTTACACTACATACTTCACGCTAAATAAGAAACAACAAGATTTATGCGATAACTTCAGGGCGAAATCTAATCTTGAAAAGCAATCCAATGTCAAAACAATTAACTCTTTCTTTAATTAATATTTGATAGTCTGTACATTGTTATTGTCTGTATTTTGTTCGCATCAATAAAAAAATTCTTTCACTGAAATGGTGTATTTGTATGCACATAAAAATTTGACAAAACAGGGAGTTAATTATCATTTCAAAATACGATTACACGAAACATAAAGACCGTCAAAGTACATGCAGCTGATATAAGTTTATAAATTTTGAAGAATTTCCATTTCAATTTAGATCGATCAAAAATATTTCGATTCAAAAAATCAAAGATTGAATAAAATCTTAGGTAAGCTATATTGCAAATTAAAATGTTATTAAAGAATCATAAACTACTTGAAAAGCATATAAGCCGAGACAAAACATCTCTCCATAACCAATCGAAGATAATTCGAATGATAATAAGTTACATTATTAAATCAATGCACGCAATCTCAAGTTCAATAAGAAAAAAACAAAGCATGGCTAAAGATAACAATATGTCTAATCGCTTATCGCTAAGGACAGTGGAATTATTAGACGATGATTCTTGAACGTGGAAAATAAGAATATTCCACGCTTTATGTACATAGTAAAGAATACCCTCTTCGTGTAGAATTAATTTATTTGCATTGTCAGATTAATTTCTGATATAATTTTTATTGGGATACGACAAACAGTAAATACATATATATTTCTATAAATATTTAAAAAAAAAATGTATTATTTGGTTCCTTCTGTTATTCTATGAATTTTTCGATAAAATAAAATATTTGCATCAATACTATCTAGAGAGTGGTATTCTGGAATTACTTCTGGTATTAGGATTACAGAAAAGTAGTGGAGGTATTCTATAAGAATGCATGGGTAGATTACGCATGCGTAGGATACCATCTAAAATGGGACTGAAAATTTACTCCTGGTAGCAGGATCACAGAAAAGTAGAGGAGGTATCCAATAAATGCGCGGGAAGGCGTGTGCATGCGCAGGGGGTGTGTCTATGCGAAGGGGTTTGCGCATGCGCGAAGGGTGTGCGCACTCGTGGGATACCATCCATCATGGGGCTGAAAATCTACTCCTGGTAGCAGGATCACAGAAAAGTAGAGGAGGTATCCAACTGAATGCGCGGGAACTCGTCTGCGCATGCGCGCAGGGGTATATACATGTAGTATAGGAAAAGCTACAACCAACTGCAAATAATACTTATTTCTCAGCTTTTGGGAATAATTTATGCACTTTTATGATTGTAAAATAAAGAGCAGTCCTTAAACTGCTTTCTCGAATGTATTTTACTTGAATTTTTGTTCTGAATAATTAATTATTACGATTTTTCCTAGTACCTATTTTTTCTTGCGCGATGCGTCAATTGAATAAAAATTAATAACTCCGTAATTACGTAACGAATCTGCACAAAATTTGATGGATACCACGCAGAAAGGTTCAAAGAATATTCTACAAACTTAAAAGTGTGTAAAATATTCCTTGAAATTGAGAAATTAATAGGTATCAAACTTCATAGCGCACGAGCGACGCGTAGAACGATCCGAGGAATGCTGATATCTTGAATAACTAATTATTCCGGCGAAAGATTGTAACAAAAGTGATACGAGAAAGTAGGTGGTGCTTATTATATCATTCTTCAATCATAAAAGTACATAAAATAATTACGACTAATTAATAAACTATTAAAAATCATCGATACACATGAGCACCGTTCCGACATTGCTGAATTTATTAATGTATAATTATTTAACTATAACTATAATGTCTATAAATGCTAAATGGGAAAGTAGCTGGGACCTATGGCTACATTCTTTCATCATAAAAGTGCATAAAAGATTCCTTAAAAAGGAGTAATTAATCATTTTTCAATAACACTTCGATTTATTTAGCGTACAGCCATATTCCCCTTGCGCATGCGCAGAGGGTTCCCGCGCAGGCTACCTCTTCGAACACCTCCTCGATTTCCTGCGCTCCTGATACCAGGAGCAGCTTCAGGGCACCTACCGCTAGATGGCGCTGATCTCTTTTTCTTAGCGCGGAAAATTCAAAAATGAAAAGTTTGAAATTGCACATCAAAATAATTTATTTACTTATGCAAGTATATATTTGCTTCATTTTGATACATTTTTATAGCTGAGTGTATAGCTATAGTGTTTAAGATAATATTAAAAAATATTTGTAACTGCTTTTATTTCAGAGTAAAATGTTATATTTGAAAGAAGGGAGACAAGCATGATAATGATGGTGACAGACGGTTTACTGTAACATGTCCTCAGAACATAACCTAATTTGTATTTGGTTATTGTTTGTAAAAGGGTGTTTTATTTTATAATTTGTTGAAATAGAAGATTTTAATTAAGCGCAGTAATGGCAGAAACATCTTATTCCAAATCAGCAAGTGATTCACAATTTTTTCGCAGCGAACCAGTGAATTATACTGCCGGTATTTATATCTAATTTTTTTTATAAATTACTAGCGTTTGAAATTTATATTTTGAAATATTAATTGGACGTAATGTTCTGTAGAAATTAGGCAGATGATGCATGGATTTGGCGACAGCAGTGAACCATTAATTGAATCTGCAAAGATCATTGAAGAAGTTGTTCTGCAACAAATGAGAACAGTTATAAGAAAGGCTTGTGAAGTGTCTGAAAGACGAGGGAATTCGAAAAAAGGCATCTGTATTTCCACAGAAGACCTGATCTTTTTATTACGTAAAGACAAAATGAAATTACAGCGTCTCATAAAATATTTAGGCAAGTTTGCTACAATATTTATTGTTACGGTTTACATTTTTACATTTGATTTTAATTTGATTATATATTGCAGAATTGAAGGAATTTAAATCTTCAGTGCATAAAGCAATAGAGAGTGATTTGCCTGAGAATTTTATACAAAATGATAATTTAGAAGGACATAAAAGTAAAGGACCTCTTTATAGTTTTCTGGGTCAAATTGATAACACTGGTGAACTTCTGGAAAATGCATCCACAATTGATGAAATTAAGCAACAAAGATGTATTCGTGCTGAAATTGTAACACGTTCAATGGATGAAGCTAGATATTTAAAATTTAGTAAAGCACGCAATGCATCATTTGCAAATAAAAATAGACACAAGTTCAGTGATTGGTTATCAACTGATAGTGAGTGTATTTGAATCATAATACATTATGTTATATACAGTGGTTTTAAATATTAAATACATTTTTATTTAGGTGATATAACAATATCCAAACAAGGATACACAATTTTGGGATATTTAGCATATGAGACAGTAGCACAGATTGTAGATTTGGCATTATTAGTAAGACAAGATCAAAATAAAATATATGGAGATTCTATAGATCGGCTTAGACTCAGTTATGTTAATCCATATACTTATAAACCATATTACCATGGCAAGGTTTGTACAACTTTCACATGATCAAAATACAGAATATTGAAAAGGAATTATAATTTATTGTAATTAATCAGGTTGCGGTAACGAAACCAATAACTCCCGCCGAAATAATTGAAGCTCTCAGAAGGTTTTGGTCTCCACAATTAGATATAACAGGCCCATTTAATCGTTGGTCAATGAGGAAACCACACTTGAAACTCTTATCTTGTTAAAGTAGACAGATTCCAAAAGGGTAAGAATTGTAATAATACAAGCAACGTCTTCTGATGTATTTTAAAACTTAAGATTTAGTCATTTCGTCAGTATTTCACCATAAAAGTATTTTGTTGAGTTTTAGTATGCTAAGTTAATAATATAAACATGCGTTTTTAAAATTGACCAATATTTATTGACATGTTCTGGTACCCTTACAGATTTACCTTAAACTTCTAAAATTAAATTTACACATGACAATCGCTACACAAGTTAATATTTCACACTTTTTACAAAATCTTTGAGTCATGTGTTCTATTAATAATGTGACATTTATAGATATTATATTAGTACGATTTTTTTTATAATTACAGTAGTTTCTGTACATTTTACAACTGATAGTCCCTGATTTTGTTCTAAAAGTAGATTTATGATACATTCGACTTTGCACTAACGCTTGATACGTTTGCATTCATTGTACTTTTTTTTATAAAATATTTGGATCTTTTCTTCAATCTTACTTTAAATAAAATGTTCTTAGGTTTCATTCCAGTGTGTAATAAGACTATGGAATTTCATCTTAACATTCAATACGCTAAGTATTAATATCTACAAATTTGAGCTAATCGTACGATCTTTACGGTACTTTATGAATTCACACAGATACTAATTTTACTTTTGTATCATGGTGATAGCAGCGTTGATACTCGTACTTTCCCTTCGGCACCACCAGTTATACAAGTTCCAGATTGATTAGCGGTTGACCAATCGCAACATAATGTACCCTTATGACCACCTAATTCTAAGACCTTCGCTTGTGTACCTGGTGGCATCTAAACAGAATTAACATTTAGAATTATTTTAGTAATAAACTTAAGAAATGTTTAACATATTAATACATAACACATTCGTGAAGCATACTTACTTTATATATATTTCCCCCAGTTTGTGTACATAGTAACATATAGTTACCACTTTGGTCGAAAGTAAATAATTTTCCATGAACAGTATTCTTTTCCACTTTAATTTTCGTCTCCCATAAAATCTTCCCTGAGTGATTCAAACTTCGCTGACATAATTTTCCATCCTCGCTTTGTGTGCAAATATTAGTATAATCATTAATTAATTCTATATCTATAACTGGACTTGCATGACAACTTATGTTGTCAATAATTTCATTTCGCCTTAGATCATGTATCAAGATATTTCCATTAGACAGTCCCGTAATAAGAAGTTGTCCGTTATGATTAAACGCAGAACATAACGCGGTTACATTCTGTTCCATTGGTAAAGTTCTTTCTAATTTCCTTGTTTTTATGTCGTACAAGAGCAACTTTCCTTCGTTTGAATTTGATACAGAACACACAAACGTAGATTCAGTCGGATTACATAAAAGTGTAATGATTCGAGAACTTTCATGTTGTATATCCCATAAAGTTTTACAGTCACGAGTGTCGTGCAGTTGAATCAGACCATTATTATCACCGTGTAAAAAATAACGCTCATTTTTTGATATCCAGTCTAGTGCAGTTATAGCTTTATTGGAATTGGCTGGGGCAGAAATAAATGTAGTAACAGTCCTGTTCCAAGAAAAAAAAAAATTAAATTCATATAAGGCTTAAAAGTAATATTATGAGTCTTTGAAATAATTACTTTGGTGACGGTATCGGAGTCCATACTTTAATAATGCCATCTGCATCACCTGTAGCGACATACGAACCGCTCGCATTACTTTTGCATTGAATTATTGATGTTTTGTGCTCTGTATATTCTTCCTGAAAGTTATTTTTTGTTATTACACAACATCTGTAAAATGCTCAATATATTAAATTGATTTATGGTCTCACCTGGCTAAGAAGAATATACGTGGAATCAATTTTATCCTTAGCTTTGCGTTCGGCCACTGCGTCAATGGACGAATCCCTTTTTCTAGAACTAGTTAATCTAGAATCACAGCTAATGCTTCTTTTATTAACTGACTCAGATTTACTTATAGAGTTTATTTTGCCTTTCGTATTCGTTCTCTTCGTCGACGTTGATTCAGCTTCCACAACTTTCTTCCCGCTTGTTGTAGGCTTTCTATTTAAAATTGGACTGGAACCACCGCCTATGTTTCTTATGAGATTCCTTAAGGTTTTAGGATTTTCTAACAATGGAGATTCTCTAATATAAACAGGAGAAATATGTTAATATAATGTACAAGAACATTGCTAGTATGCAATAAATGTTACAAATATTTACTGTGCTATTATATAAAAGTCATCCATAAGCGGTGGATGTTGGGGAGCTGGTCCTGGGTTTACATCCATTACATTGTCTATTTTAACAGAATCATTTAAACGTTGCCTTAATACATCATTCTCTTCTTGAAGTCGTTTTAATCTATTTGTATCTTCATCTATTGTAAGTAATGTTGGTAGAGGCATACACTGTAAATAAAGATTATCAAATGAATTAAAGTTTATGTTATATGGATAATAATCTGATCAGATATATACAAGTAAGATTCTTAATGAAATATCAAAATAATAAAACTTGCAATATGAGAGGCACGACGCAAAATACCTTTCACCTACTTGAAAAATAGTAGCAAGAAAATTGTGCAGAGACACTAACATAGTGTCCTGCCACTGTCTACTAAAATGTACAGAGTATGCTGGATTGTCTTCAGGATTTTTAACAAATGGCAATGCTATAAAAATAAAATAGAGCATATATTTTCCTTTTGTTTTATGAAAAATCTTACAAACAAATGAGACAGTAGTGTCCTACCAAACCATTCTTTCCATTCCGAATGCCCTTGTAGCTCTGGTGTCATTCTTGTAAAAAATTCTTGAATTCTATCTTGTTTATTATTCACTGCTGCATTTACCAGGTACATTTTTAGAACAGCATTTTCCAACTTCCTCACAGCAGGCGTAAAATGACTTTCCAAACGAGAAAACATTCTTGTGTCTAAATGCCCCCATAATTCTCTTAGAGATGCCAGGTCATAATTGTATATATACTGCATCAACTGGTCAACAATTTTATCAACCTGATAATGAATAATATAAAACAGATATGAATATATTAAATTATTAATACATAATGTGGAACTAAAACTAATAACAAATATACTTAAAATTAAAAAATATGAACACTGTAGATATTTGAAAATAACCCCAAAGTAATATTCAGTAATTTTCTGTGATTTTTTTTTTAAATACATAGTATCTGTACATATTGTTTTGATACATTTATCTTATTCCTTATCATAATTGCTATCATCCTTACCCTGAAGCCTTTCTCTTTCTCTGCCTTTAAATCATTATCAAAAGCTTTCAAGGTTTGACTAAAACCTCTGAAAAGCAAATATTCTTTCACCAATTCGTCCACATACTGAATGTGAGACATTTTCTCTTGATTTTCTTTAAAATATCAACTTTCTCCTTTAACTGACAGCCGTATGTTGTCATCCTTTGGCCATTTTGATATTAGCTGAATATGCAGCGAATTTTCGTTTATCATCTGACATTCAATGTTGCCAACATTATACACCTTCCACAAAAGTTGCAAATAGAAGGATCTATTTATGTCAAATGAGCAAATATTTCAATTATGTTTTATACACAAAAAGTATTACCTAAAAAATTTTTACATTGACAATCAATAATGTTTCATGATTAATTTGTATGTTCATAAAATGGTGAAAGCAGTACTGACACGAAGTGATTTCGGGAACCGCGGTTTATGAAAAATTCATTATAAACTGTATAGAATTCTAAGCATAAAAAGATAATACTTTAAAAAGTTGATAAATTATCAATTTAAAGATATTCTTGAAAGTAATATTTATTCAAACATACTAGAGAAATATTTCTTTACGTACAATTTGTTACGTTTATGTGTAAGGGACAAATGGTTGAAACATAAATAAAAAGATCCTAAGATCTTAAACATTTATTCGTAAATAAAGTTTATAATGACGTCATTATTATTAATTATGATTGTAGTAACAGTAATTGTTACGTGAAGTTGTAATGTGTAATAAAATTGCAAAGATAATGTATAGAATACTAAGCGATTTGCTATACTTTTTTCCTTTTTTTTATTTCTTTTCAACGTAAGAAAGAAGAAGTATATTTTTGCCGCTTAAATAGCAACGATTATACGCCATACGTATCCTTTGCTCTGTTTCTATAATTGTAATTTAACCGCATTACAGGAATCCTTATCGTATCTGATAAAATATAAGAGTAGCTAACACAGTTCATTCTTAAAAAGGCACAAGTTTCTTTCCTTTTCGTGTGACGAAAATTCATTTTAATCCTCCGGTTCAATTAATATTCTTTTGATACATAATTACGAATATCCAACATTTACGTTTGGGTAGTAACTGTTTTATCGATTGAGCTACCAAATTTATTGGGACAAATTCCTTCTAAAATAAATATTATTTATTTCATAAGATGATCCAATAAATTTCAGGAATTAAAAACAAACTTTTTTAGAAGTAATGCGCCAATAATAATAACTATAGGAACGTTTATTAATTCTGCATATTTTGATTCTGTAACCAGAGGATTGTTTAAATAATAAGAACACGCATTTTTACAATTAGAAACATTTTGAACAGAGCTTACGGACCGGAAGCTTAAAAGCTATTCAGTCGCGTCTGCCGGAAGTTTCACAATGCATATTAAAAACGAAAGAAAAAAGGAAAAGAAGAAAATAGCGACACGATAAACTACAAAGTATACAAAGTATGAAGTTCAATGTGTTTATTGTCGATAGACACTATACTACGAAAAATAAATCGCAAGATTTTTATCTGGCCCAATAGTTTGGCGAGAGCAGATGCAATATCGTGATACTTTCTTTCTTATTTTCGAGATAAAAAATAAATAAGTGTCCTTCAATTCACCCTCATAATCGTTCATTCGTTGAAGATTACATTTTAACAGCCCTTAATGTCAGTGTCAGATTATCCGTATGCAGTGCGGTCTGATCAGATATTTAATTTTTTATGGTTCAAATTTTATAGAGAATTATTAATTGATGAATCAACAATATTTTCATTAAGAATGTACTATGGATTAAATTTGATTTGATTTTGCAATTCCGAAACTTTAAAATTTGGAGACTTTTAGGAGTAACGATAGAGTAATAAATAAAAGAAAGCTCTCTAATCCAACCGCATGCATGAATAACCAGTGTTCAAACATAGCGAACGGTCTTTCATCGTTTAACAATAAATCGACCTCAAAATCGCGTTGCGATCAATACAGCTTCACTGACAATATTTAATTTCCATTTTCAGAAGGTGCTCCAAAGGTGGTTTCATACCAGACACGAGGGAATTCACCGCCAGGTGCGATATCTGTGGCGACTACGGTGCAGCCAGCAGTGAGCTACGAAAGAGGACCATAAAAATTCACAGCAGTTGATTCCCGCGTGTCCCATGAGGAGCTTCAAACTCGATCAACCGTTTGCACGCCATTTGGATAGCCCAATTGATCAATATTCGATCGAACGAAGTAGACGATTGCGAAAAATTCGTCTAAATCCAAACGTGAATCTCGTAGCGCATGTACGCGTGTGCGATTTTGTTTTACGATTAATCTGACGCGATCTCGATTCATCGTTGGACGCGATCGTCTCGTTAAGCTAGTGGACGAATGCGTTTTAAGATGGAAATGCGCGTACGGTCCGTGGTTCAACCACGATCGGAAATCATTTACAAGTCGACGTCTTCTTGCTTAGCCTTGGGAGCAATTTTCTCGTCGCTGTTGGAATCTTTCACACTGGTATGAATGTCGGCGACTTCAACCGGCGGTGGGACAGCTGGATTTACCGATCGATCCTCTTCGGCAATTGCGAAACCGATCGTAGCGCCGATCTTCTGACTCGCCTGCCTGAATGAGTCTGATAGCATCACCTGATATGCAAACAAAATTCGTTTCATTTCATTTTCATACACATACGAAAGATTTTACAGAATGAATTTAATATTAAATATCTGGAGAAAATAATTTGTGATACCTGGACTACATTGATGCACATAGACGTGAGGGCCAGGCCGAACACCAGGTATATTATCGAACACATCATGTATATGGGATGCTAAATCAATCAATTAATCTGTTAATTTCTGCTTATCATTCTGACATCGAGACGATTTTTAATGTCAGTAAGAAAACACGTGCAACTGTGCTGAAGTGAGACTTATGCGAAAAGCACGTATGAAATAGTGTATACACGGTGATTTTGTTTGGTTTTTTGTTGATGAACTTTTTGGATTTCAAAGCTTACCATCTGAGCGCCACCGTGAAAAAAAGAAGCAAGAAAACAAGTTAATTATATGTCAAAAATGCTACCGTCGATTTTTGAGAGGAGACATTCCATTTTGGCACAAAGCAAACGCTAATCGCAAAGGAAAATCGAATGATATAATTTTAATTGATCTTTGATGCTAACGTCATCCAATTATATCGCGAGAGTTACCATAATATAGCATTTTATACTTAATGAGCCTACATTTTCTTGATAATATAAACATTAAAATAATTGTTAAACGTGCTACATTACAGTATCTAGAAGTTACTCTAGCAACGAATCAGTTATGCTTTGTTAACCCATTCGCATCGGTATTCCTACACGCTAGTACATGCTTCCAAATGTCTAAACGATGCAAATGAGTTAAAAACGTAGCGATGAACTGGAGGACGGTGCACGAAGCGGGCAGGGTTGCTGAGGATCGTCACCTTTGGCACGTAATCGCCGAAACCGATAGTGCTCATTGAGATGAAGACGAAATAGAAGCTCTCGAAGAAACCCCAGCCTTCCGACAAGCAAAACAACGTGGCGCCTATGAATATGTAACCGAGAAGAATGAAGATGGCCACTGAGATCGGTAGATTGAATTCGTCGTCGATCGCGAAAGCGGACATCGCTGGAGTTCCTGGTGTGTCAGGAACATTTCCATCCAAATTGAGAACAGTCTGAGATTGCTGAGCCTGTTTCTGTATCTCCTCGATATCTTGAGGATTTATTTGCGACGGCCTTTTGAACGTTGCTAGGTCGTACACGAGCTGGACGCCTTTCATTACTTCCTGTGGACGACAATAATTATTAGTAGAGATAAGACGATACGATTTAAGTTTGTAGATAAAAAATGGAGGATTTACTTGTACAGGTACTGTTCGACGAACTTTCTTGCAACTTCCGGTGTAATATAGTCTTCTAACGAACGCCCAAAGGAACTTGATACCACGCGTGAATAGTTTACCAAAGTCGGCCAATATTATCAGAAACATCGGGATTCCGAAGATGGCGTAAACTATCGTGATGGCCCTTCCGGTGTTGGTACTGGGCGAAATATGGCCGTACCCTAAAATAACGCAAAACATTCTCCTTCAAATATTTACATTCGCAATTGTAGAGACAGGAAGGTGTATGATAAATAAAGTGTTATAGCAAAGGATAGATGCTCTCCATCACCATTTTCCCTAGAGTCGCCTACCATGCCTGCTACTGTACACCTGTACATTTCTACGGTACAGAAATAACCGTGGATCTAACTTTAACCGTCGTAGTACTATTTGGCGTTTGTTTGCTCGTAAAACAGTCGCATTCTTGTTTCGATAACAGAACTGTCACGTTCCATTCTGTCGAATCGTTACCCTAATTCGAAAATTGAATTCATTCTCCTAACGATTATAAATTCTCGACGAACCCTGTATCGCGAGAGATTATGCAAATCGAGGATCCCCGTGGAGAATCGAGTTCCTCGCAATTAACGCGGAACAACAATTGAAGTAAAAGCTTTTGAAATGTCGTCATCCCCGAAAATTGTTGTCATGCGCAGCCAATTTTGACACCGGTGCTACACAATCGACAGCATCATCGCACAGCCACATCCTGCGGTTAGAAAATCAATACAGAACTCGTAAACCGTTTTACGACAACCTGGTACCGTTTCACCGCATCGATTTTCCTTTTTCCTTTTCTGGAAACATCCTCACCGATAGTGGTGATCACGGTCAAACAATACACGACAGCGTTCAGGAAGCTCCAGCTCCTTTGACCACTGTAGCTGTGCATTCCGGCTTCGTGGGCGGTGTGCAATTGTTCCTCGAATTCCATCAACTTTCGTCGCGCCATACTCTTCCAATCGTCTTCCCTCATATTGTGACTGTAATTCCACAAGCTGTCTAGGAAGTCTCGCTTCACCCTCTTCACGCCGCACTTGTAGAAAGTCTCGAAAGCTCCCTCGGTGAATCTGAAGACGAACGCGCCAAGGCCGCAGTAAATAATCACCAACATCAGCTCCGACATGCAACGATTATGGAGTCCTTTAACTATTTGAACTTCCCCTGGATTTTGTGCTACGAATGCCTTGAATTCGGATACCACGTCCTTCAGAGCCCTCAGGAAGTCCATGAAAGTCACCTTTTCTGGTCCCAATAGCAACTCCGTATACTTGGTCTCCTTCGGAGTTTCAGCTTTTACCTCTGGCTCCTTGTCTTCCTTCTTCTTGCGGAAGAAAGGCAACCAGGAGAACCAGGATTTCTTTTCTGGTCCCTTCGGCTTCTCCTCGGATTTTGTCTCCTCCTCTTCCTCGCTTTTACTGGGAACGCTGAACCTTCTTCGTCTCAGTACCGTTTCCTGAGCATCCTCGAAAACGTCCAGAACATCAGCGTCCAAGATACTTTGTTCTCTCTTCAAGTACTCCCTCTGAGCCTTGGCGAAGTCCTGTATGAGGCTGTCGTTACTCAACGGTATTATCTGCTTCTTGATGTCCGAAGCGGATCTCCTCATGACGGGTTCTTCGAGGTTCTGTTTAGGGAACGACTCGCTTTTCTTCATCTTCGGTGCCTCGTCGGTGTCGTCGGTTTGACTGTGTCGTATGGAACGTCTTCTCTCTCGCGACTGATCCTCTAACTCCTCGGGCTTCTTGATCGACCTCTTTTCCCTCGGAGGTCTTTCGACGGTGTCTTTCTTTGCTGTGTCAGGGTCAGCCGCGACTCTCTTCGCGGTCTTCTTTGTTCTGGTTTTGCTGCCCTCCGGTGATTTCGTTCTCCGCGGCTTCTCGTCCAAGTCGCTGGAGTCACTCGACTGACCTTGTCTTTCCGCTCGTTCCCTGGACTTCTTCTTCAGGCGTCTCTCCACTTTCCTGGGCTCTGCCGAAGGTTCGGTGTCGGCGTCCACCTCCTTGGATTTGGGTATAGCATCCTGATACGTGATCACTTCTATCACCCTCGTCGGCGTTTCCTTCTTTACCGACCGCGTGGTCTCCTGTTCGGCGTCATTCTCACGTGCTCGAAGCTCTTTCAAGGGAGAAGCCTTCTCTTCCGATTTCCTGCTGGCCTCCGATTTCAAACTTTTCTCTTCCGATTCTCGTTGTTGCTCCTCTTGTTTCATCTTCTTTTCCTTCTCTTGTTGCTCCATCTGTTCGGCCTCATCAGCCATCTTCTCCATTCTCGCGCGTCTCGCCTCCTCCTCGTCCTCGGACGTCTCTACCAGCTGTTGGTTCCTGGACGAAGGGTCCGGCGTCTTCTCCCGCCTTCTGGCCGCCGCTTTCCGGCGCCTGTGCACCGCGTAGCTGTCCTCCATGATGGAGGAACTGGATCAGCAACCGTGGATCAACCAAGACTAACCGATGGCGAACGACGGACGTTGGAGAACGCCAGATTGCGACTTTCCTGGCCCCGGTGCAGACAGACACCGGGACAGAAATAAAACAGAGGTTGCTCCCACCACCGCGACGCTTACAAACGGAAACCATCTGGTTTTGCCGCAGCGAATATCGAGCGAAGGCGCCACACGAATCGCGCGCAACCGACCAACTACCGACGCCCGGCGCCGCGATGACGGCCCTGCAACTACCGCAGCCCGTTCTACGGCCAGGCATTACGCGGATGTACCTGCAATCGGTCTTCGCTCTTCTTCTTCCCCTCTTTATGCCATGCGTGCTCTCTTCGCATTGGGAACACATTTTTTTTAATGCAGCTGAACTTTGGGAATTTATGCAGTTTACGTGTTTGCCGTTGTTGAGGAATAATGCATCAGACCTGGATATTTTTTGAGAGTTAGATAAACAGTCATGTTTATATTTTTTGCTGTGTAATTTATTAAACATGCGTTGACCAACGTTACTGTTATTACTGTCCATGATGTTTTCTTGCAAAATTTATGATACTTGCTGCGATTAAAGCCTACGTTTTCGCACTTTCGTGATAGGGAATTTTTAGCAACTTTATGGAGAGTCCCAAAGGAAATTAAAATATCATGAGAAAAATTAATTTTATCTCCGCGGAAGCCCCTGTAAACGAGCAACCGCTCCACATTTAATACCGAGCAGCTCAACGTGTATTTCTAAGAGGGATCTTTTTATGCCCTCAGTATACTGATAAAAATCAGAATTTTCGTTTCAATACACATTGCATTTGACGAGGTTTTTATACCTCCTCGATCGTGACGTCGTCGAAAATTGTTCGTAAATTTGAATTTTCATCGACGTTCATACTTTTGTTTGTCGGCTGATTGTTCGGAATCAGCTGAGGCGCAAACGCTGACAATCGAAACATTCCAGCTTTCAGTCGCATCCAGTAGAAAAACAAAAGGAAATTGCGAGCTCGACGAATTGAAACTCGCCGAGTTGGAAATGTTGCCCCCGTATTTCCATTTTGCAGCTTCCTGTCCACCGACGAGAAAATATCTTAACAATCCGTGGGAGTCATGACGATTTAGTAAATACTTCGCCAGCGATTTGCATTTTTCTTTAATCCTTCAGGGAACGGAGGAACTTTATCGATAAAGTTTTCGGATTATACGGCACCTAAATAAACCAATGGAAAAGAGCTTTAAGTCGTAACAGACATTGTTTTAGACACAGTTCGTTTCATCCGATAATCTGATACGATTGTAAGTCGCGACGAACGATGTCTGTAAAGTAGTATCGATCAACGTGTCGCGAACATAAATCGTCTTCGGAACAGCCGAGGCAATGAAAATCAGAGAAATATCGAGCAATCCGAGAGCTCGAGGGATGATTACTCGCAAGCACGCAGTTGTCGCGTTAATAAAATCTGTCGCGTCATTGTATGCAGCTGGCCCGCAATCGCGAACTTGCAAACTTTGCAATCACGTGAGCAAAATTTCTTTGACGAGATCGATCGTAAAATGTAATTAAATGAAACTTTCTGCGCCGGGCCGTGTACTGGATCTTCTCACGAGAATATTCGCGGAGATACAAGAACAAAGCTGGTCGTTGGGAGAAAAACTGCGAAAGAGAGATAAAAAACAGAATGTAGGGATGAAGAGGCGGAAGGAAGCTGTCGGTGAAAAATAATATCTGCCCGTGAATCGTGGCGTGAAAATAAACGTAAATAAATTACGAAGTGAATCGCAGGAATGTACGGAACGAGTCTGGATAGAGATTCAAAAGCTTTTACAAATCGCTCGTTTAAAATTTATAAAATGTAAAACGGTTATGAACAAAGATGGATGTTCGAAAAATACGTTTCTGGAAATTTTAATACTTTTACATGTATAAGTTTCAAAGAAAGACTTAGAAATATTTAGGGATACATGTGAAGATATTAACGACATTTGCGCACCTAGAAATTTCCGCGTAAAAATTTGTCAGAGAAATCGGAACTTTCTAAAAAATATCTCTGGTATAAATACGAGCTTTTAAGTGCATTCTGAGATTCACGAAAATAAAGATGTCAACCATATTTTTTGGAAAGTTACCAGGTCAAATACCTGGAAACGAGGTCCAAAAATAAAATATCAATTTAACAAGACGCGTCGCGACAGTTTCTTTGTGTTCAAAATTATACGAATCATGACTAATTATGGTCGCTTTTAGTTCTCGCATTAGTGATTCATCGAATGAGCCATATCGAAAATAAGAGACTCGCGTGAAATATTTGAAAAGAAGCAGATCGAAATAACAACTCGATAATTCGAGTCTCGACCGAAATCTTTCCTGGAAAATTTTAGTGGCGTTGAAAACGTGGAACCACTTTCTTTGTTGTACTTTGAGATACTGTAAAAAACCGAATAGCCCGAACTCTTTTAAGTAGCGGTGTTTTTTATTGCGCCGTTAAAGCTTTTCGATGTGTACATTCGAAGCGAACAATAAAGCTCAATGGACTGAAAGTGTTGATTGGAAATCTGTGAGAAAATGAACGTTCGTAGATAATGCCTACTATATGTTCCAAGTGCTAACAAGTGTCAGAGAAGTAAGTAAACCTTTCAAATTATATTAGATATATCTAGTTTTCACACTTGTGTCTTTACTGGTATACTTATGAGTTTTAACTATGGAACAAAATTTAAGAATTAACTATAATTATATTGTATTTTTATTTGCCTGGTTTGACAGGTAAATGGAAGAACCTTGCTCTCGCAATTTCACCTCGTGTCAAGGATATTTCCTTTCTTCCATAATGTAGATTTTCCATTTCAGAAGCCATTGAAAACGATAATTTGATTTTCGTGTTTGGCGATGACTTTGAGAACTATTTTCCTTCTAGCATCACCCACGTCAACATTTTATATTACGTAACGTGGACAACTCGAAATAGTATGCGTGGGCATATCTGGTCGTCATTAACGTTGCACGTGGATGTTCATGGGTCACCAACGGTGTCTCCCGATTCCGTGTAGATTTAGATGTTTGTTCCACACGGTGACAGAGTCGGACATGTTGAAATAGTAATTGAAACATCGAAACGGAAACAAGCCCCGACAACGACTAATGAGCCTGGGAATGAAAGGAGGTCGCGTACGGTGCAGTATTAGCATTAGAGGTATCGTACAGAAATTTGAAGAAATCGGGACTTAAAGCTTTCTAAAATTTTCTAGAACCTCTCTACCTTAACAATAAATTCTCCCTGAACATTAAAACGCAAATATCAATGATATATTTCTCAGCAGTTTTAAGGTAGAATCGATGAAGATTTTGACGAAAAACAAACAAACGTTGCGTCGAGAAAATGTGGATAAATAAATTGAATCTCCCCTCTTGATTTACATCCACCGTGAACCGATGTTCGAGGCACTTTTCTTGTTATTTTGATCCGAGGCGGAAAACGAGATTGGTCCTTTTTTCTTGCGTGATTTAATGACGACAGATGATGGTCCCGTCGTCGCTTGTTTCGATGACGTTATCTTTCGTAAAAATAAAGCTTCTCGAACGTGGAAGCAAATTTTCAACGATTGCGAAAAACCAATCATACAGGTTGATCGAAAATAATATATTTCTATTGGAGGATGAACAATTGAGTAGATTGCAGGGATATGTTTTATCCTCGAAGCTGCGCAAATATTGATCTACACGCGAATTGAATTTACTCCAAAGAGAATGGAGATTTAAACAATAGATACATTGAGTCGAGTTTGTTTTCGACAAATTGATCGGTTTGCGAGAGACGAATAGAGAAGAATGTACTTGCTACTTCGACGAATTAAAATTTTGGTAACAGATTAACTTTCGAGCAACCTGATAGATGTCGATTTTTTGTTACGAGATATGACTCCTACATGTAGTTGTTTCCAGACTTTTCTATCGTGTGGCGCCTAAATAATCGTGATTCAGATTTCGACCACTTTCTTCATTTTGCTCCATATCGTAGCGTCCCTCTTCCACTCAATTTAATCAACGTGAGCAATTTAATTTTTAATTAAAGTAAGCACCTCTCGAACCAATAACTTTTGGCCATGTTCGTGATTTTCGTTGATGGTAATTGTCGCTGTTAAAATTCGGCTGATTTTGTCACGGAGCACATGGAAAGGTTACGAAATTAATTGCGAGTCCAGTAATCCAATTAATACGGGTATATGATTAATTATCGTCGATACAATTTGTGACGTCACTCACCTATAGTGGTGTAAATAGTGCCACAGTAGAACACGGCATTCCAGAATGTCCACACCTTTTGACCACGATCCGTCAGGCCACGTTTGTAGAACTCGTACAGATGTTCCTCATATTTCATTAATTCGTTCCTCGCGCGGCCATCCCACAGATCCGAGTTCTCAGCCAAAAGCTGGTCGTTCCACAACTCTCTAATTATTGTCAGTGTCTCGTTTCTGTGGAAATAATACGAATTTGTGTAAAATTTGTAAATTTGGGAATTTGATTTGGGAGATACTCATACTTTCAACCCTCCGTTTGTCATGAAAATTTAGTAACTGGCTCTGTTACTCTCCTGATACTAAGAGGGCTATTACTGTGTTTGAAAAATTGAAGATTTCGGTATGTTGGAACATAGAAATTTTGAAAGTTGAGGATTTGCAAATGTAGAAATTTAGAGATGAAGGTCCATCAAACGAGACATCAATCGTCAAAGTAACTAGAATCTCGCCAATTTCAATAGAAGGTCTTTTTTCGTATCTGTAATTATTCGATGAATTCCCATCCCTCATTCTGCCTCTTTCAGCTCGTTAACGAGGAGAAACTAGAAGGGAAGCTACTTTCTTTGCGTGTACACTCGTCTGATTCATAGAATAGCTTCGAATGTCTTGAATTATTGAAAGGAAGGAAATCAGTCCAAAAAAGCCAAAAGACCTTGATCCTCCTGAACAAAGCGATAAATGACATCAAACGAGCTAAAAGAGGTACAGGCAAAATTCTTTTACACGTGTTCAAGCTTCTGATTAATTAATTAAATCTCAGAACACTTCATTTGATGAAAGTAATCCACTAAAATTTACAGTTTAGAGCCTCGCAAGTCTGTTCACGCCCTCGCTCGATTTCACACAACTTCTTAGCAAATCATTCCTTTCAATTAACACTCGAACAGTAAAAAAAGAACATAAACGGTATATGTAAGATTACGGAAATTAGTCCTACTTTGTAGTGGCACGCACTCGTTATCGGATCGGTCACGAAATTTGCAATTTTCTCGCGAGAAAGGATCCTAACACGAACCTGGCCTTTGTCTTAAGGTCAATCGATCTGATTCAGAAGATTGCAGAAAAATCGATTCGCCTCTATGCCGTGATGGTTTGCTACCAACATGCACACAAGTGATACGAGTCAAGGAAAGTGTGGACGTTTGGCGTTCTTGACTCGATTTCCACGGTTGATGAAAATGATAAAGTCTTTTTATAGTATGCTTTGCTTAAATGTAATTTTCAGAAGTTTTGCAGTTAATTAGACCTTTCGGAAACTTTGTTATTTCGGGTTATCTTTCGCTACACTCTTCAAGCTTATGGAAATCTAATTTATGAAACAACTGCGTTCAAAGTATAGTGATCCGGTGAAGATGGAAATTTTTAATCTCTTAATGCGGTTTAACTTTCAAACTTTGGAACCTGCCATTTTTCATATTGTCTAATATTTAAATTTTGGACCCGAAATTAAAAACAGAATTGTAAATGATATGAAAGATTGTACTCTAATAATTTATCAAATCATCTATTTATTTAAAATATTTAGACACGAAAGATGAATACCGTGTTAATGTAAAAGATTATCGCGACTTTAAATGCGCTCGCGTGTCAGAAGGTCCTGATATTATCCGGGTAAATTTCCAACTATTTTAAAAACTGAGACACAACAACCCATGAACGCGCTTTTGTTGTAACCGCAAAAAATAAACCAAACGTCACCTTTGTGGCTAAAATAATAAAATGTCGCAGTTTGCTTTTAATCTTCAAAGGCTAATTATTAAAATCCTCCATCCAAAAATGTAGGATCTAGGTATCCAGAGATACAGGAATCTAGTTCTATTTGCTTTCATAGTATAAATGCTGCTAAAATGTAATAAAGTTCGTCATAAAAAAACACAGAGAAACATGCAACGCTTTTTATATGTTTTCTCACGTTTCATTCGTGTTGATACTTTCGTTCGATTGTCCCACATTTTCCTGCTGTTTTCATCATTCATATCGTCGCATTTGTGCTTGCGTTTCAAGCTTCGTTTTGCTTCTAACGAACGTTAAAACGTCGATGTGCGAGTTATTGTGCTTATCCTAGTCGAGAGGATAAACTAATAATCTGACGTCGAGTGAAATAGAAATGCTGCTGGACTATCGAGCGCAGAGAATTTTCCGTACTTTCAGACAGAAACAATAAATAATGCCTGTAACTGCTGCTTTACACTCGATGCCAGTCAAACTAGCAACCGGTGCAGAAAAATAACTGAAAAAGACATTCTGTCGGATGTACTAGCAAAGAAAAATTAATTTATCAGTTATTTTTCCTTGAGTATAATGGACAGCTTTATTATACGCTACTATGTTGGACGGGCTGGCAATGTAACGTCTATTAGATTTCCAAGCTGATTACATGACAAAGGGAGCTTGGAAAATCTCCTCTGATAACTTTTCAATTTTGAAAATTAAAAAATTTCCATCCACGCAAAATAGTCTAAGAATTTAGATCACCGAGTGTTTTTCATTGGCACATATTTGATCGGTGTTCTGAACAACACTTGGACCATATGCCACACGATCATCGACCATTGTCTGATCTTACAAGTAATTAACACACCGAACACCCACCTCTCTTTACGAATGTTGAAATGCATCATGTCCTCGTTCGTGCCCTCGATCGTGACGAATATCATCGCACCCCCGATACTGTACAAAAGCACGACAACAAATAAGAAAATGTGCGTGAACCATCGTTTGCTCCAGGAACTGACCTGTGCAGAAATTCGTACAGTGATCAGTGTTCTGTTGACGACGAGCAAAAGAAAAGCTCGATATTTCATACGCGTTTCAGCGGACCTTCTCGTAAAGCCAGAACGCACTCTTCTCGCCGACGCTCAGCCCTGACTTGGTCCAGTCCTTGATGCCTTTGAACTGACTGAAAACAAACTCGCTCGCCCTGTTCGAGTATATCATCTGCGGTTGACCGGAAACGGGCGTCATGGGGATGGGAGTCTGCCCATATGGGGTGGGCACGTAACCCATCCCTGTTTGCGGATAAAATTGTCCCGGCAGAGGAAGTTGGATTTTCGGCCTTGGCGGTGGCACTTTACGGGCTCCCGGTGAACTCGACATTTTGAAAAAATCTTCAAGCTGCTATCAGGGTACTTCTTCACCCTTAAGTAGAGGATACTTGGAATTCGTTAAAATTATCACAAGTTATCACACTATTTTTGTGCTTCGTTTCGGCTATGTTCGGTTAGAACACATATATATATAAATAGATGATGAAAGTGTTGGCTGGTCTTCGACAAAATTGCGGGAGGAATTTATCGCAGGCAATCAGTCACGCTTGGTGAATCCAAGATGTTAGAGATGCTTTTGAATACCTCCTAATTTATCACACCCCCATCGTTGTCGGATAATCTGGACTTGAACGACCCCTGTTGTCAGATTGTAATAAATCAAACTGCAAGCTTCGAGGGTGTCGATAGAAACGAAGTGAAAAGTCTTCGGAATTATAAATTGATGTATTCGATACAAAAGTGGAATAAGTCAGCATTTACTTGAACGTAGAAAATTATGAAAAAGAAGACAGTAGAATAAGACGCAGAATATTATCGTTCGTGAGCAGAAACAAAGTGACGAGCATGTGCACCAAAGGTTAGGCCACCAGCAATAACGTTCATTGATCTTGACCGTGTCCTTGTCAGCTTCGATCACGATCTTGATGACTTCCGGTTTCACGAACGTCTAAAATTAGCCTGGTGACACCTAGCCGGTCAGCAACCCCGGATGCATCTTCAGCAATAAATAGATTGACTGTTCGCGGAGATGACGACGAATTTAGTCGGCAGCTAGTAGAGTAACTTTACCTCTAAAGGGGTAACAGCAAACAATCCAAGTCGGTTGCCACGAAAATTGTGCGTTTTGAAATCATTCTGATGATCCTGAGAATCTTCTTGATGCTTCGTCTTTTTCCACTTAACAAGTCGATGTCTTTGTCTCTCCAAACGGAGAGTTTTTCAGTCAATGCTGAATTTAGGTGAAACGCAAACAGTCAAGGGCGAGATCTGTAATCCTTTCCCTTGAACTTCTCGCTAATTAAAGCCTTTGGGCCGATAGAGTTTCCGTTACTACAGCAATCGCCACATGAATTTGCAATTCAAATTACTGAAATCTTCCAGGATCTCCTGTTTACAAAAATCTTACCAAGGTAGGATCTTTTCGACAACAATGGTATCAAAGGATAACGTTAACCCAATCTGATAAATTTGAGATGTTGTGTGTCACGTTGGGTACCAATGAATCCAGCAAACGTCTCTTCTTCTCCTTCTGGAAGGAACCACGGGGCTCGTTCGTCATTTGATTCTAATCGCGAACACGATCACGTCACTCCTGGCCTTTAATATCCTGGTACGCGTCATTTGGATCAAGGATAATATCCTTAAAGTCTGCTACTCTTATCGCCGGGGATTATTGAGAAGTTGGATAACATACGACTCATCGATACCTTCTTTAACACCACCACCATTTACATTGTAATTTTCAATGATTCCATATAATTTGCGTCATCGTTGAAACGTTTTGCGTTATACGAACTCTTTGGGTCCCTTTGGATATTGATTTCTTCCTTTCTGTTTTATTTATCAGTCAGATGTTGTTCCGAGTAGTCGATCATCGATGCTTATTTGCTTTCAATCGATTTCTTGAGAGAACCCAGAGAAGATCTCTCGAAGATTTGAATCTTGATATTCACTGTTCACGTGCACTACGACTATTCGAATACTTATCCCTGTACGAGAGAAAAGCCGGATATATAGTGTACGTGTCTCTAGGATACCTCTGGCGGCGGCGTCGCAACGCCAACTGACTGAACGGAACTACTGGTGCCGGGCGTCGCGTCAAGGCGTTTTGAAACAGGCGCTACGATTTACAGGGCCGTAGTGGCTCTTCGGAAATTTAACAAACTTCGATTATTCAATTGCATAATAATATAACAAATATTCAAAATACAGCAAACATTTATAATATAAAAACGAAATATATGTGTGTGTGTTATGTTAAAGCTAATATTCCTAAATCTCTAGATTCCTTGATCCTTGGATCTCAAGATTCCTCTCACTTATACATCCTAACATTTCCAAATCTTTGATAATTATGATTTCGAATATGGTTCAGTGTTTGTTTCCCTTCTACATTTTTCGAATACGATGTAAAGGTATATGTTTTTTTACTCTATTTATTTCGGAATAGCTTATTTTTCGAGACGTTGTGTATGCGACTCGTATAATAGATTTAATGAATGATTCAATCTTCCGCTTTCAGAAATATACATCAGTGTCTCTACCATTCCGAGTTTTCCCCGTGAAAAGGTTCTATTCACCTTTTCTTGTTCCAGAAACAAGGACTCCACTTTATCCGGAGGCAAAGCGTTTCACGCAGAGCGATCCTTCGAAGTGGGTCACCTACATCGATTATACGTATTCGAGAGAACATTTCGAAATCTCATAAAATGGACCAGGGTAAAAAATACGAATGTTGAGGGTAAACTGTAATCTGTTTGATGCAGTGGCATCTCTTAAATATAAACCGAAGCTATTATTAACAGATACGTTTCGTATCCCATCAGTTTTAACCCTTATGGTGTGATAAGTGTTCTTTGAATGACGGGTTCTTTTTTTCTGATTCTTCTACGATTTGAAGTTTAAATTTATTTTCAATTCATTGCCACTCTCACCTTATAAATTATATACTATTTCTTCGAACTCTCTAAATTTGATAGTATTCTATATCATTCTACCTTATAACTTTTATAAATGCTTCGACTTCAAAGCGGTTCGAGCCTGAGACATTTAGATTTTTAAGCACTTTCACCTTTAAGCTTTTCAGGTTTAAAATGTCCCAATCTTGTATCGCGATACTTCGTCTATAAATTTAGAATCACAATTGATCCGCGAAATAATAAACAATCTAAAAGTTACTAGACCGAGAATGGCAGTTTTATTGACACCCGTCGAGACAAATGACACACAAATTCTGCAATAATATCCCCCCACACCAGATAACGAGAATGCGGCCTCCTACGCGACGCAACTTATTTAGAAAAGCGAAGCGTTCACAGACGTACCCGTTTGCCAACAAATACAAATTTACAGCCTCGTGCCTCAATCGATTTATGAGAGAAGACATTTTTCAATGAATCTGAAATGGTACAATTGCGGCGACACGCTTCGTTTCAGAACTTCGCCGCAGATCTGACCGATACATTGTTCCCGGCAAAATGAAAGGGTTGCTTGTTGAATCACACCGAACCATTTCAAAGGGACCAGGAAACCACAGGTTATATATGAATCGTTGAGGTCGATTATTTTTGGAACTGAAAAAAATACGAAATAAAAATGGTGTCTTCTATAAGCTATTAAAGAGTCAAAAGAAAAAATTATAACAGATTTTAAAAATAGGAAAATTTCCAGCTGGTGGTAATTTCATAGTTGTGGAAATCTTCTTACTGCAAAAATAAGGTTACTACAGTTAATTTAAAAAACTTTGTTGAAACTTTTTTTATATATAAGATTGAAATATCTTAATATTTTTTTAATTACATAAAAAAGGGATGATATTGTACTATGCACGCGCTGTTACGAATACAGTTATATAATTAATGATATTACGGACGTAGCTGAATCTATAATTATATACAAGAAACTTTGTAATCCTATGTTCCTTCATAAAAGTTCGACCTACTTAATATGGCGTCCTTGCAGAATTTTTTAAAACGATTAGAAGAAGAGATATGTTAATGATTGAATTTATATCTTAAAGATTTTTGCCTTGAAACATTGTGATACTTTTTAATGTGTGTTTAGATTTACTTGTTGAGATAAAATTTTAAATAAAATATCGTTTGTTTCTTACCATAAGATTTACCAATAAAAAGGTCGTAGTATCTTGTGTATAGATCAATGAGTAGTGGAGTGTTGCCAGGATGAATTATAATGATATTTTGAAAACATTTCCTCGCTATAAATGCATGTAATTTATGTTCCTATGAATTGCTACATAGTGGCTGAAAACCATTAAAAGAAATTTATTTCAATATAACACCAAATCGATGGGCATTTTATTTACTAATTTATAAGTATATTATGTTTCATAAACGGAAACTTCAAATAGCAGCACAGTTGCAGAAATTCAATTGCTCCATCTTTCGTTAAATTCTTCAATTACTCACGACAGTAAGCTGAGAAGTTCGATTTCCACGATTTAAAAAAATCAATCATCCTTTTACCTGTTGTTGTTTTTTCGTTTGTTTCCTATCGGTTGATAAATAATAATTTATTTATAACAAATGAATGTTGATTGCTTTCACAGCAATCACTGCATATAAATCTACCAAAACGACAGAACTTGCGTTTGGATTTGTTGCGCATACACCATGCGCATCGCTTTACATAAAACAAAAAAGTTCAAAATATTAATAATAATTTTTAGATAGTAAGTATTTTTCTTAAATAAATATGTTTAAATTACTTTTATATTTGTATTTTTATTATTACATATTGTAATAAAGTGAGAATTCAAATTTAAAACACAATTTATATTTGCCGCTTTGGGACTTGCCTGCTTACACTATTGGATGCTTTTTCCTTTACAAGTTCTTAGAATCATTAGGGTCCCTAGAATTCTTAAGATCCTCTCAGTTCTTAGGTTCACTAGAATTACGAATATAGACTAAGTTTCCACCGAGGGTTCAAATCGGGTTAGAGTCGGGTTGAGGTGAGCGCTCTTATGGTGGAAACACCAAAGTTGAAGTTGAACTCTACCCTATAAAATTGTAGGGTAGCATTCAATTGAGGTTCAGTGGAAACGACAAAAGTCGAATTCATGTTGCCAACATAACAAGTCCAAATTGCATTGTGTATTGGTGTAGACAAGATTATAATAAAATGTAATACTAATGTTTTAACATAACAAAAACATAAAGTATTAAATAAATGATTTACATAAATAGTAACAAAATGTCAGAAGTTATAATTTTGAGCGATTCGAATGAATCAGATTTATCCATTGAATTAAATGATGAACTGAAAAATATTAACGAAAAGAAGAAACCGAAACCTCTGTTTAATGATTCTGATTCAAATGATTTTGAATTTCCTGAGGTACAATTCTTTCATACTGTCAACAGTACATCATGCGACAATAATAGTATGAATTATTCACATAATTTTGATTCTTGTATACCATTATGTCAAACTAATAATAAGTTTTCTACTGATAATAATGCTTGTCATGTACCTAATTCAATGGATTTTTCAGAAGAATCATCAAAAGGTAAAAATAATTATGAGAAAACAAAAAAAAATAAAACTTTGACAAAAAAAAGTAAGGATCACATAATGGATCAAGGTTTAAAAAAACAGGAACTATTGAAAGAAAAAGCACTAAGAGCAGTTGCTTTAAAAAGATCAAAAAATCTTAAACCTGGCGAATGTTTGAAATTTATAGAAGTTGTTCTTGATACAAGTATTGAGAATTATCCTTTTATTACAGATATTGTGAACACATTACTTGATGCCAATGTAAGATATAGTATTAACACAGGATTAATTTCAAATAGTATTTTATGGAAAAGAATTGTTGAAAATCATTATGTTAATGAAAGCAATGAAATATGTACAGCAACAGATATTGAAACAATTAATCAAATTGTAGTAATTTGGAATTGGGATGAAGTAGTAACTAAAGTAATTGATGGTAGTTTCTGTGATTCAATAGTTAATATTAAAACTTCTTTATCAAATTACAAAATCATATTAGTAATATTTGGTATAGATGACTATTTTACACATAAAAAACAAGTAAAACATTCAGGTAAAAAGAAAACAAAAAGAACTAATGCATGCAATACCGATGAATTTAAAAATTTCCAAGAAATATCAAGGCAAGAACTTGAAATGTGCCTTAATGAAATACAAATTGTTGCAAAATGTAATAGCAGATTAATTAATACTTCTCAAGATTTAGCATTGATGGTGTATCAATGTACAAAAGCTATAGCAGAAATACCATATAAATTAGAAAAAAATAGAAATTTAAATAATAAATTTGACTGGTACGTGATGGGAGATAATAGAAATACTGTACGTGTAGATAAAGATGGAAATGGATTAAGAAGACTGTGGCAACAACAACTTTGTCAATTTAATTTAAGCAGTCTAGAAATTGCAGAAGCAATTTGTTCTGTATATTCAAGTCCTTCAGATTTAGTAGAAGTAAACATAAATCATATAATTAGCATATTTCAATAAGTCTGTTTATTATATTTCTTTTTTTCTTTTTAGACTTATATGAATTGCACAAATGATGAAGGATTAAATTTATTGAAAGACATTCCAGTAAGTTATAAATACTCTTTTTATCATAATTTATATTGATGAAAGAGATTTAGTTTGCAATTTCTAACATTTGACATATTTATTATATTTTTATTCTTAATTTATAAACATGTATTTAATTTTACAGATCAGAAGAGCAGCTGGACCTCTTACAGCAGTACGAAAGGTAGGCCCAGAGTTAAGTAAAAAAATATATTTAATGTTTACATCTGAAGATGGTGAAAATATTTTAAGCTGAATATAGTCATATTAATGAGTTCAATAAACAAATTAATAAAAATGATATGATGAATAAATGTTATTCCGCTATTTTCTTTTGATAATCAGACAGAAAAATTATAATAACAAACTCACATATCTTATATAGATTTTTGCTTATTCCAATATTATCAAAAACCAAGAAATTATCTTCTGTATATCATACAAATAAATAATTTTCTGACATATTTATGAAAATTTTAATAAATCTTTATATATTAAATATTTAAAAACCTAGCGCATAATTTGACCAAATAAAAAAAAATATTAAACAGAATATGTTTTACTACTACATTCATTTATGTTGATATAATAAATTGGTCTAATTCTGCGCTAGATATTCTTGCATACGTTATATATTATGAAATATAACAGTTTTACTATACCAAAGGTATATACAATGCATTTGTTCACAGCAAATTTGACTATGATAGTCGGTTAATAAAAGTAATTTTCTAACATTTTTACAAATATTTATTAAACATAAAATATCTAAAAGTTTATTATAAAAGAAAGAGAGATTTAAATCGTTTTATAGTAACTTTTCTGTACTATCTTACAGTAAAAAATATATAAATGATTAAATGCAGTTTAAACTAAATTTTTTTGCAAATATCCAATATAACTTTTTCTAAAGTATCATTTTCTGTATACAGTCTAAGATTACATAACTCTCACATGAATTTCTTTACATGCATTCTTCATACATTTGCTTCCCACTATTTAATATTGCAAATATATAGCTTTCCATAAAAGAGAAAATGTAACATATTTATGTTTAATGAGTAGCTAAATCAATTGCAATGAATAAGTCATGTTTTTTAGTAATGTACACTATGATCTAATTGTTATTACATGATTAAATTTTGGGCATATTAATAATCGTATTAAAATTACATTGTTGTGTGTTCTCTAATTAAGAAAATATTATTGATGGTATTTTTTGTTAAATAAAATATGTACTTATATTAAACTTCAATGGCAAAAAGAATTGACTGATGTATTTAAATCAAAATAAACTTGGCAGTACTGTTTTTGTTATAACAGTATTATATAATTTTCTAATTTTAATATATCTTTGAAATAATATGAAAGTTACAATTAAAATTTGGAAGAGATAAAATATTGCGTATAATGAAATGAAATTTTTCGTTTCATTTTTGTTACGACTTTTATGTGAAATGTATTGCCGATAAGAGCTATTTGTCTCTATTACCTGTTAACATGCATTCTACAAAAGAAATTACGATTTTCAAAATCGATTTATTATTGATAGTTGCAAAATCGATTACAAAATCGATTTATTATTGATAGTTGTATTTATATACTAATAATATATATCAGTTACAATCTTAACAAGTTATGGAATATTAATTAATATTAAATAATATTATGAAATTTTGTATTTTTTAAACACATTCAACTTAAAAAATGCATATTGACAGTAAAGAGATGAACAGAATTTTGCAATATATTAACAGTAATTTTGTTTTTGCAAAATATCAATAAGAAGTTTATATAAATATTAACGGCAGCAATACATTTTGTAAGTAAATTGATGCATTATTATTTTGGTAATGTTTTTGATAGTACACACTGATTTTATGAATGATTTTTTTCGTTAACATAATTCTAAATAATTTAAACTGTTATAAGTTGATACTGATTATAGAACATTGTTATTTTTTCGTTTCTGTTTCTTAAAAATTTTTCACTAATTTGCTGATCATTATAAAACGTTTTTAAAATTACAACTCATATTTTGAAGTAAAAAAATGCAAATAACGAGTATATTTAAATAAATGGAAGTCGTTTGTAAAAACAGCGTAGTACAAGATGTACAGTAATATTTAATATACTTAACTTTCTATTCTACTTTGCATCTTTACAATGTTACTTAATAATGAAAATGATAAGCTGATATTTATTTAAAATAAAAATATAAACATAATATAGGAATAAAAGATGAATTCTGGTATTAGAAATTAAATTTTGATCGAAAAGATAGATTAAAAAAATTATAATGAAATAAATCTATCACATCTGAAATACATGCTGTTAAATTATTAGCATACGATGAAAATCTAATTTTACATTCATAATATTTTAATTGTATTTGATAAACAGCTACAGTAAATTCAATCAATCTTTCCATACAAAACTGTTTAATGAATAATTAACTCTCGATCTACGAAACATAATATAATTATTGCCAATTACTTTGATTTTCTTTTATATTTATGTGAAAAAATATTCATGTTCCCAATATTATATTAAACTAAAATGATAGGAGTATAAAGGTAATAACAAGAATATATCTTTTCTGTTTCGGCCTACAAATTTAGGATAAAATACATGAATTAATATTTAAAAAATGAAATACAAATTATATTAAATTTTGCATCATTTTGACGAGTCAAAAAACTCAGGAAAAACAAATTTAGGTTAGAAAAGAATAGGAAGCCAAACAATAATGCTTCTGTAAAACGATGATACTTAATTTATTATCTTTATACTCATCTAAAACCATAATTTTAAATCCACTATAATTTATAGTTTCACTCGCACACACATTCAAGCATTTGGCAGGCAAGAACCTAGGAAAATCTAAATAAAAGAGAAAATCATATCACTGACAGTGCTTCCAGGTGTATTAGGTCCTTTCAAGGTATCATTTATGTCTCTTCTAAACATAGATAAATTTTGTGTAAACCTAAAATAAAAAAAAAATGTATACAATATTCTGGCCCTTAATATAGCTTTTTTTTCTTCCGCCGCTTTTTCTTACCTATCCCTATTTTTCGTGAGTAAGTTCCTTTCAATCCCTTCCATTAAAGATCCAAACCACTGTGCCATTGTTGCTTGCTTGTCAACTGGTTGACTTCTAATAATATTTTCTCGTAATTGATTAAAATACTGTAATTGTAGTTATTTAATATTAAATTCAAATATTATTTCCTAATGTTATTTATAAAATTTATGTAAAAATGATATGAAAGACCATTTACACTTACCTCTTCGTTTAAAAGAATCAATCCCAAAAGAGGACGTGACATACTCCACTGATTTCTACAATCTTCAAACATTATCAGATTTAAAACTATGCTTAATATTTGCTGTAAAATTTCAGGATGCTGTTTTAAAACTTGTAAGAATAAGTCACCACCTCCTGGAACTACAGCATTCTTCCTTCCTAATATAAGCATAAAAGATATAAGTTGTATTCGAATTGGTATTAATATATGTATATAAAGTAATTATTACTGAATAAATATACCTTTTTGATATAATTGTTTAAATAAGTAAGTCACAATATGATCAAGTGCTGCGCAACAACCGGTACACACCATTGTATCTGTAATAAAATTTTATGATTTTTATTTTATATTTTCATATTAAGAAAATAATATAATAAAAATTACTATATAACGATAAATAAAATGCACATTGATATTTTATAAATAATAATTCGATAACATTATTTATGTTTATACTTTTTTTAACTATAAGCTATACAATATCCAGCATATCATATATCAAACACAAAAGAAAGCACAAACACGAAAATTAACACATCATATATCATGCACATAATAATTAGTAAGTTAGTAATTCAAGTATCTATAACTATAAAAAATAATGTATTTTAATAGCATGCCAGTTGTGCGGCTGACTATTGTGTGCTAGACCCACTATGTAATTTAATTTTAAAGGAATACAAAATTTATGTTTATAAATCATGTTGGGCTAAAAGTACCGATAACGGTTTTAAAAAAAAAGCAATACAATAACAGCACTTAGGGTCTAGATTCTATAAACTCCAATCCTCTTATTGCCTATATCATTATTATGACTCCATCATTCACTTTATATGCATAAAAATAAATTACTTAATATATATATATTTATATATACATTCATATATATAGATATATATTTGTTCTTGTATCTTTTCAAACCATAGCTTAACTAATATCTGTAGGCAATTTTACATTCCAAGCAACAATGCAAAAAGCAAATAAACATAAATAAAATTAAACATTCTTATAATCTAACATTTTATTTATATTTTCTATGTTGCATATAGTCTTACAACTGTTTAAAAATTATTCAATATGTATTCACACATGCATATTAAATGATTTAATTCTTTACTTGAAATAAAAAAAATTTTATCCAAATTTTTTAAATTCATTAATTTCGAAACATAATTTAAACACAGTAACATAAATAGGTAATAGTAAAATCCCTAATACATATTCAATTACGAAGTACATTGTGAATTGTTTGAGTATTCAAAAATATAATACAAATTTGGTGAATATTTTTCTAAAGAGAAAAAATTAGTGTAACTGATCGAGACTAACAATCCCAAGGCATGGCATAGAGGATAAGAGAATGATAAATAGAGAGAATCAGCCGCACAAACCTGTATAGGAGTCTTTTTGCGCACCTAGTGCTGTAAGGCCTTCACTGATGCTGGATAAGATGTACAAGAAAACTCTTGGTTCTAAAGTGGAAAGAAAAACCATATGGTCCTGTGCCAAACATTCAAGTAAGACATAGTATGTTGCAGATAATTTTGGATAATCCTATAAATAGCAATATCAAACTATTGATATATTGTTTATGCATTTTAAATTAAGTTAAAAATTGTAATTGTATGAATGCATACCAATAAATCACTTTGTGGTATACTAAGAAGTAATTTTACAAACGTATTAAGTGCATTATCCAATGCTTCATCGCCGTATAATCTGAATACGCCAAAATTTACGTAACTTCCACATAAAGCTGCTCTTAACATACTGAAGCATATACTTATTCCTTTAAGCTTTAATGGGTATATTTGCTCCTTTGGAACTTCGACGTTTAATATGCGATTACCATAACTACATATTACTTTACTAGCTTCACGAAATAATAAAATGCCATTTGGAGAAGAGGCATCAAATTGTAATCTTTGACTCCTATTTTGTACTAATTCAGCAAATAATTTTAGGACGGGTGTTGTCACTTGTGGTTCATAATGCCACAATTCCACAGCATGTAACAAAATTGGTGTATAGTTTGGATATCTACATATAGATTAAGGCAAGTTATAATAATCAGTTTTAATCTATTATCTATTGTGCATTAACCAATATATATTTTTGAGAAAAGGATACATCCAATCAAATAACATCATATAAGATGTTTTTGTGTTGAATGCATAAGCTAAGCCTCTTAAGTCTCTTGCTAAACCAATTAGGGCTTTCTTTGCTTCTTCTGCACCAAATAGTGAAGGATCAGCAGCACCCATTAATTGCCCTAAACTTTCTAATGCACCTGTAAACAATGGATATAACCGTAAACATTAAAAATATATATTAAGAGAATCTTAAATATAAAGTAACTTTCATACCCGTTAAAGGTAACATAAAAGTATGAAATCTTTCTTCATCTTCGCCTAAATCTACCATCAATAATCTACCCAAAGACGTGTAAAACATTGATCTACAACGCATTTCTGTTACAGCAACATTGTTTCCCAAGAATGGAAAATGCTCTCTCTGTTAATTTAAAAAGCAGATAAAGTACACGTGTAAAAACATTTCTTTAATGGTAATTACATAATGGGTATTAGTAAGCATATAAATACTTATACATACTGTATGATTGTTGAGCATAAATTGTACTTCTTCTAGTTTTACAAGTTTACGAACGCAACTATAACCCACCGACAAATCATTTAATAATTGTAATGTTTTTGAAATAATTTGTTCACTTCGACCCCAATATTTCAGATTTGTTATTCTGTAAATATTAAAAATGTCAAGCTCGTGCATTTTACACTACATTTTTTCAAATTATCCTTTACTCACATTTTTCGTATAAGAATGCCAAGTACCATAGATTCATCATTAACTCCCAAAACATCCGACAGTCTTCTATATACTTTAGAATTTTTTTGAACTTGATCACCTACATATATTTTACGAAACTGTTCAAAGAAGCTCAACATTGCTAATTCCAATTTTTCACAGCCACCTTGTGCAAGTCTTGAATCGGTTAAATTCATTAACTGAAGTACTCTGCAGACTAATTCACCATCCATTGCATCATATTCTTCATTGCTGTTAAATGTTATTTTGCCACCAATAACGCCACCTATTATTTTAATATTATGTTCAGTAAGCATTTCTTTGCTTATATAAGTATTACTTTACTTATCTGTAAATGACTTCTTACCTATAATATATACAAGCCATGTAAGTTGGCCTTCTTGTATAGTGATGTCCATTTGTTGAGCTGGAGATGCTGTCTGTGTCATTAACTCTTGGTATGTTCTAGCAGCTTGATCAAATAACTGTACTAATAAAGTACATGTTTTTTGATATTCACATCTTCCTATTACTGATATTTGCTCCAATTGTTGATGAACTACTGATAAATCATCAAGTGGGTCTTCTAAACGTTCCCTAACTACTACTGCAACTGACTCAAGTCTTGAGGTAACATATGCATTTACAATTTCTGGAGTATATGTGTCTAATAGATGTGGATCTCCTGCTTTCACATAAGGCATAGAAGACACCATTCTTTGCCACAAAGTTAAAAGGTAATGTAAACTGTTTGGTGCAAACTGCCACATTTGTAAGCTCTGAACTGTAAACTTTGCAATTAACTGTATAGCTTCTGGATAATCTTTGACTAAAACTAATTCTCCAAGTTGAAAATTGGTTTTTAATCTTGATAGTAATCTACAAAATTCATGATAATTTCCAGGATCACTCAAACCTCGAGGGTTTTGTAATATGTGTTTTACACCATTGACCAAATGTGTCAAAAACTGTGCCCTCTCTGGATTAGAAAATAAACTTCTTCTAAGAGATGCTATTTGAACCAAACAAGAGAGAGCCAAAGATGATAATGAATTAGGTAAATTATGATATAAATCGAAGAAGAGTTTTAATGTTGTAAAGTCCAGGAATACAGGTCTCCACCTGGATGGAATTTGTACAGTACTGAGATCATCTGAACTTTCATCTGTTGATGTTCCAATAAAGTCGAATGTCAAACAATTTTGTGCAAGTTTTAAAAGTTGTCTAATTAGACCATGCTAAATAAAAGAAAAAATTACAATAATATTATTTAAATATATTATGAAGCATACTCCTTATACTTAATTGTAAAAAATTGAAAGTAGACATAACATACCTGTGCTTCATCATTAAAATTTAAATTTTTGCAATTCTCACGTGCTGTACTTAATAAAGTACAAGATAACCTAAATATTTCAAAAAGCTGGAGGTCTCTGAAGCTACTAGCAATTTTTCTATGTTTAGTAAGAGATCTGTTTGCATCAATGTCTGATACTTGATTCATTTCACATGTTAATTGAGACAATAATTGAACTCCTATCATACAGTGTTCTACTGATCCCTGTATTATATCAATATATTATAAAAAAATAATTATTGCTAAAATTGAAATAATAAACAACAAACCTGAAGAAATTTTGACACATCGCTAACCACATTAGTAAAAACATATTCTTCTTTATCACGATCAAACCAACTAAACTTTGATATCCTGGCAAATAATGTAACCAAAGCCTGTATCACAAAGTTTGGTAACTTTGGTTGTGTTGCTAGATAATTAAGAACATAGTTTCCTAAAATGAAAAAATTCATTTTAAATACCTTTGTCTTCTGTATCTTAAATTTGAATAAATATACTCACGTATATCAAGTCTTTGTTGTAAGCTAAGCCCTGCAGAACGTGAAACCAATTTTGTTAATGTAGTGGCTGCCAATAATTGAGCATATGCAGAATCTCCTCGGTCCAGTAGGAGCTGGCACTTTGTAAGCGTATCAGGTGCATTTTGAAAAGCAACAAGTGCTTTCTCAGCTTCAGCACGATGCGCAGAATCTTGTGATTCATATAATTGTTTGCACAGCAACTCCAGCTGCCTTACCTCCTGTATGTCATTCATTTTTAATGTTACAATTTAAGTATAAATTGTAGTATTTCCACATATGTAGTTTAAATCTATATATTTCACAATCATAATTTTATATTTTAGGCTATTAAACAAGTTTTAATTTTGTCATGTTTGATGTTTACACACATTAGAGTAAATTACATCACTATTTCGTCTTTCACTTTTATCACAGTAGATAAAATTTATATTAAAACAATAATATAACAGACTTAGCAAAAATGTTGCAAATGAAATAAAGGTGCACTGATCTGCATATGGAAAAATTAATTGTCATTAATAAATATTTAATATTTATTTATGCCTTTAAAAATCTATAATATATAAGAACCATAGACTTTTTCAAAATTTTAGTTCTGTATATTAATAAGCAAGTAGTAATAAAAGTATAATAATTCTTTCTTTTCTAAACTTAAATATTATATTAAGGTTAGACCACGATAATCTATATTTTGTAAACAACAGATACTAACTAACTCAATTATGAATTATTTAATACCGAATTAAAAAATACCAAGAAGCACATTTAAAATTATTTGTAATTAAACTAAACTATTGTAATTAAGGAAAATTTATATTTCATATGAGGTAAACAACAATCTAATTCATATTTAAGAAAAAAAAAACACATAACAGTTTACATTGCAAAATAGGAGTAGATAGGTTATGCCATATTTTAAGAATAATTTTAAATAATAGTGTAACATAAAAATATTTACAATCATTCAACTTTTCAAACTACAATAAGTAAATATAAAATTCATGATTTTAGATGATATTTTTATCCACTAATTATCTCTTGGAACACTAGAATTATATCTACACAGTATCGTTCACGAAAAACAAGGTTAAAATTTTACACATTGACAACACAGCTATATTTGTATAATACAGTGCCGACAAATTAAAAAATGCAAGATTTGTTTCTTTATATCATCGTTTTCGCTGACAGTATAACAAAATAATCACTATAATCCGGCAACAAACAGTGTAGCTTTAAAGAATACTTGAATTTTTCAACAACAAAATGTTCGGGACACACATTCATACCACATAACTTGCAACAGACTTATCACCGGCTAGTTCATTACACGATTTTCGAAATCACTTCATCATACATAACTCCATCGCATTTTGAGGTTTGCGTGTTATTTTGATCGGTAACTCACCTGTTCGTCCGCCATTTTCGCAGCTTCGTATTATCTACAATGAAGGCAGGATCACATGCTTTAATCTCGACTGCCATAACATGTTATGTATAGTCCCTGTCATGAGAGAATGTACTTCCCGGAAGAGGAGTTTTCGTTTATTCTGCGCATGTTGGCTTTGATTGGTTTTAATCACAGATTCCACTGCACTTCATAATCAACAGCAATACGCATGCGTGTTTGCCACATGTGTGACACTAAAAGTATATATCCAGTGATTTTTTATTTGGCATACTTTGTTACATTACCAATTCTTTTCATTATTTGTATATTTTTACTCACTAAGTATATAATCATAGAACGTAAAACACGCTATAGATTGGCGCTGTACTAAAAATAAAGATCCTTCTGAACATAGCTGAAATGCGTTAAAAAAGCACAGTTTTATATTTCTTGTGTTGGAAGCATTAAAAACACCATCTAGTAAAAAATATGTATATATATATTTATATCCATACTTTTTTTTTGACGGTTTGATCATTGGGACGATATAAATTAAATTAAAACAACATTCTGTTGTACTTTATAATTCTGTAATGATTTTAAAATATATAATAAAGGACAACCAGTCCAACTTTCGTTTCAAATTCATTAATATTTTTACATTAAGACAAATTTATTGAATGACATTACAAATTTAAAAATTGCAAACTTAATATAACATGATTGTCGTTAAAAAAAATTGTAACAATGAAAACATTTCAATGTCGATTTATATCAGCTTTATTGCATGTATCATTTTAATAACTAATTAAATTAAATCTCGCTGAAAACACCTTTATGAAATAAGTAATAAATGATATGAAACTTTTGGGAAATACAAATAAATAATTAAAATCTGTAAAAAACATACGAAATGTCAAAATGTTACATTACCTTCTCCTCCTTTTGTAGATTTAGTATTTATCGATTAGTATTACATACTATATGATTAATAAAGCTGTACGTAAGTTTTCAAACACATGGCGTTTTTTTTTAAGATTAAAATACTACTTTATTGCTCATAATCTATTAATAAAAATAAACATGATCAAATATATTAAAAGTATGTAAGACGATAATTGATCTTATTGTGGAATTTGTCAATATCTTAAATAAAAAAAGCATTACATGCAAAATAAACGTTGTTTTATATTAATCTATAACAGTTTTAAAATGGAAAGGATTGCCATTACTGATGATTTGTAAATGAATTTGAATTTATCTTTTGTACATTACGTATTATTATGCATGATCTATAATATGTGAAGAATAAATGTAAATAGAATATTCAGATTGGGGCCTTTTCCTTTAGCCAATGTAACAATATTTCTTAAAATTTCGTACAATTGTTTACAATGAATTGTTATAACTTTTATCTTTAATAGAAGTCATGTAGCATCGCGCGCTAAACAAGTTAAATAAAAAAAAATGTTTAAAAAACCGTTAATTTTAGGAGTATGAAATACATTATCCTGTAATTTTATGTACATACTTCATAAATTTACTGTTAACAATTTTTTGATAAGCTTTATTATTTATGTAATTTATTTATGTGTGGAATAATGCAAGTTGCAATAAATTCATCAAATTTATCAGGAACTGTACCGTGCGATATTAGTTGTAAAGGAAAATAATTAAATGTATACCATAAGTAGATAACAAATATTCAAAACGTCGCCTAAATTTGTAATTAAATTATTAATTTTATCAACGAGCAATGGTTTTAATTATTGATATTCATATAATATTTACATTAATTACTTGTACAAATAAATTTGAACAATAAACTTATTAAATTCAAGGGATAATGATGGATATTTTTCCATTAAAATTCCTGTAACTTCTTGTATACGTATTGTATTTCGAATATAGCTTTTCCACAGCCTTCATATTGTTTTTACGTAATCAATTTTTTACATGAAATTCCATGCTAATATTAACAATAAACATCACAATATTTTCTTAAAGATATCTCTGTTATACTATTATTTCTGTTAAGCATAACATTCAGCTTATAATCGAAATTAAATTACGATCAAGACACGTCGTTCATCACAAAACTGTTGAGATTGAATTTAATCATGTTTTATCATTTTCTCATTTGTATCAAACAAATCTTTCATGATGTTTATATAATATATATTTTTTTATATTCACAAATATTTAACATAATTGATTTTAATTAAAAAATATTGCATAATAAAGATCTTGTGTACTTATAAATTTATTGATTCAAATATTTAAGACCCCAATCTAAATAAAAAATATATACGTATACATACATATATATATGTATATATATATATATACATACATACATATATTGTTATTTTGCATCTGAATGTAGGGTTCAAAAAACAACATTTTATATATACATATATATACATATACATATACATATATATATATATATATATCACACGCGCGCGCGTAATTAGATAGCGGTAATATAATAAAGCGTGTGTTTATACAAATGGTGTGTCAACACTTGCCAAAATTGCTATTATGCTATTTTGTTCATTAAAGTATTTTATATCCAGAGCATGCTGTATACTACAAAAGTATTGTTTGCACTGGAGTCCCATATATACATACCATAAAGTTATAGAAAATCTTCATGCCATCACTCTAGCTTAAAAATCACAATTCTTTGTACCCAATTTAACTACATGCAATTCACAATTTTTAATGTTTCACAATTCTTTTACCTTTAATATAAAAATTGTTATAATTGTAGAATAATGTACAATATCTACTTAATACTATTTGTTACATATATAATGCAAAATTATTAATTTTATCAACGAGCAATGGTTTTAATTATTGATATTCATATAATATTTACATTAATTACTTGTACAAATAAATTTGAACAATAAACTTATTAAATTCAAGGGATAATGATGGATATTTTTCCATTAAAATTCCTGTAACTTCTTGTATACGTATTGTATTTCGAATATAGCTTTTCCACAGCCTTCATATTGTTTTTACGTAATCAATTTTTTACATGAAATTCCATGCTAATATTAACAATAAACATCACAATATTTTCTTAAAGATATCTCTGTTATACTATTATTTCTGTTAAGCATAACATTCAGCTTATAATCGAAATTAAATTACGATCAAGACACGTCGTTCATCACAAAACTGTTGAGATTGAATTTAATCATGTTTTATCATTTTCTCATTTGTATCAAACAAATCTTTCATGATGTTTATATAATATATATTTTTTTATATTCACAAATATTTAACATAATTGATTTTAATTAAAAAATATTGCATAATAAAGATCTTGTGTACTTATAAATTTATTGATTCAAATATTTAAGACCCCAATCTAAATAAAAAATATATACGTATACATACATATATATATGTATATATATATATATACATACATACATATATTGTTATTTTGCATCTGAATGTAGGGTTCAAAAAACAACATTTTATATATACATATATATACATATACATATACATATATATATATATATATATATCACACGCGCGCGCGTAATTAGATAGCGGTAATATAATAAAGCGTGTGTTTATACAAATGGTGTGTCAACACTTGCCAAAATTGCTATTATGCTATTTTGTTCATTAAAGTATTTTATATCCAGAGCATGCTGTATACTACAAAAGTATTGTTTGCACTGGAGTCCCATATATACATACCATAAAGTTATAGAAAATCTTCATGCCATCACTCTAGCTTAAAAATCACAATTCTTTGTACCCAATTTAACTACATGCAATTCACAATTTTTAATGTTTCACAATTCTTTTACCTTTAATATAAAAATTGTTATAATTGTAGAATAATGTACAATATCTACTTAATACTATTTGTTACATATATAATGCAAAAGTGAAATGACTTCACATATTTCATTAGCAATATTTCTTTTTTTTTTCCTTTTCTTTTAACATATATTCGTAGTTTAATTTTCATGCAAAATTTATATTGTATAAAATTTAAAGTATATGTATTGAAATTAATATTGAAAATTATATACCCATAAGCTTTGGTTCGAATTTTATTACTAATTGTAAGACTGAAACATTCGAATTACTTCTTGTTCAATGCGTACCTGTGTGTGCTTAGGCGCAAACGCTAATAAGAGAATATTAATGGTTCACTGTTATTAACCATATAAGTAGAAACGGTATTTTAAATGTTTAAAAAATTCAAAACTAATAATTATAAACGCATATAATATTGCTCAAAACACATTTACAGTTTATTTCTGAGGAAAGAACGTGATTAATGTAGCTTAAACAAAAATTCATAAATATGATCAATTTGAGATCATTAGTCAAAACCTAATAGTTGATATTTTTTTTATAGTAGCTAAAATTACTTCAAAGTCACTGTATTGCTTTTTTATAAATTAATATTTACAGTTTCATGTAATCGAAATTTATATTTTAAATGCAAATGGTATTGTATTAATGGCTGTGCAAAGATTATTTCCATTTACTTTTCAATGTATAATGTGATCCTCATAAAATTAATGTTGATAGAAACTTATGTTTTCAAGTAATGACTGTACATCTAGAACACTAAATATGGATATAGCAATTCACATTAGCTAGTTTTAGAAGGTAATGAAACATGATAATTATCATAATCCTCCTACATTTTAAGATCTTATATTCCACATTCACACAGAATGAGTACTCCAATCAAACATTTTACAATCCTCTTACTATAAATTAATTACATTAAAAAAAAATTATTAATTTACTATAATACAGCTAGCATCTTATTAAGTGTATCCAGCCTCCCTAAAAACGTTTTTGTTTCGTTTACATATTGTAAGTCTTTTTTTCATAGTAATAGGAAAATGGTCAACTTCTATCATGTCATAGAGCGTAGAAGAATTCCAGATATGGCCAAAGCAAACAATCATTTACATCCATGGGATGTATTTATATGGTTTTAATATACTGTTCGTTACTAAACGCAGTGCGTCAAGCACGTATAAATTAATTCATAGTTTTATGTGTCACTCCATGTATCCTATTTTAGGGAATTAATTTTGCTTTTCACAGCAAATAATAAACAAAAATTAACGACAGTGTCTGAGATTCTGTCTGTCTCTTTCTAGGTGCTGTTCGTACTGGACACTGATTTTTCATTCTCTGCGTACACTATTGTGAACACATTGAACTCACTCACTAACCACTTGTCTGAAAAAATAAAATACAAATACAATATATTTCCATTGGATATATTAAATGTAAAAGTAAACTATATTTACACGTTTAATCCTAAATAAAATACTATTATTGAAACTACAATTTATTCTGTAATACCTTTAGAGAGAATATCTAAAATCTGTAAACTGTTACTTACAATTATATCACAATGAAGGAATATTCATATAGATGCGTCACTCAAATGCTGTAAGAAAACATACATAATATTAAACATTATTTAATACAAATAATTACAATTTTTCCAGTTGTACTTACGGGATGGAGATCTAGTGCCAGTCTGATTCACGCCTGAAGCATTTATTGCTGCAGGTCCACAAGACACGGATCCATTGGATGGATTAAAATTTAAAAAATCCCAAATCAATATTGTATCATCGTGTGAAGATGATACTATTTGAAATTCATCAAACTGAAGGCGAAATACACGTCCCGTATGTTCCTACATCATAAAAATATATATAATGACATTTTATTTATAAAATATTAATAATTTAATAGAACATTAACATAAAATATCTTACCACTAATGTACGTAGACAAAGTGAATTAGCTAAAGCACGTGGATCTAATGCTGCTACTAAATCCCATACTTTAATTTTTCTACAAGATGAGACAAAAAATACACCATGAATATAATAGTATAAATAAAATATGAAAACTTTCTGTTTGTACTTACCCATCATATGCTCCACTGACTATATGCTTGCTATCAAATCTAATACATCTAACCAACTCTTCGTGTCCTTCTAAGACACGTAGGCACGCACCACATTCAATATCCCACAATCTGATCGTGTTATCACTGCTACCACTAACTACTAAGCAGTCCCTATACTGTAAACACGCTATACCCCGTTTATGTCCATTTAATGTTCGCACAAATTCGCAAGTAGATGTATTCCATACTTTGATAGTCCTATCACCACTAGCAGAAACTATATATTTTTCATCAAAATCAACAACATTCACTGCTGCCCTGTGTCCCACTAGTACTCTTCTTAATGCAATTTCCGTTTGCGATGTCATGTCCCATACTGCAATCGAACGGTCCTGAACACAATTACAAAATAGTATTATTCCTCATAACTAATAAAAACAAACATAAATATTTTACAATATGTAGAATGAAAATGTACGAAAATTTTAATGACCTTTGAACAGGTAACCATCATGCCATTGTTAAATCGAAGATGTAAAACTGCTTCGCAGTGATGTATCAATGTGTTAACCATTTCTCCAGTGTTAGCATCCCAAACTCTTACAGTGCTATCAGAGGAACCAGATATTATTGCTTTATCATCATATTGTAAACATAAGACAGAACCAGTATGTCCTGTTAAGACTTTAATACATTGCAGTGTACTTCTGTCCCAAATTTTAATTGTATTATCTCTAAGACCAGAAACTATTTTTTGATCATCATATTGCAAACAGTAGACACCTTTTGAATTTTCACTTCTACAGTTTATTCTTTGGAGATTAAATCTTCCCATTTTCCAATTATTATCTATACTATCAATATCTTTAACTATTTTAGGATAAAGAGATCTATAAAAATTGTGATTTGGATGGCTCTCTCCTGGTCTTGGTTTAAATAAATACTGAATCCTAAAAATGAAATTAAACAGAATATACAGAAATGCACATAAATTAGTACATCTTAAAAAATAATATTTCATAGAAAATATTAACAAACCATCCTCTTCTTTCTGCCAGACCTCTCCAAACTGAATCAGTCCGAACTTTACGTTCAATTAATTTTTTCCAAAGCATTCCCTCGCTAATTACTCTATGCCACTCTTTACATACTAATTCTGCAGCAATTAAAGAGTCAGCATCAAGATATGAAAGAATACTTTCTGCCACATGATCTAATCCCTTTTCTAAGAAAAGATAATATTTGATAGATACATTTATTTTAACATAAAAATTAGACATTTTTAATATAAATGTTTACTTGGTAATAGAGAAATAAAATCCCTTTGCAACATAGGTTTTAGATATGCATTGATGTGCCCATGCTGGTAATGACACATTCTTGCTAATAACTGTTCAACAAAATTAACTTGTTCTGGTTCACTCCATTTTTCAAAAAGTTTCATACATATTTCCTTTTCTTGCCCATATTGTATAGATATCCCTGAAGGTAGGTCTTTCTTACGGGTAGGATCATAAAGTATCGTTATAGGATACTGAAAAAAATATATAAATTATGCGTTATTTTAAGAAAATATGTAAGTTTAAACTATAATTTATAACAAATTTTAATAGAAATAAGAAAATGAGGCATACGAAATGTGAATAAAAATATTTACATATATTTATAAAATTTATATTTACACGTTTTTGTTAAGTACAATTGTATTATAACTAAATTACAGTACTTATATTTTTTATTATCATGGATGCGCGATTGATCGATAATCGCGGCTATTATTAATGAAGGTAAATAAAGAAAATCGAAAATATTTAACAATTTTTTGCATAAAATTGATGCAATATCAGTAAAGAAAATATTCAACATTTCATATGATTTGATTAAATAAATCGGAAAATTAATTTTTCTATATTCTAATAATGATTAAAAATTACTGTAAAATTACCTAATTAAGGAATGTATTTTAAAATTAAAAATGAATTGAAAATATTTAAAAAGCATATTCATCATTCAATTCGAAATAACAAATGATTTATAACACGAATATATTGAAAGGAATATATATCGAGAATGACCTACTTGTTAACGCTTGCTACCTCTGGAAGCGAAAACCCTTACAGTAAACGGCGTATCTTGTCAAATGTTTGTAATAAATGAAATTAAAATTAAACATTTATATCGTAAAAATAAAGTAATCAATATATTATTTAAAAATATTAGAATGTTGAAATTTTAAAACTAGAATTTTGATATTTCGGAATTTTGGGACTTTGGATTTTTAGAATTTTGAAATTTTGAAACTTCGTGACTGAAATTTTTAAACTTAATGATTTGTAAACTTTGTAACTAGGTAAATTTTAGAATTTTTGAACTTCAATACTTCAGATTATTCCTCTTTTAGGTTTCCCGCTAAAAATTTGTTAAAACAATTTTGATGAATATCTATATTAAAATTCGCAACATTTATTTCTACAAAAATAAACTTTAGAGAACTCACAGTTCTCGATTTCGTATTTTAAAAGTTAAAAGATCGTGACCACTCGACTGTAAAAGGTAGCATAGCAACATTGAAGAGTCCTGGCGACCAAGGAGTACCTCGAGCACCTGAAAATGTTTCTCCGCGGTGCTCCCGGTATAACGGGATCGCGAACTTACGTTGAATCTACTGTTTGTATCTCTTTGTCTTCCTATCTTTACATATTGTCTACTGTATGCCAACAAATAATTAGGTATTCTGGATAAACGATTTATTAATACATACAACGTAGGTATTTCATATTTTCGTAATAAAACTGAAATAATTCACTGATATCAATACAGACAAATCGTACATACATATTTTTATCTTAAATACTTGACAAAAATAAAGAAATGTTTATTTTGGTTTCATCATCATATTTATAGACACTTTGCCGATATAATAATATTATAGAAATTAAATATATATAAGATATACTGATAATTCTTATATAAAACAGAAAATTATAAAAATAAATAACGGAATTTCGATTAAAAAATTTACGATCGTGCTTAAATAATTAATGTTCGTCATTTTCTTTTATATTTCTATGCATAAACAATGGCAATTTCAAGAAAATAAATTTCAGATATTCGCTGGAAAATTATATATTCCCGATCGCGATACGTCGTTTTCTCATTATACTGAAGCAGTTTTTTTTAGTAAATTTAACAGGAAAAACGATAAAAAGACTAAGAATATGTATAGCAATGTTACATGCAATGAAAGTAAAATGATGAATCACTTAGGTAATACGTATGGAGTGGTTATTTTTTTTCGATAAATATCAAAAATCACTTATGAATAATAGTTTTATTTATTAAAAATGCAGAAGCTGATCTTGCCACTGAAATTAAGTTGCAATTGTTTGAATCGCAATTTGAACTCAAACATTTCGTTTGCCGGGCAAATGTCTTAATCAATTAAACTTTTCAAATTGTCAACAAATTGGCTCTCCTTGAACGTTTTTCATACGCTATCTTATTTTTGTCAAGATTATTATTAAATATTAAATTTTGAGATTATTACACACAATACAAACTGCCTAAAAACAATTTTACAACTTTTATGATAAAATCAATACCATAAACTTATATCAATAGCCAAGTTGCAACTTGTCAATAAAATAATTTAAATTTCGATCTAGAAATAGATGTATTATATTTATACCATCGTAAATAGTCTATTCTTTTCTGAACTGCATAAACATGAAAATTTATACAGAAATGTTAACAAGTGTATGACATAAACATTGCAACACTTACAATACAAATTTATGATGAAATATGCAAATGTTACACGTTCAATGACACGCATGGTAGATATAATTCATATGAATCATATTTCATATTTCATATTTAATAAACTATATATCGTAAGTACAATAAGTAACATAAAAATATAAATTTCAATGAAAGTATAAAAGAATGGTACAATTCCACTTTTTAATGAAATAACGAGATAGCTGTCATTAATGGGTGTACATAAATATACTTCGTGAACGAGGTTTAGAGAACTGACCACAATCGTTATGTGTAGCAATATACGATTAGATTCTATAACCTCTTACACGCACAATAATTATTTAACTGTCAATTCGAATTGAACGATGCACGTAATAAATCAAAAGCCTGTGAAAATTAAGCAGATCGCGAAATATTAACGAATTTCTCCATCATAAGAAAACATAAGATGGCGTAGGTTTCAGGTCTCAAAAATACTAATATATGTTGCGTACCTGAAGATTCGTGTTTGTGTCTTCGATAATTTCGTCCGTTTCCATGTTCATCATTTTTATGCACAACTGGCACAATATTGTTAATCCAGATGATAGAAATGGATCAATTTAGGGGTAGATTCTCCAAAAAGGATAAAACACCGTCTGAACACTGGCGTTTGACTATTCAACACGATCAACGACGCTCATGAGTCTTCGCCATGTACAGGAAGTTGAGACAACATTTCACCAACACAACAATTCGTAAATAACTATGTCACTTGAACCGAGAAGCTTGATGCAATTGTTAGTTTGTATGGAAAAAGTAGACTAAAATATTTCTTACATATATCAGATATACGGAACGTAACGTTAATTTTCTTTACAAATATACTAAGCACTCGCCTGGAATACACAAAAATATGCACGACCAACCGCCAGACAAAAAGTTTAGTAAGAAGCACTAACACCATTGACTTGGCTACTGCATCTGTTTGACTAAACTGAGTTGATGGCGCACCAAACACTTTCAAAATGGCGTTTATGCGCAGTATACTAATTTATGCACGACTGCGCATGTTCAATCGCACCCCTTCGAATAATTTTAAATTTCTTCTGTGTTAGTCTATTAAAATGGACTATTTCATTAAATAAAATACATGCTCTTTTTAGTGGCATAAAAAGTATATTTATATTAAAAATGTGTGTATTAATATCGTTTACTACATTCATAAATACGCAGAAGAAAAAATTAATGTATAAAATAAAGAAATAAATAGATCGTTAAATGTCCAATACTATTATAATTAGTTTAATACCATAATTCGTCTTTTTTTTATTAAATCCATTTGACCTGTTCATTCCTAGTCTTTGTATTTTCCAACTGAATTTGTAAAGTAAGCGCAGAGTATGGTACATGACATACTTGAGAATCTAATGGTGGATAATAATGTCTATAACATATATATGTTAAGAAATATCCTATTATTGAACCTGCAACCACATCTAAAATTCGAAGAATTAAAAAATGCATTTATTTAAGATAACAATATGCTTACCTTGCCAATGATGGTGATAATCACAAGTTCTGCTTAATGCAATTACAAGAGCAATACAAATTGGTAATATAAATGCACATAATTTCCATGACTGTCCCTTGCCCCTTAAACTAAATGTGTGTAACTTGCCAGCTATGTACAATGCAATGAAACCAAAACTTGCAAATGCAACTAAAAAATAAGTTTTTTTTTCTTACATATATATTAATTAAAAAATTATTGACTGCTATTTTTTGACATACATGAAGAATGTCCACTTGGAAATGATTTCTTGCCATCTCTTATAGCAACTGGATTTCCACTACATTTAAAATCAGAATTTGCTTGGCCATCAGGGAAACATCTCCAGAAAAAATCTGGTCTAGGACGGCCTAGCATAATATTTACATAATGAATATGTATATTACTTAGTACGTGTATATGTTAATTATAAATAAAATTAATCTTTGCAATTGTTTACCAACTATGAGTTTTATAATGTCTGTAATAACACCATTAAATCCTAATGCTAAAGTTACACATAATATTGCTTGATAAGTATCAGTCCTGTCTTTATAAATTAAAAAGGTAAATAAGATCACCATGGATGGTATTATGAAAACCAAAGGCTGAAAAAGTATGAAAATTATTAGATATTAAAGGCTTAATTAAATATTTATATGCATATAATAAAATTACCCATAATAATGTAGTTGGTACATATGAATCAGTTTTTGGATTTTTATATAACCATAGTTCATCCTCATGAATTTTCCTTGTAAATGGTTCTGCTTTCTCCAGTTCGCTGCATATTGAAAAATTATATGTTTATAGTAACAATATATAAATATATTTTATCACAATATGTTAAATACAAACTTACATGAACAATCCTACTAAGACAATTCGTAACAATATGTCAAACCAGTATCCTGTCAAAATATCTGTGCTACGTGTAACAGCCATTATGGATTTAAATAAATAATAGTAAACTTAATATAATTATTATACATGGTAATGCATATATGTACACATAAATAGAGAATGACACTAGTTTAAATGAATCATAATGCAGGTATACATTTATACACACACTTGTATCTTTGAATAATATTGGTTCCTGAAAATTAAATCATAGTAAATCCACCTAAAAATTGTTCATTTTTAATTGTTAAAGATTTAGTTTATTGTCATTAACCTCCTGTAATAAAATACAATAATTCTCCTTAAAAGTGATTATTACCTAATCATTTATACTAATTATTAAAAATTTAATTTTTCTAATGGCAATTTAAAAATACATCTTTGAAAAAGAATGAATGGTGTACAATACTAACATTTCAATTTAAAGCACAACACATTCCACATACACCATTTTATATACTAACCAATACTAATATTTTGGCTTAGATAATAGTATTAAAAGCACGATATTCATTGCTTCTTAGCACTTATTTGAGAATCAGACTTTACTATAACCATAAAGTGGTGTTATTTTACGCGTACAAGATTGATATATTATGTATATGTAATGTCGAGATTTTTCTAAATATTTTAAATAGCGAATAAAAAAAATAGTTTTGTTTTATCAGCCTATAAAAATCACTCCCAAAATTATTTTGCAAATCTTGAAAGAGCATAAAATATATTTATATATTTAAATAGTTATTTTAATCGTCAATTGGTTGCTTCAACTCATCATGGACATTGGTGGACATTTGTTGTTCTGAATTGTTCCGAATGTTATGCGTTGTATAAATTTCAATTATATTTATCCATAATTGTACAATTACCTAACTTATATTTTTTAATTTTATTTTTTTATTTCGGATGTAATGTTACATATTATCTAAATCAATGTATCGTTTTAAGAGTATTTTTACTTTATATGTGTATTTACTCGTAGATCCTTATGTTAAACTGTAAAATATTATTTTCTGCTAATTGAAACATAATTGAGTATCATTATAAGATAATCAATGCGATGATTCTATTAAAAGTCTTTAACTTGTATAGTAAAGGTTAGTTTTATAAAAGTATTTATTTATTTATTTATTCATTGATATTTAGTGAATATAATATTTTTACTCCATCATTTTTTATTTAAGTATTAAGTAGTTTTATATTTATAAATGATTAATATTATAATAATTTTGTTTTAGCTATGTACATTCAAGATATAAAATAATAACAATGCGAGGAAATAAGTAAATGATTGAAACATCTTTTGGAGACAAGATTAATCACACATATTAATAGATTTAAACAAAACAATTTTGAAAGTAATGCTAATGTCATTTGCAATGCCTTCCACATCAATAAGTAGCTCTAGAGTACCAAGTCCCATCAGTGACATGTTTGATGAAAATCCAAATAGATTAACTACGTACTTGCATCAACTTGCTGGATGTTATGAAACAGAAGTTAACATACTTGCAAAAGATCATTGTTATGCACGACCATGGAATTGGAAACCAGAGAATGTTTATGTGAAACCAATAAAAAAATTATTTTTTCCGAAGAAAACTTTATTAACGTAAGGAATAAAGCATTATGTAATTGTTAATATGGTTATTTAATGTAATTTATATGTTAAATTTATATTATAATTTTTAAAATATTAGGGATAAGCTCAATCAAGATGAAGCAATTAATATAGAAGACGAGAGCAGTGAATCCTTGATACCACCAATAGATTTTACAAGAGCTAGGCATCAAATGGATGAACTTCAAAGGTTAGCAAATTTTGCTCGACCAGATGAAAATGAAGATTGGGAAGAACAACTTGATAAAATTTTATGGACACCTGTTCAAAATCGAATATTTACTAAAGTTCTTAAAATATTTAATTCAGAAAGACTAGCAAGATTAGCTAAAACAAATTGTCCAGTAGAACCAATATATCGACGAACATCAGTCGATACAGCTGCAAGAAGATTTCGTGAAACATTAGCATCAGCTGGTTGGGATTGGAGACTTGCTCAGTGGTTACATAATCTATTGTTTGATCATCTTCCTCAAGAATACCTTGGAATTTATCTTGATATACTACAAACTTTAAGATTGAAAATTCCTCAACTAATCGATAAGATGATTGCTGTGCAACCTAACATTAATGCAAAAACTGGATCTATAACATGGGAAACTCTTGGCTCGCTTCTTAAACGAACATGGGATCCAGTTACTCCAAATTTAAACAGCAACAGACTTGTAAATATACTTTACTACATAAATTGTTATAATGTATTTATTTGTCCATATTAATAAATATAATAATTGTTATTATTGTAGAAAAAATTACCAGGAAATCCAATTTTAATAATTGTTCCTTCCGGAGTTGGCTCTAATATTTCTTCGAGACAACATAAATGGATTTCTCAATTAGGAGCTTTAGGAATGGTTGTTACTGTTCATACTCATTTAGGCTTGGCAGCTAACAGAATGACCATGATGGTGTGTATTGATCAATTAGTTCAAGCTACTAGAACTAAAATACAAGATATTAGGAGTGATTGTCCTGGTCGACCAATAATTCTTATTGGTTTTAATACTGGTGCTGCTCTTGCATGTCAGGTACAATTTTTATATCATTATATTGTTAATGTATCAAAAAATTCTCAATATTAACTTTAAATATTTATAGGTAGCACAAATGGAGCATGTAACTGCAGTTATTTGCCTTGGTTTTCCTTTTACTACAGTGGAAGGAAAACGTGGAACACCTGATGATACATTAATGGATATTCGATGTCCAGTTATGTTTGTTATAGGACAAAATGCTACACTTGTAAAACCTGATGAAGTAGAAGATCTTAGAGAAAAAATGTTGGTTGAAACAAGTTTAGTAGTAATTGGAACTGCTGATGATAATTTGAGGATATCTACAGCAAAAAAAATATCGGAAGGTATTACACAAAGTATGGTAGATAGATGCATTATGGACGAAATTGGAGATTTTGTCGGCACTATTCTTTTACAACCACATCCATTACCATTAAGACCAATGTCACTGTCAAATTATGAGAATAAAAACAATAGAAAGGAGCCACGAAAACGACGAAATTCAACAAGTAGTTCCGTCGAAAGCGAACCAAACTCACCGACTATAAAAAAATCTCGACCAACTACACCTATTTCTTCAACAGTATCCACTGGACAAAATACATCATCTACTACGATTTCCAGAGTAGGAACATTTAGTACCCAATCAAATTTAATTGCAGTATGTGGAACGCATACAAGTCATACACAAACTGTAAAACGAAAACCTCGGGTTATTAACAATCAAAAAACACATTTTGTAGAACACTTAATAACGTCTAGACTTTCTGGACAGGTAAATTTCAAAGTTTAATTGTTATCATATTAAGGAAAATTAATGCACTAACATTTATTTTTATTTCAGTCGAATTCAAATTCTGATAATGGTGGTATAACATTAAATATTGGTTCGCTAGCAAGTTTAGCACCCATTGGCCCCATACGTCTAGCTCCAGCATCGACAGATCAATCTGTACTTAATACAACAAAAAATAGTACTAAATCTTCGATCACATCGGCTAAAGTATCTAAAATTGTACCATCAAATATCCAATTACAAAATATTTCAAAAATGAAAGCAATTGGATCATCTAATAAAGGTTTTTCTAAAGTAATATCAAGTAACTACAGGCATCTTAATATTCCTGATAAAAATGGAGATACAAAGTTGGTTAATGTTTTAACAACATCCGGAAATCAAATTAGGGTTACTACTACAACTACTGCAGGTACATTTCATGTAAAAGATTATATATCCTTTTTGTCGATTCATATTTTTTCATATATATGTTTACTTCTCACAGCAATACATAGCAAACCAACAATTGTCACATCCAGTGGAAATTTGTCAAATATTTTACAAAATGGTAAAAATTCTTTTACACTTACAACTAGTTCTTCATCCGCACGTGTGTCAGCACCTTCCAGTATTTTACTCACACCAAACAATTCTGTGGCTATTAATTCAACATCATCCACACCGACGATATCAAAAGGTAGAATATTATTATCTAATCAAATACTAAGTAACTTGCCTACATTATAATATTTTTTAGCTTTTAATTGAACGTACACTAACTTTATAAACATAGGGCTATTAAGTTTTTAATTTAAGCAAAAAAAGAAAATTATTCTATCTCCTTAAAAAGAAATATTCTTTCTTAAAGCGAAACTAATCTTATTTTCTAAATTTTACATAAATGTATATAAAATAATAGAAAATTATAATGTGTATTTGAAATGTATTTTATATATTGATACAAAATTAGTCTTGAATTTCTTATACAACTAGCAAAACACAAAAATATAATAATTAAATTAGAGTACACGAAAATATGGGTAACAAAATATCATGTAAGTGTTTAATGTACAATAATTTAGAGACAAGAGCACTGGTAGGTAACATTCGTGTCATCTATTGACACATTGATTAGAATTTATATGATACAAGTATATGTATATTATTAGAATTGAATTGATATTTTTGTTAATATTATCTTTTTATCTGATTTACTAGTTTATATAAGCAATTTAAGAATCATGTATTTTCTCAATTATTTTTGTTTGAAAACTTTACATATCCTTACATGACATTATATGAATTTTATTCATATTTAAAAACATATATCATGCATGAGCACTATTAATAAAGAAATAATGATATTAATTTTATATGCAATGTATATGTATGTGAAACATTATTTTTGATTAATTTGTATTTTGCATATGTTTTTAATCCAGTATTTTAATGGTATATTCACAGAACAATTATAATGTAGTTCAGTAAATAACAGATCTTATTTTTTCTAGTCATGTTATTTTTATTATTAGACCATTTATATTATTTTTTGCACCTATGTACATAGTCTCAGAAGTTTCTTATAGATTATTCTTGTTATATAAAAAAAGTTAATACAATTTTGTCTATATATTCTTCTTTAGCATGTAATGTTACATGTCCAAACATAGCATGTATTCGTATCATTTTACAATTAATATATAAGTTTATACATTCGAGAAAAAATTTAAACGATATATTGTAAATATATTATTATTATCGTTTATTTTATGTTAAATAAACATTTTTTCATGTAATTTGAATTTATTTGTTTTCCCATCCCAATCCTATTTAACGTTAATTGTGTGCAAAATGTTGCAATCAATAATATTAAAATTTGTATTTAGCCTTATTATATTTATTTTAATAACATATATGAAGCAAAACGTAATATTAGCCAAAATGCTGTTTGAATACTTTATTTAGTATTTGATAGTTTTGCATGATTTATATTATGATTATAATCAGTTGGTGATCAGTATTAAGCATATAATTTTCCAGTTGATATACAAAGAGAAATGTGTTTTCGAATGGTGTTTACATTAATTCAATAAAGTATATACTAGTATTTATATTTTATAATATAGTTGAAACATATGTATGTATTTTATAGTGATGGACGACATGGCAACAACCAGTAGCTCTTCACATGTGGTGCTCAGTTCTACTCAGTCATTGGACACGTTCAAGATGTCACAATTACCTCGACAAGTAACAACCTGTAACAACAATAACTCTCATAACACAACATGTGGAAATGTAATTATGGTTGAAAATTCTGTTAATACTAAACCTGCTTGTTCATCGGTGATAGTTCCATTAAGTAGTCATAATACAGGGTCTATTTTACCACTGTCCAATAAAATAAAAGTTACTCATAAATCTACGAAAACAATGCCAAAAATTACAGTTAATGCATCTAATTTACAAAGAATTCACAAACCTCAAGCAGCGCAAAAGAATACTCTTGTAAATGATATAGATGATGAATTAGGAAATATATTAGATATACCAATAATATTTGCAAAAGATGATGACAATTTAAATTCCATTGAGAAAAATCTACCTTTGTCACAAACAACTACGCCTCTTGACATTTATGAAAAGAGTACATCTAAATTAAGTACTAACACTAAAGTTGTTCTCATAAGTAATAAACAAGACAAGTTGCAGCAAACAACTAACAAATTTGTGACACCTTCAACTCAAGCAATTATATGCCCTAATGTCGGTGTACAAAATCTGAACCATGTAATATTACAGACGAAATCTCAAAACCCTACAATATCCAAAGTAAAAACTACACTCCCAATACAAACTCGAACAAATCAACCTACTGTTAAGTATACCAAAATAATACTTGCAAAAAGAAATTCTCAATTAACTCATCAAAATGAAAAGAATGAACAAGTTGTCGTAACAAAAACAATTGACAAAATTAATACATCTAAATTATTAAACTTTGACAAAAATGAGATTAGATATACACAAATCACGTCAAAGCAATTATCAAACAATGATGATAACTTTGTAGATGAAACATTAGAAATAGAAGAAGCTATAAAAATGAATATTATAGAACGTAAACATACGCCTGTACATACACCTGTTGATCTACCTTCACAAATGAGTGGTAATGTAAAGGAAAGTTTTACTGAAACAAAATTTAGTGGAAACGAGAAAAATAATTCTCAATTTTCTGATGACGTAATAAACTTGCAAATTTAAATTGTTTTATATTAAGCAAAAATGTACATGTGTACTAAGAACATAATTATACAAAATTTGAAATTCTAATGTAATCGAAATTTTATGATCATAGTAACGAAATATTAAGATTATATCTTTTTGCTTTTTACTTAATAACAAAGATATAATACGTAGATTAATAATAGTAATGTTTAATTCCTTAGTTGATGCTAAATTCTGAATACACATATACACATTTCTAAATGTACTAACACTACTTAAGTTTCTAACTACACGGTCACAATCTGTTGTATATATTTAATTGCTTTCATTTTATTTACAGTTCTACTATAATCATAAATGCTAATGTGCTATAAATACATCGTATAGTTATGAAAAACTATAGATGCAGATATTCATTCCATCATTAATTCTTATAAATACAATAAACTATAATTTCATAAGGTTTTTATTTAAAAATAGTAGTTATCTCGTAACTAATTGTAAAAAATGTAACTTTGTAAATCTATAATATTATTTACAAAGTATGCACTGATTAAGACAATGTACTATTCATTTCGTATTTTCAAGTTGTGTTACAAATAATACTAACTATTGTAAGCTTTATAAAAATCTATGTATCCATCCGTAAATAATTCAGTATTATTCATAGTATTAATATATTCTTTGAATTTGTTATTTATAAAGTAATGTGTTGATATTACTGTATTTTTCACATTCACTTTTTTGGGAACTGGTACTGCTGGTTTAAATACAACACTAGTAGGATCAAATTCTATGCAAAGTTCTTCTGGGGTACTGAAATATATAAAATAATTCATTTTATTAGGAAGCATTAAACAACATATATAACTTGGTGACTTACAATTTTGCAATTTCTATAGGTAAACAACCTTCACCATTTGGTGGTACTCCCCAAGCTATATTTTTTGCCATCTTTTGTACAACACTGTGATAATGTCGCTAATAATAAACAAATAAAAATGCATTCAACAACACATATCTGTATTGTGTGGTAACGTTATATATATTTATAATTTTTATAAGTAAATACCTGCAAGGCGGTCAGTTCCCACAATGCTGTGCAATGTGCATTGCAACATTCAGGTTCTGTTAACTCTGGCTGATAAAAACCATCTCCAGTAGAACAATCAGTATCTAGTAAAATATCTGCTGCTTTACCAAGCTGCATGCTTTGTTTTATAATACTAAGAATCCCAAGTGCTATATTATGTTGTGACTGCAAAGCTACAATAGCTATTCTTTTGATAAATGCAATTAAACAGTTTTGCGTAATTCTTTTTCTTCTATGAATTAGAACCTGAATTAAAATTTTCATAAAAATATCTGTTTCTGATTGAGTTTTGCCGCAATGGATATTTAGTAAATTTTTATACAGATGTACATAAAATTTATAAGGATCAAGATTTAATGCTGAACCTTGTCCTGATAAGATTGTAAATACACATTGAATACAATATAACTGATCTCTTAATCTCAAATTACCATCTTCCATTAGTTTATTTATGACTGTTACTAAATCTTGATAGAAGTCTAAGTTTATACAATGTGCAAATCTGAAATGATTAAATGTTATTAATAATATTATAAGATTTAATACCTAATTAAATGTAACTAAAAATGATCATACTTTGCTAAACCTTCTAAACAAATTGATAAAATTTTACTATTTGGAGTTTGTTTTAAAATTCTAAAATAAATCGTAAACACTATACTCGTTATCTCAGTAAGTAACTTTTGTTTAGACTGTTTATTCTCTTCTGCTTTGGTCTCAAGTAATTCTTGTTCCACTTGCTGAAGTTTTTTATTCTTCTTCCTTTCTTTCTTGTTTAGAGCAAGAATTCTTTGCTTATGAGACATAAGTTTCTTTTGTTTCGTTTCTTCTTCTTTTTCTTTATCTAAATTTACATCTTTTATACGAAGAAATAGTAATACAGACACGACTTCAGAATGTACAGAATGAGCTTTTAATTTTATATATTGATTTAACTTCCGTACTATCTAAAAAATTTAAGATTAAAAATGTTATTTTAAAAATTTTACTATAAATTTGTGATATAAACATTTGAATTTCTTACTGTGAGAGATAATTCAGCACGTTTGTCTTCTTTGAATACTTGAGAAAAACATTTTAAGACTTCTTGTCTTACAAATTCATGTTTATTGTCAAGAAATGGGAGGAGAAAGTTTGCTAGATTAAGAGAATAATTAAAGTAAGGATGAGTTATTAGAAGATTACACATGCATGTTATTGCAACTTTGCCTAATTCAATTTCTTGTTTTTCTACTTGTCTTGTATCGCCTTTCTTTTTTCTTAATATACCAGACATTTTTTCTAACTTTTGTAAATAACGTTTATAATATCTTAATAATGTAGTTTCATAGTTTTGCAATGCTAGTGTTTCTTTTTTCACTAAAACAGAAAAAGCACTTTTAACTTGTAATTTATACTAGTAAATAGTGGCACTGCTATTTATCATTGCTACATACACTTTACACCTTCCTGTTGAAGTTGAAGAATATGATAAGATGGTAATAAATCTTTAAAAATTTCGGCTAGAGATACAGTTGCTAACTTTTGAACACTAATATATACTTCTGGATCAGCTTCATCCATAAACTCTAGCAAAGATTTGAAATTTTCACATTTACTTTCCGGTGCCTCTAAAAGACTACTAGATAGTAATCCTATTTTTAAACGTTTAGATCTTAACACTTCTCTGCGACATGCCAAAAGTTCTATTATGGATACAGGTTTCTTATTTTCATCTTTGTTTTCAGTCTAAAATATTAATTAAAATTGAGGTACATAGCGCAACTTTACAGTTAACAGTATAATATAAAATGTAATTAAGCCTTACAGATAAATTTGATTCTATTTCTATATTATCATTTTGAATATTTTGTTCTTTATCAGATTCATTTTCACCGCTTAGATTATCATCTTCTTCAATTAATCTCTTCTTTACTATTCCATTTTCAGTTTTTGTAGGAAGTAACATACGAACTTTTTTTGTACCCTCTGTTTGTATTACTTTTGATATGCTGTTTTCATACTTATCTTCTAATGTTTCCTGATTTTCTTTTCCATTGTATTTACTATTTCTTTTATCATCAGTTGTTCTAAATTATACATAAATTATAATTTTAAACCAAAATCTAAGCATTAAAATTATTATGATTTACATATCTTAACATACTTATTCAAATGAATTTGTTTCAATAAATTATAGGATTTATTTGAAACAGCATCTTTAAGAAACTCTATATCATCTTCTTCTATCATATCTAAAATGTTATCATCATGATCGCTTTCTTCTTCAACTGATTCTGCAGGTGGAGGTATCACTTTTTGAACTTGTTTTTTTTGTTTATGTCGTCTTGCTTTAAATTTTCCTTGCTTTGTAAGTTTATTCCTCTTCTGATTACTTCTTTTAATTGTACTAATTTTAAGCTTTTTCTTTGTAAGAAGAATGTAAGTAGGTTAAAAATTAGATAATTATTTTAAAGTAACATTAAATAATTTTTACTCACCCCCATTTTATTGTAATTTCAATTATTTTAAACTAAAGTATCTGTTAATTTAAATGCACATACAGTTTATATTACTGCTTTATGACAATTAATAGGTTATTTCCAATTATAATGTCAACACGTGTTTTTGTGTGTAACACGCGCCATGCTGTATGATGTGAAAATAATACATGTGCCTTTATACATAAGTATTATTATATACAATATCATTAAATATATATATGATTACAAAAACAATATCTGTTGTCTAACATAAATAATTAAAAATGAATAATTTTATAGTTAATTGAACTGTATTTAAAAACAATGTTGTATATCTTGTGTTTTAGCACCATACAAATGCTATTACGAACACACTGTATATGTATGTTACAAAGTTTGATCGCAGCATATTTACACTTGACCCATGTACATAATTTTATTCAAAAGTTATTGATATGTGAATATTAAATATGTATAATTTAAAACCTATAATTATACTCATTTGTTGCTCATAATTAAAACAATGTACTGAGACATGTATAAAAATATCATAATATTCGTTATCACGTGTTGCGTGTAAAATCTGTCTTAGTGTTTTGAACTAATTAATTGTGCTTCAAGTAGTTAATTTAACATTTCATGTTAAATCCATTCTACGAAAATCGATACAAGGTAAGTGATGTTTGAATAGATTAAAAATATTTTATATATAATAAAGGTTATGTTTTATGATTCTACTAATATCATAGTAAAATTATATATCGTTTATAGTTATTTATTATTAATGAAATATAATCACTTTTCATATTAAAAATTGATAACATATAGTATTTCAATTAATAACATGACTGTTTCACAGTTACATACATATGGATAGTAACAGTGACAACAACAACAATAATAATATAGTAAATTAAACAATTTACTTTGTTTCGATATAAAACCTGAATAAAAATAACATATGAAAGCAATTAATAATTTATGCGTTTATTAAAAAATAAGAAGGGAAATAGGGAAAAAATTGAATTGTTCTATGAATTATGATCACCATTTTTAATTTGTGAAAGTAGCGCAAAAAGAAGAAAGTTTAATACGAGTCTTGCACGAAACCATTGTTTCGTACTCGGACTACCAATCAATCTTCTCGAACAGCACATAATAGAGTCAGCGAATCTTAATGTGCTCTTACAAATTGACGTACAATAAAGACCAACATAAAACGTTAATGGCTTTCAATAGGATTAATTTACGAGTTGCATCGAACTAACTGAACACCAGGTCATAACGATTTTGTTACTCAATATATTGTTCACCGCGTAATGTATCCGTATAAATATATTGTTGTATAAAGATATACAACAAAAAAGCAATTTTTCGTATCTTATTTCTATCGAGGGACGTCCAATATTTTTGGTTAAATTAATGTGTTATGCGAACGAACAGTGTTCATTCAGCACCAACGGAATGCATATAGGAACAAATCGAGCAATAGCTCGGTATACTATTTGATGAGGACACCGATATGGAAATATGAGAAATTGAAAATTTAACAATTTAGGGATTTGGACATTTTTTAACTTAGAAATTCGAAAATGTCATTTTTGAAAATTTTGGAATTTGGTTATTCCATTTCCCTCATTGCTTGCGTACCAGAAGTTTAAATTTAGCATTTTAAAAAATCTAAGGGGACCATTAAATAATTTTTCTCGGTATATATCATATTTACTATTAAAATGTTCCTACATAACTAGTCAAATCACATTTTCGTTAAATCATGTTATATACCATTCGTATATACATACACGTGTAGAGGATTGAACACTTGTAATAAGAATTTCTTGACTATTTTCAAATCAAAATCTTATTAACTTTAAGTTGATATCGAGAAATAGTCACGTTTTTAATGAGAAAAAGTGTTACATTAAATTACATATTTAACTCTCTCTATAGATGTGATTTACCGCATATACCACGTGGTTGTTAATGCTTCAGATACAGTTATGATTCAACCTTTGCGGTGGTTACATCAATTGTCGAATGAAACTGAAAGTGACTGTTTTTATGTTGATCAGTCTTAGCGCGAGCACTACAATCCGATATTTACCGGAGAATATAGAAATTAACTTTTTCTATTATCACTTTTTTTTATAACAAATTGTATTTCGCTTCCCATTTTAATTTTCAATTTTCACGGTTGAAATAAATAAAACCGGAACATTAAAATTAAGGTATTTCTGTTCCTTCTTAAAATCAAGAATCGAAAATAAGCAGATACTGAAAATTGCAATATTCGAATGAGAATTTCTTTTAGAACATTGTAACATTTATGTAAATCCTAATCGCGAGTTAAAGCAGTGATGGGCAGATCAAGTGTATCCCCCAAAAAAATGATCAGTATATCCGTGCACGGTGAGTAAACTCTCATTATATTACCGGTTAAGTGAGTTCTTTCTGCTTCTTTTGCATTTCAATGTACGTAGATCCACGAAAATTCCAAATCTTTTAAATTTCAAGTTTCCGAAGTTTCATGTTCTCCAGCTTCCAAATTTTCAGATCCTCAAAGTTCGAAAGGCAAACTTTCTGAGAATTTTTTACTCGTGTAGTCTCATTCGTGGTAATATAACGAGAGTTTACTGTACTCAACGGTGCCAGAGCGACCACGCATACACTACTTGCATACCGTGCACGTCGTGTACTCTCGTAAGCTCGTAGATGTAGTTGCCCATCACTGAATGAAGACACCGATTACGTAAAGATACAATAGATTTTTTCTGCTTCAGTTGTTATTGTTCATTATCGATCACACGAATGATTAAATTATGCTAAAGTCGAGCCGTCATTTCATTATCGATCGCAGCATTTTGAAGTTGTTTATTAATCGTTGAACGCTGTAGAATGATCTATAAAGGTTATATCTTGAATGTTCAGACTGCACGTTAAAAAAAGACACACATTCTGTCATATAAGAATATCATCCCGGCGTTGCATCGTAGTTAAGTGAGTCAGTGAACTGTACACGAGGAACATTGTTGGTGGTTGCTTAACGTATTGCAGTAGAAAGTCGACGATTGTCACGATCGAAGCAGCCTTTCGTAGTACTACTTTTATTTTCAAAGATTTACAAAGAAAAGTTACTACAACGCATCAGGGGCGGCGAATAACGCTGCGTTTAAACGGCGCTAACGATAATCATCGAAGCGTTCGGATCTATGGATCTCGTCGAAGTGTTCGGTGATATTCTTTTCACGGCAATCGGCGTGCTGCATCAAAGTTTGCAAAGATCGTCAATCTATACGATCAAAGAAAATAGGAAAATCGCTGATTGAAATTATGAGAAGAAGCGATTGAGATCATCCATGCTCTTTGTGGACAAACGAAACGAACCAGTGTTGTATTTTAGTGAAAAGAATAAAATCATCATCGCATGTTCCACGGCATAGAAATGGATGGTCTCGTTGAGATTTTCCTTTTTTTCGGAGTCCTCTTCTATTTTTTCAACTTCAGGTAACGTATTCCTATAGCACGTTTTGCTACAGAAACACTTGTTTCGTGATTACTCTCTACGTAACAATGTCACGTCATTTTATGTAATGTTAAAGTTGTCGATTTATGAAAATCTAGGTCGTCAATACTCAATCTGCACCCGAACCAGTCTTTGTATAACAATCAAAATACTTTTTTCTTTTAATAAATAAATATCTGCTTAACATTTTCTTATTATGTGTATGTAGCTCAAGAAAATAAAGGTTGAGTACGGATGATCTAGATAGACAAAAATTACTCGAATAGATGAAGGTGTCGAGAATCTTACATACAATATCATGCTCACAATACTATAATCAGTTGTTCGCAATTTACTTCGCACATTAATCAAGATTCTTCATTACCGGCATCTATTCGAGTATCATAAGTGTATTTAAGATATATCTTTAGTTCAATTCAATGGCTTTAATAAAGACGATACTTATCGGCTTGTAATTATAATAATATCATGCTCATAATAACATATTAAATAATCTTATGCTGCGAGGATTTATCTTGCGCACGCTTTTATATACTATATGTATATGTTGCATGCAAACTTAATACGCGACGAATTGCTATTTTCATGGGGTAATACGTAAATTAACATCCGTAGTAGTGTGAAACGAGGAACGAGATAGAAACTAGAGAAACATTGCATAACGTTTACAATGTATTTTCTGTGTTTTTTATTTGTATAATATATGCGAGTTATTGAAACGTTCACCAAATAAGAATAAATGATTATTCGATTTATGTTATTTGCTTGAAATTCATTATTCCTTGTTTGTAAGTTTGAGAAAGTAAGCGTTCCTTGAAACAAGTCTTGCATGTAAACTTCATTCAGGAGACACAAAAAGTTGTTTTCGTATAACTAAATGAGTAAAGTGTTTACAATTAGCGATTAATGTGTATTTTATGTGTGTTAAAGCGTTACGATGTACGTTATGTTGTTACTTTTTGAGTTGATTATATGTCCATTTATTTTTTACTGCAAAACGTAATTTTTTTATACCCGTGACTTGCATGCATCTGTATTATCATTATACAAGGAAGCGTGAACTTTTTTTGGAAGAATTTATTCATAAATAGAAATCAAGTAATTGTGGAAGACACGATTTAGACGATAAAATATTTAACTCCTAACACCTAAAATATCTAATTTTTGAGAAGTTATTGCCCTTATATTTTTTACTTTATATACAGTAGATGCTATCTTATAGAAATGATATTGGGTATGCAAATACTTATAAGTTGGTAATATCATTGCAATGTAAATCCAAGGCAAATTCATCATTGATAACAATAGTACAAGACATTTTTAATTGCTAAATCATTATTACCGCGATTTATGTTGGATTAATTATTGTTTCTTATCATATCGATGAAGCACTTGTTTATAACGTTATGTATAATCGATATGCGTCTTTTCGTAGTTTGTTTTTTCACGATTTTGTTATCAACTTGGACTTTGACAATTATTGTTAATAGGGATTATAAACCTTATATTTGTTTTATTCGAAAAAATATTCATAAACAACAAAATCAAACAATTCATATTGGTGTAATGTTCGTAGTACAAAGTACGTATACGTAGTCGCCTATTCTTCTTTGAAGAAGACTTGGCATTGTCCAATGAATTTTTACACGGAGTAGTGTTAGCAACAGTGCTAATAAATAACTTAAAAAAAAAAAAAAAAAAGAAAAACGACACAACCATATTTGCTTTATCACGTCTGCAACAATGATCTACGATAGTAATCTATTTTCTCTGAGAAAATCTGCAGTTATGTATGGACGAAGTAACCGATTTCTGGTTATACTTATTTCTGACGCAGTACATCGTAACATTTAATACGGTTTTATATAACTGATACGTGATCTGTTCGTGCAATTCAGATCGCGTGACCAGGAATCTCTTTCTCCGAGCGATATCGATTTGATTGTTTTTATAAAATTTATCACAATATTCAATGTTAAATAATTACATTGTCAATCATACAATTTTCGCTTATCTTTACATGTAGATTACTTTCGAGAAATTATTCTGTATTTTCTGGTAAGCGTTACAATATTAATTATAATCCTTGACATTACCGATTCAAAACATATTAATAGATTTTCCAAAATTATATAATGTTTTAGTTATATTTGTAGGCGAATGTAATTTTTTCTTATAAGGTTATTCGAAATGAATCTGAGTAGAGTAATAGGGTTCAAAGCTTACGAACTCTCTAATTTTGGACTTATCTCAGTAACTTTATTACAGACAGAAAAGATAAAAGAGTCGTGAATATATTTGTGGTTGTTGATTCTGCTGTGAATATATTCTAATACAGCGATCGCAGAAATTTACAAATTTTGCAACAAATTATTGAAATCAAATGATTTCTTTATTGTATTTTAAATACAACTAATTTTCAATGACTTCCATTCGTTATGAAAGGAAAAAACCGGGCAGATCTACGATTAAAGAATCGTGTGTTTCAACTGCGACATTTTTTTACATTTCATCTACCGATAAAGGCAGTAGCGATCCGATTTGTAGGTCAGACAAAGAAAGTAACAAACCTGCTTTTGCTTCCTTCACTTTTAAAATTACCAAACAATCATCATTCTGCAAACTAAGTCACGCGTCTTTTATCACGTACCGTATAGAGTTTGTTAATTAAAGCAGTAATGGGTACAGTGCATGAACATGCAAGTGGTATACACCCACAGACAATGGTTAGTAGTCGATTTCTCGATACAACAATTTAAAACTTTGAAATTATCAAATTCATAATTTCATAAATGTCCAAATCTCTGAATACCCAAGTTCTTAAATACCTAACTTCTTATACAGCTAAATTCCAAAGTTTCTAGACACTGGATCTGTTTATTGTAGCTTTACACGATACTTTGAAATCTTTGCTTTTGTATAACACGAACAATTTCTAACTTTTTCGGAGTCTATGTAATTTGCAAGGTTAAAGAGATATATTTATAAGGAAAAGAATAAGGAAATTGCTTCCGTTTGGTCCCAACAACTCTGTTCTGCGTCGATCCGTTAAAAATATCGGAGATCAAGCGTAAATAATACACGATTATGTTTCAAGTGCAAACCCCGTAAAATTGCGCTTGTATTATATTTCGTTCATGAATGAAAATGAGAACGATGTCTTTCTCATACATCCTTCGTTAACGCGGCGACTAGTTGCATTAAAAGCAATTTTATCTTCGACTAATCTAAATATTCGAATTACACTGTTGTGTACATTCAAGTACTAATAGAAATATATATTTTTTATGTAATCGTAGGGCTTCCAGCATGGTCGATGTACTCTCAACACGTTTACAAGAAGTTTATGCAAAATGGGAAACCAGAACGGAAGTAACACGAAATCCAGAGTCGTCAACGACTCGATTGTCACTAGACGGTAAAATTTTTCTCAAATAATCGGGGATAATAAATAACAGAATAATTCGTATCATTAATGTTACAGAACTTCGTCGTGCTGGTCAACAATTGCATAGGAAGAAGATACAAGATAGAGAGCAAGCAAGAAAGATTCGAGAAAACTCTTTGTTTAAAATCAAAGAAACCGAACCATTGGCTCCTCTTGTTAAAGAAAAATCTTCGTATTTGCATTTTTGCTGCAATAACTGTACTCCATCATCTAAAGTGAGTTTTTTACATAGTATTTGTGTTGTTGCTTAAACTTCAAGGAAGATTTCCGTATTGTATATGCTGTTATAATATTTAATCAGGCCTAGATTAAGCTCTAAAGGCACTTGCACACCGAAAATTACACAATTCAATCTTCGAACCATGAACCATGCATTGAAAAAATAATATCTAAAGAAAAAGTAAAGTTTCAACGTTTTAAAATTCCAAAGTTCGAATTTTCAAGTTCTATATATATATTTATATTAATTTCTCGATAATTTCCGTGTCTTGTACAAGTATTTGTTCAACTTTTTAACTGAACATTTTGTATCTTCGCATTTTCTGATGATCTTTTTAGCACGCTCTTCTTTAGCACTAAAAATACATCTAGCTTGCGATCTTGTATCCAGACTACGTGTAGAATTGTGAATATTATGTTTTAACACGTGTACGTTTTTCCTGAGAATCTTATTTATTCATTTATAATATATTGCTAACGATTAATAGTGAATACTTGACGAAATTAAGCGTTTAATCGTGTATAATTTCTTAAATATTGAGTGAAGATAGTGTTCGTAAAAAAAAAATGTTAAATTAACAACGAAATCTTCTATCGTAATACATGAAAAAATATGATTTTTTTATGTGTAGTGAAGAAATTTGAGAGTTCTTGTACAAGTGAATATATAATTACGTTCGTTATCTAATTGACACACCATCTTTCTGCTCGCACTTAATTATATAACTATTTCATCGAATTCATCTGATAAATAGAGTAATAATTAAAATTTACACGCGATTGCGTGTTATGTATTATATACATATATAAATTTCACGACGCAATTTGATTATTTGTAATTATAGTGATTATATATAATTTTATATTTTATTCAAGCATGATAACGTCATTGTAATTTTTTTTTGTTTCTTCCATACTATTTGCAAAGAGGAAAATAATATAAATTAAATACAATGTATATTTATCGGTTTATTACGACCATTGATAAAAATAGTATAATTTCAATCGTAATAATAATTGATCATCCTCAAAGTTTAACTAATTATTTTCGTGCGCTGATGCTCGTGTATCAATGAATTATGTATCAGCAAAGTTCAAATATAATCGGCATTCTAGTAATGATAGCTGACACAACCACAACAAAAAATAAAAAAAATGTATGAAGAACCACGTGGACTTTTTTCACGATGGTTGCGTATTATCGTGGTTCATGGATACCCAGTACATGTAAGTCAACAACACATGATTGAAATGATATCTTCCTTGATTTTTTTTCTACAACAAAGTAGTGATAAGAAATGAAGTTTTTGCCATGCAGATTTGCACTTTAATTTTATTAATAAAGTGATCTAATTTTTCTTTCCTTACAGAACTCATTGGTAAATACTATTAACAAACAGCATATGCCATTCGGTTTGAATATACTGATAGTTAATCCAGGCTCGTCATTGTTTTCCAAAGTGTTTAACTGTATTTCGCATGTTTATAATTTTAAAGAGTACGATTATCCGAGGATAACGCAAACGGTATGTTGTAGATGTGAAACTGTTTTATAGGCGTTCAATGCTTTGAATCATATCTCATGTACATTTTGTAGAAAGTTATATTTTACAGGTTCTTCAAGATGAAAGATTGAAAGAAGCTATCATGCTAACTGCTTCACAAACAGTTAGCAATGAAGGTTGTAGCGAAAACGTGGCCGTGGCAAAGGCACAGGATAGAGCTAAAACTATATTATATCAAATGGAAAGCAAATTGAGCAATATTTTACTTAAAATAACTTCATGGATTTTGTACAAATTATTGCCATGTTTCATACAATCTGCTATAGTATTACCCTCTCAGATAGAAATGTTGAAGAAGGCAAATGAAACTGGCATTCCTTTGATATTACTTCCTTTACACCGCAGTCATCTAGATTATATCATGATCAGTTTCATTCTGCTAATGAACAATATTAGGAATCCGTTGATTGCAGCTGGTGATAACCTGAAAATTCCATTTTTTGGGTACATTTTTTCTTTTATTATAATCAACATGTTGTTTATTGTATAATTTTATTTCGTCGTAAAATATTGTATGATTAACTGGTTGTAACTGTTTCATCAAATAGGTGGTTTTTGAGAGGTTTAGGTGCATTTTTTATAAAACGTCGGATTGACCCCGTTATAGGCCGCAAAGATGTTCTTTATCGTGCTACTCTTCATACATACGTAATGGAGAGCTTACGAGCGGGTCATAACATAGAATTCTTTATAGAGGGTGGTCGCACAAGAACTGGCAAACCATGTATGCCAAAAGGCGGCATTTTGAGTGTCATCGTTGATGCATACATGGATGGAATTATTGAAGATGCACTATTAGTACCTATTGCGATAAACTATGAGCGTCTTGTGGATGGGAATTTTGTTAGAGAACAGCTGGGTCAGCCAAAGAAAATGGAAACTTTTAGGTCTACGCTTCAAGCAATATGGTCAACCTTAAGGGGCAATTATGGTATCGTTAAGGTTGACTTTTGCCAACCTTTTTCACTTAGGGTAAAATCTTCTTAATAATCCTTTATATCTTACAACTTTCCATTAGATTTTCGTAATTACTATTCAACTTTACACGTACTTTTATTTCGTAGGAAATGTTAAAATCTTTTCAAAACCAACAAAACAAATTAACTGGAGGACAAAAAGTGGCTGTTGAGAAACCTTTAAAGTACACGATGTCGAGTTCATCACTTTATGGTACAGATGTCATAGCGGAAGAATATCGCCAGTTAGTTGATAATATTGCACGACATGTTGTACATGGTAAGAAAAGAGAATTTATACTATAAAAGAGAAACAAGTTTGTCTCTAGATCCTTAAATAATAACTTAATAATTTTTAGATTGCGCCAGTTCAATGCCTATAATGTCTACCAATGTTGTTGCATTTTTACTTCTAAACAAATTTCGAGATGGCTGTACTTTGGACAAACTTGTTGAAGCGTTTGAGATAATAAGACAAGATTTAGAATCTCGCAATCATGATATTGCATTTTGTGGTGAAAACATTGATATCATAAATCATGCAGTTAGTAAAATTTAATATGTTGAAAATAATATATTGTATTAAAAATTTATATATAATTTTTTTTTATTTCCTTTTTAGCTCGATATTTTAGGTCCAGGTTTAGTGAAACAACAACGACAAGAAATTACGGAAGCGATTAGTGGTCAGACAGTCAAATCGAATGTTGTGATTGCAATCCGTCCTGTATCGATTTTACCTAATGTAATCGAACTGTCTTATTACAGCAACACAATGCTCATATGTTATATTATGGATAGTGTAGTAGGTAAGAAAATAAAAATAAATTAACAAGTTTGTGATGATTTTACATATTTTGTTGATTATATTTTCAGTGACAGCTTTGTATGCTGAATTGCAATCGCAAATCAATGACCCAGTCACTATTGCGCAAAATAATATTACAGTATCTCGGAATTGTTTAATTCAGAGTTCGCTTAAACTTTGTGATATTCTTAAATACGAATTTATTTTTTGTAAACCATGCCAAGAATTGGAGTCTGTTATTATGGAAACTATTCAAAATTTGTCGCATACAGACATCATTACTTTACAAGAGGTATTATACAATAATGTAACTATTATGTCGATTGTGGATATTATTTATTCAAATTATTTGTCAGGAATGTTGTTTACCGGAAGAATTGTGGAGTAAAAGATACGCACATACCTTCGATGATAGTTCGGATGAAGAATATTATAATGCAAATAGAACTAAAAGTATTGAATATAAAGTAAGCTATTTCTTACAGTTTGAAATATATTTTTGTATTATAACCATGATAATTTGTATTAATGTTTCTCGACAGCTGAGTTTATTACCAGAACACGCTGAACGTATGGAATTTCTTCATATGTTGTTACGACCATTAGTTGATACGTATACTTTCAGTGCTTTTACTCTTAGAAACTTAGTAGGACGATCACTTTCTGAAGGAGATTTAATTCATGAAATTTTAAGTGAATTGAAAACGAATTTAGATCGTGGTATTGTAAATTATGGTAAATAACTTCCGTTTTCTTAAACTATTCTAAAATAATATGTTATTATAAAATAGTATATCGTTTATTTTTCTTTTGTAGGTGAAAGTTTGTCTGTTGATCCAATAAAAAATTCTTTAAAATTGTTTGAAAAGTGGAATGTTTTGGAATGTCATCCACAAGAAAATGTTAAAATTTGTTACTTGAAGGATGAATATGATACAGATTCAGCTGTAATGAAAATCTACAATACTATAGCAACTTTTAAATGGATTAGAAACATACATTGAAACTTACATTTCTTGATAAATTTCCACAATGTACTGTTTTTTACATGAAAAAAATCTTATAACACTTTGTATATACTACTTTACAAGTTACTTTATGACTAAATTTTCGTAAATAGTTACATAATCATAACGTTGTACAGTTAGATTTGATTTGTTAGTTACAGATACGAATTCTATACGAAATGGTTAATGTGATATTACTTTACATTGGTGATAAAATATTATAGATTTATAATTTCCTTAATAAAAATAATTTTACGTATTATTAGATTAATTACAAATGAGTTGTTTAATAATGTTAACACAAAGAAAATATTTTTAGTAAATTTTTATATAACTAGTTAAAAAGTTTTATATTAAACATAAAAAAATAAATGAAAAATATAAATACTTCACCTTTTTAATGTATTTTAAAATTTAACAATCGATGCAATTGGATAACTTCTTCGCATACTCATACATTTTTCCCTATCAATAAATAATGCATCAACTTTGGATTTTAGATCAGTTTCTAAATTGGATCTAGTACGTAAGAGTTGTTGATGTTGTGCTTCAAAACTCTGCAGTTTTAAATTCATGTTATGTATCATTAAATTTATAGTTTCAACTTCTTCGACCATTCTGAAACAACGAACGGAAAGAAAGTAAGATTGAAGTGTACGTGTTCATGTTGAAATGTAGTACTCTTATTAAGTTTCTGTAATGTACCTAATCTGAGCATAATCTCTGCACAGCTCTGCTTCGGGTCGATGTGTACGACTCTCCAGACGCGTATGTGCAACTTTTACGGCAGAACTTTTATCTGCAATAGCTTTTTGCATTAATTGTAAATTTTTTTCAATTTCAAAGATTTCTTGTTGAATCTAAATCCAAGAAAAAATATAATCCAAATTGTATTACCACAAGACTTAAATATTATTGTAATTACTTTATACAAATGTATTTGTAATTTTTCTTTTGCTTCCAGCATTTCTGTGGCCCTTCTAGCCAGAGCATTATTTGTATTGCCCCATGCTTCCCACATGTCATGGCCAACCGCGTTTATCGCAGTTTCTATGTCACTTCGTAATTGACTTGATTTTGATCTTTCCGTCTGTGACTTTTTCACTATACCATTGGAAGCTTCCACCCAAGATTCTGCTTCTGTAACACTTAAAGTGAGATTTAATAATTCAACATTTAAATCGTTACCATTTACTTGTACAGATTGTATTATGTATTTACCTAGGATCATATTTTTCAATGCCACCATAATATTTCAATCCACGACTATAGTTGTTCATTTGATGACATGTGATGTCAATACCTAGGGCAGATTCCTTATTTCTAATGTCAATTTCTAATTGATTTTGTATTGCTCTACTATTTGTGAGCTAATAAAGTGGAAAAAAGCCTTTTAAAAATGCAAATAGTACAGATTGTTAAATGTACAATTATAATATTAAACCTACTTGATTAATGCATTTATCAGTAAAGTGCTCTAATTTATTCTGACAATTCCTAACTACTTCCACTTCCTTTAGAAGAGCATTTTCAGCTTGGTCATGAACCAAGTCAGAACCTATTTATAATTTTACATAATATATCAACTTTGAACACTTATAATACTTACTAGCTTTTAGCACACAAAGAAATGCACTAAACCTGTTCTGGCTTCACGATAGTACAAACATTCTTGTGCTATATGCAATTGACCCTCTAAACTTTGTATCGTTGTTTGTAAACCTCGACGACATTCTTGCATCTTTGTATTTTCTATTATCAACCGTTCTAATTCTGCAGTCACTTCATTTCTCCAAAAAGTGGTGTCTGTAATTCTTTCTCCTAATTTACGACCAGTTTCTGTTTGACCATTTTGTACTGCCTCATCTGCTTCTCTGCAAATACAACAATACAATGTAATATGAATTGTTGTTATTATTTAAATTCTAACTATTATGCATATTAAAATGTGTACACAGTTAAACCTTAAACGTATTGCAAAATTTACCGCATCATCCGAATGGTATCTTGACGTAAGTTTTCAGAAAAATTTCTATTGCTATCTGATTCATTATAAAGTTTAAGCTGATTTTGTACCCATTCATAAGAACTGTATCTTGTATAAAGTGCAGCTCGTGCTGCATGTGAAGGATTTCGATCAAACCCAGTCACCATATTTGGAAATTTCAATGGTTCTGTAGCCATACCATTTGGCATGTAACAGGTATCAGAGAGCAAGTTTGTCATAGGCTGAGCAGGTCTGAAGAAGAAAGAATTATCAAAGAAAATATAGACCTCATAGTTTCAAACAAATACTTTTAAACGTTGAAATTAATTCCTTACAAAGGAGCTGCTTCCACTGTTTCATATCCCAAAGTAGGTCGCCATGGATGTGGTTTTGGAGTTTTATAAAATTCTCCAACTCTGATTGGAATTGGTGGACCAGCAATTTGTTCCATACAAGGTAATACACCCACTGTACTCCATGGTTGAAGTTGCTAAAAAATAATACCAAATTAACATGTAATAACAAATTATTTATCATTTAAATTTGTAAAATTATTTACAAACCGAATACATAACAGTTTCTTTTTTAGTTTCCATTTTAGTATTATCCATTACTATGTTGTAAATTTAAATATTTGTTTCAGATATTTAAATTGTAATATTGACAGTAATCAAATCGGTGATTGAAATTTCATTTAGTTAAATGTTCAATTTTACAAAATATATGAACTGATTAAATTCAAAATGGAAGTTTATTTGAAATCCGGAAAGGAAGTTGTCACGTGACGTCTGTCATATGATTCTAGTCAGGTGCTCCGTTGCTTTCTGCTCGATTGTAGACGATCAGTACTTATCTGACTCGCCCAAATCAGTTTCATTAAAAACATCATGACACGATTTCGTTGTGTTTTTACTCATATTCTTATATTACTACTTACGTATCAAATTTCACCATTGTACGCCGATAATGCGGTACCTGTATTATTATGGGGTGGTTCCGTCAATTCAGATTTAGCAACAAGTGCAGTGAATCCATTTTTAAAAACTACAAGTAAAGAATTCGAATCATTTTTGCATAAAAAATTAGATAATTTACCTCCTGTTCTTCTTTATGTGAAAGATAATTTGTGCGTCGAGGATTTAGTAAAACATAAAGAGGTTACTATACACAGTTGAACAATTTTAAGGTTACATATTTGTATTTATAGATTTAAAAATTAATCCAATGTTTTAATATTTCAGCCTCTTCAAAAAATTGTACCTAGTGATTCTTTGCATTATTTTCCTGCAGTTGAGGAAGCAGTGAATACACTCGAAGATTTATCTTCGTATAATCAGACCTATAATGATTACGTAGATTCTGTATCTGATGGACAACTATTGATTATGCCAATTAGCAATTTAGATGTTATTCCAGAAACGTACAAAACAATAAAAGAATCCAGTCCTAATTTGATAGCTGTTCTCACTGGAAAGTCATGTAGTTATAGACGTTTTGAAAGAGTAAAAAGAGCTGACACTGATGATAAGGAAAAGCTTCAGAATTTCACTGTTACCATGGATAGAGTATTAATGTATGCTAGTCGGCCTCTAATGATAAAGGTAATTCTAGAAGTCAGTTTTATTTCAATATTATCATTACTATTTTTATATGAAAATAATGTTATAGGAACAAGATGGAACAATGCCTATAGATCTTCCTACAAAATATACACCCACAGAAAAATCATGTAATGAATCTTTATGTTTGACTCTCACCTTCAATGGAACTGATAAACCTGTTAAATACCAGCTTACTTTCATTTTTGAAGTTAAAACTGCTGGATATTATACACTTAAAACAGTTGATTATGCATCATATACAAGCTTAAATAGTACTGGCAATCAACAAAACTTAATAGCAGATACAGATATTGTATTTCCATTCAACTTCTCATATCACTGTTCACAGAACACGACTTTCTTTTCGAATACAACCTCTTTAATTATTACAAATTTACAAGTACAGCTTGATGTACCACTAAAAAATAATACAAAAACATTTGATGATGCATATGATTGTGTTGGTTTTACTACAATTCCAATTTGGACAGGAATATTTGTTACTGCCATATTAGCCATGATCATGATTTGGGCCCTTACTATGATTATAGATATACGTACAATGGATAGATTTGATGATCCTAAAGGCAAAACAATCACTATTTCAGCTCAGGAATGATATAGTAATGATAAATTTGTAGAAATTTTATGTAAATATATATCATAAATAGATGTGACTTAATAAATTGTTCTATAAGTTATCAGTTTCATGTTGATAACTTATGTAATGTTTATCAAAGTAGTTAGACATTGTAAAATTTATTTTATTCTAAAAATAATACTTCATTGTAAGAAGATCAATTAAATCATTCCAGTTACCTAATATTACATATTTTGTATTAGTGTTTGTGTATTTCTTATACACTGTATTATTTCTTCTGCATAATATTTGTAACAATATAATTTATAATTTATAAGCAGTATTGTTATATAATGATAAAAAGCACACTTGAAAATAGCATAACTGATTAAACATGGCATAAAGTTTATAAATAATATTCATGTGACATCTTCTGTCATAATATATTATGCATTGATCATACATCAAATACATTAAATACTGTAAAAGTTATCTACATATATATTTATAATATACATATAATACAAATACATGTATAAAATATCTTAACAAATTTTGTAGTATTTCATCAATTTTTAATTAAGTTTTAGTCATTTTTCCTTGTTTGTAATATTGTCAAAATATGTTTTATGAGAATACATTAACAATGTTTAATAAATAAGAAATGTCTAATATACAAAAAGTATTAGACCAAATGAATTTATTATATATTACCTATACTTTACATGCTGGAATTTTTGTATCATGTATTACAATGAATACCATAGAATAAGATGGTAAAAGAATTGGTTGTGTGAAATTTAATATGACTGGTTCAAATGATGGTAAATTTCCATTAGGTTGTAATCGTAATATTTTTCCATTTAGTTTTATAGCTCTAAAAATAAATGAGATGGAACAAAGTATCTTGTATAAGTTATTAAATAAATGATATTAATAATTATCATAATTACCTTGACTGTAAATAGACTGAAGTAAGTGCATATAAATACACCTTTGCATCTTTATGGAGTACAGGAACTTCTTGAATAATAATATGAACAGGAATTTCAGCTATATTTATTCCATATATGGTAACTGCAGGAACTTTGTTAATCAATGCTTTCTCAGGAGTACAATGTGCATAAAGTCGTACATGATCAGAATTGTTTGCTGTTGATATTTCTAATACTTTTTCTGATACAAACTGTTTATAAATTACACTGACCCACCAATCAGGATTTGGTATAAGATCAGGTCCAATCATAGCATAATTTCCACCAAATAGTGACTGTCTGGTAACAACATTTAAATTTGCACTAGCACTGTATCCTAATTTATCAAGCCATAAAAAACCAGCCACAAATCTATCTGACAAATTTGGAGCACCTCCACCATAAGCTGTACTAGTCTCAGCTAGAATTTAAATTTTTCTATAAATCATGTAAAAGATATTTCACATTATATGTTGGAATATATAATTACATACACAACCACATAGAAATATTTTTTCCTGACAATTGAATTGCTTTTTTTATAGACTTTATTTGTTGTGGCAAATAATTAAAGACTGAAATATTTATGAAATCAGTTACTTTAGCTTCCCTTCCATTAAGGTAATATTGATGCCAAGTAACATAATTTACACTGTTCTGATCATTTTCCAAAAATATTTCTGCATAATGCTCTCCTACATGATTTGTGTCTCCTACATGATTTACTTCTGGGCCCACAAGAAGACTTTCATTATATCCTGCTTCATTTAATAGGTTTCTCAATTGATAGTAATCATTTGCTAGCTGAATTGCAGTAACAGTTCTATTAAATACATGATAAAAAGAATTAGGCTCTGAAATTATATATAGTATATCATTGAAAGCTCACTAAATAAAGATATAATTATGAAATAAAATTTTACCATTTCCTAATTGCCAATCCAATTTCATATTTTTTTCTTTAGCAAATGAGATTATACTCTTAGCATTGGTATTATCCCAGGAACCATTTGCATTTCTAATTAATACATTTAAATCGAAGATCATCCGCAAGTTTGATTTTATTGCAAAGTTATATAAATTTTCAAAATGTATCTTATTGATTGTAAAATTGCTTATATCTTGACCATCTACTGCACTAATTACTTTTTTGGAACTTATTTCCACTGTCTAATTAAATAGTGTATATACATTAGTATTTAAATTATTTTATAGCATATAACAAAATGTTAGAAATGTTGAATACATGTTTATAATCCATTAGTGTCATACTTCTAAACCAACCTTATTAAAATGTAAGCAATCAGCAGATGTACCACCTACTCGAACATAAGCAGGTGAAAGATGATGAGCTAAATTTATAAATTTTTCATTTGTAATTGGAAGATCTTCCATATCACGAAGTAAAGATGTATCCAGACCAAAGGATAAAAATTTGTCTGATACTACATGCAAACGAGTTGCATTTAAATTAAATATATAAGTATTCACTGTTGGATTTGTCATATTATTTAAGTTCCATACTGACAATATCAGAAATATTATACAGAAGCCTAATAGAGTTAATCTCAAATTGGGATGTAATACCGATTCTGAAATTTAAAAATTAACCAGACATATAAAAATCCGTTGAATATATCAATTCAACATCAGGAATATCGTAAGGAAATGTATGCAACGTTCAAATGAATCAGACATGACATGCGCAGAAGTAAACAAAAGTTCGTCGTCTGATGGATTTTTAACCTTTCGTCGAAAGAATGTTAAACTTAAATACTTACGAATTCGAATTTCGTTGAACTTTTCATACTGATTTTTACTTTGATTATCTAATATAAAATAGCTCATAATTTTTAAAATTTTATAAGCCACTTAAATCCTTCAAAATATCATATGAAATACTCTTATTTCACTTCTAATAGGAAATAAATGTGTTTATCAATAGTTTATCAAACATAAAACTTCCAATTATAGCTCATATCAAATGTGTCCTGAAAATTATTAAATCAAAGCTTAATTTTTAAATGTATATCTTTTCTTTGTCAATACAAATGAAATTGTTATTCTTTTAAATGGTTTTTGAGGATAAGTTCAAGAAATCATAAATGTACTTTTAATATTAGTTGAAAAAGATGTTTCATTTTTAGTCCATATTCTTCTTTTACCAACTTTGAAACCACATTGTTTTAGTTGCTTAATTTTAAATCGACTTGCTAATCTGTTGTGAACTGTTAATAATTAAACTTAAATATCTGATCTATAATTATAATATTTCTACTTAAAGTTGATAAAATACTATTTAAAAAACTAACACATTTACCTTCTGATGAAATTTGTTCAGATACTGAATTTAAACTAGAACTTGATGATTGAAATAGTGAAGATCGACTTCTGTGTACTGCAATACGATTGCGATAAGATAAAGTGTGGCGACGTTTCTGTTTCTTATTTAATTGTTGCGTTGATTCGGAAGTACTTAATTCATCTTCACCCCAAAATGAACGATCGGTATCATCAGATATTGTCGAAATCGGCGTTAGAGACTTAAACGTTAATTTGTTAAAAGTAGAGAACATACTACGTGTGATTGTAATAGAGGCAGCTTACAATTTTCTCAGAAGTTTCCAATGTATAAAGTGATCGATTATCATAACCTTCGTCATCTTCAGAATTTTGTATTATTTTTCGTGTATCACCACTGGCGTGATAACTCATTACGAATTTCACTTTAAGAATTAAAAATGTTATGATTGTATATTTCTATTTATCAACCTAAGATTCATTACACAATTTTCTTATATGGTCATAAGAATCATTTGGAATGGTAGGTTTCTATTTCTGAATGATAGAACACTTATATTGTGATATGATTTGAAATGTTTATTGAATACATTTCTTTTATGTCAAATTTGTTAAGAAATAAAAATATCAATTCACAAAATGTTTTTTTAGACATTTACTGAAATTTTGACAGCTTTTCATCCTAATAAATGTATAACAAATCACTATTTTTTTGTTTATTGTACATTTATTATGTTGTTAGTGTCAAGGAGAGAAATGAAATGAAACCAATTTTTTACACTCAATATAAAATTTGTTTATGCATCTTTTACTGTTAATGAAAAATAAACAAATAGAATGTAAAATCACTGTATTTTTTTAAATACATTTTAAACATCTGTTATGTTCAATAATGTTCTTTAATACCAACAGGATAGATTTATCCTTTCTTTTACTTTTCTAATTAAGTTTTTATATGAATTTTAATATATATCACATTGTATGTATATGTATAAACAAGCCAAATCTTAATCATTCTCTGATTTTCTACGTTTTTTTGAACGTGGGCTGTCAGTATCATGTGGACTTGGTGTGATATGACTTCGTTTCCTTTTAATATTAGTTTCACTAGCCTCACTACTACTACTTGCTGCAGTTCTTGTTTCTCTTCTAAGTGTTCCCTCTTCTGTAACTTGCACTAGTATCTGAAAAAGATTTAATACATTACTTGTAAATAATGATTAGATGTATATTAAACATATATTTCAAATTTTTACCTGCATATGTTGTAAACATTCTTCTTGCATTGAAACTGCCATTTTATAAATAAATGTATCATGTTTATTATACATTATAGCATTTTGAAACATTAACATTACATCACGTTGAAAATGCATTGTAGATCTTATAGTTCCATTGTCAATGTTTTTTTTAATAGTTGATAAATCCATTGGTCGAAAGATAACTGAATGATATCCAGGTGCTTGGTCTTCTGTGATAGGTCTTAAAAATACAGATGCATATTTATGTGTAGCAAGTCGGTTATAAACTAGCATGACTGCTTTTTTCCATGCTCTATAGTCTGCACCTTCACCTGTCCCTTCATTTTCAGGTTCACTGTCAATAGAGACATTCTGTTTTTTAGAATAAGTTTTCATGGCACGTCCTCCACTTAATTTACTTAGTGATGATTCTTCCTCATCTAATTCAACGGTATCTTCTCCAATACTTGTGACAGCTTCTGATTCTTTTTTTACATGTTCACTATCTTCATTTTTTTTATCTTCTTTTTCTTCCTTTACTTGAATTTCTTCTTTTTTGACGTCTAACATAAAAGAAGTTTCTAATTGAATTTTAGATTCTTCCTCTACTTTTGGTTCCTGAAATGTGGTTTCTTCTTTTTTAATATCAGCAACATCAGGTTCAAATTTGGATTCTGCACTTTCCTGTTTTGAAGTTCCAATTTCCTCTGGAGATACTAATCGAGTAGAATCTTCTACAATTGCTGTCTCTTCTATTTCTTCTTCTTTAATTTCTATATCTTGCAAAATAGAACTTGTTGTATCTTCTGAAGAATCTTTTGTATCTTCTTTCTTAAATTCTTCTGTATAAAATTCTAAAGCTTCTTCTGTCTGTTCTTCTTGAGATTTATCTGGTGACTCTTCACTTACTTCTATAATAGTCTTTTCTTTTACTACAATAATAGGTTCTTCTTTAAATGATTCAATTGATTCTGTACTTTCTATGGTATTCTCTATAATATGTTCTTCCGTTACTTTCTTTTTATCATCTGAACTATGTGTACTTTCATCATCTTCTAAAATTAAACTAATATCTTGCGATTTTTCTGTATCTTCAGTGCTGGGGAGATCATTTGTTACTTCAGATGAAACACTAACAATTTCTGCAGATGGTACATCTTGCTGTTCACCTGTAATTTTTGCAAGATGCATTTCTATCTGATCTAATTCCATACTACTTTTATTTTCTATTTCTTCAGAATATTCTCTTTGTAATTTGGTATTAGGTGATTCTTTAGACTCTGATATAATTAGTTCTGTTTCTTCTTCTTCAATTTCATCTTCTACTACATCATCCATCATTTCTTTGACAGGTATTTTTGAATCATTTTCTTCAGCTTCCACATTCGAAGTAGAATCCATAGTGTCAAATTCATCGACGATTTGTTTTTCTTGTAATGGGATATCTTTGCTATTTTCTCCATCATGAGTTTCTAATTCAGGGACAACTTCTTCATTTGATCTTTCATCACATATACTTTCTTCAGATTTCACTTCTTCAGACACGTTTGTTATAGTTTCAGATATTTCGGCAACAAGAACTTTTGGTTCTTGAGGTTCAATGGCAACTGTACCTATAATTTCTGCAATATTTGATGTGCTAGAATCAATTTCTTCAATAGCCATTGCACTCTCTGGCGAATTAGAAAGCGATACGACTTCGTCTACGTCTCTGGGTTCTGGTCGTTCCGTTACTACTGGAACTTCATGAATTTGAGATACAGCAATAGTATTAATTGTAGTTGCACTTGTATCCAAAGTCTGTGGACTTCCGGTTATTTCCTCTTTTATTAGTTCTTCTATATCTCCAATGATTTCATTAATTTCATCTTTATCTATTACATCTGCCATTATATCTTTACGAATTACATCATCTATATGATCTATTATCTGCACCATACTTTCTGTTACTGGAATATTTGGTGTATTAATTGTATGAGCTTGAGTAGTTACTGGTGTTTCATTATGAATTGTCATTTGATGAACAGATTGTGACTGAAGATTTTGAATTTCAGTAGGCACATTTTGTTGAGATACAATAGTTGGAGCTGACTGTAAATTAGGTAAAGGACCTCGTTGTGCATTAGCAGGCATCTCTAATAACATGGATAAAGTGGGTGCACCAACCGATGGTCGCTCTGGTGGAACATTTGAAATTGCAGAAGAAACCAATTGATGCAATTGGGAAGATACATTTTGTGTTAGTTGAGAATTTGGTACTTTAGGACTAGAACCAAGTAAACTTGTAATTGTAGGAGAACTAACTTGTCCTGTAGTAGTTGAAGTTTGAATTTGTGTTGTTGGACTAGGAGATTTTAATAAACTTGTTAATAATGGTGATCTTCCTCCCCTACTTTTCTTTTCATCATCATCTAATGTTTCTGTAGTTTCTTGAATTTCTCCTGTACTTTCTATAGATTTACGCTGACTTATAATAGATACTCCTTGCTGCAAATTTAACTCCTGTTTTTGTTGTCGTTTTGCTAACCACATAGAATGTGCTCTTGCTTTTTGTTCTTGTTCCCGTTCTTCTTGTTCAATAGCAAGCCACATCTTTTGTAATTTATCTTCTGTTATAGATCCAGATTTTAACATGTTTACTTCAGCTTTAAGTTGTTGATATTCATCTCTTTGAAAAGCTAATATTTGTCCTAATTCAGCTATTCTTTCTTGTGTCAGTCTTTTAACTATTGATTCACCTGTTGTTTCTCCACTCTCCCTTTTTTTTCTCTTAGGAGTATCTGCATTTTCCAACAAATGTGCATATTGAATTGCACAAGATTTCTGAGAAAACCAATCAGGTGGTCTTAATGTTTCCTTTTCAACAAATGCTTTCAGAGATCTAGATACACTCATCCAGTTTTGATCTCCTGACTTTAATACACTAGAAGCTAAACATAGCTGTTCTCGGGTATTCCAAGTATCATAAGATCTTTTCAATCTTAATCCTATAAATAAATGTTACAGTAATCAGAAAATATAAGGTAAATGAATCTATGTTTAATCAATCTTTTTAACATTACTTTAAAAAGTATATTGATTATGTCAATATTTTTAAGTAAAAGTTTGTTTACATTGTATAGGTTAAGAAACATTGCTGGCTAATGTGTGCATAAAAATATAATGGTAGAATATAATAATACTAATTATTAAAATAATCCGGTCATAGCATTATATTAATATAATATTGTGCATTATATTTTATATAAATTAAGAAATATATATATTAAAAACCATTATTCTTGTTAATCGCCAAATTACAAACTATAATAAATAAAATGATAAACTTACTGTCCTGTACTGACGTCATAATTTCAACAAAAAGTTTTATTTGTTTTTAACGTATATATACCACGACATAAAAATTTGTAGATAAATTAATTATCATGAATTCTTTTATGACTTTTCACATTTGAGCTATCAAATACACCACGCATTCTTTCTGTCTTAGAGAAACATGGAATATACGGACAGCTGATTTCGAACTTGAAACTAGGGAATACGAGAAACAGAAATGTAATGGCGGATACAAAGCAAACTGTCAAAGTATGGTGCATTATACTGTCGTTGTAATTAATCAACTGTCGAACACAGTTTATCGACGATTAAATGAGGAGAGGATAAATATGCGTTGAATACGTGAAATTGTTGAATTAGTAATGCAATTACTGTAACTTGTATATACACAATTAAAAGTGCAGATTTCTTGTATTAATTGTATATACATAGATCATTTAATATCTCACAAAACTGTTTTATTTTACAATGATGAATAATCGAAGACGAACAAACAATTTTACTTATGTTAGTTCATGCGTAAAATACATGATATTTCTGCTCAATTTTATTTTTTGGGTAAGCTTTATTTTGTGATTCTAATTTGAAATTTTTATCTATATTTTTAGTTTTGCCATTATTATAATTTTTTTTATTATAAAGAACTAAGTAATAGGTCATTACATTAAACAAATAAATGTTTTTATGCAGTTGTTTGGTGGCCTTCTAATTGGAGTGGGTTTATACGCATTTGTGGATAAATGGCAAGCAACTGGTTCCGTTAGAGTGGAGAATGTGTACGATGTAGTGCTAAATATTTCACTTGTAATGGTTATAGCAGGAGGAGTTGTTTTTGTTGTTAGTTTTGCAGGATGTGTTGGAGCATTACGGGAAAATACATGTCTTCTTAAATTTGTTAGTATCAAAGTATTGAGTAGATATTTAGCAGTTCATTAAAAAACTATCTTGTATATTTATTTATTACAGTACTCATTGTGTTTACTGGTGTTCTTTCTCCTCGAAATGGGTATAGCAATTGTTGGCTTTGTATTTCCGCATACATTACAATCATTATTGGAAGAATCATTTACTGATAAAATTATACAAACATATCGTGAAGATCCAGATTTGCAAAACTTTATTGACTTTGGTCAACAAGAAGTAAGAAGTTTCATAAAAAATATATATTTAAAAATTTTCTGTTAAAATTAATTATAATCAATCATGTTACCATTTTTATGAACAGTTTAGATGTTGTGGTTTAAGTCAAGAGGGATATTTGGATTGGGGAAAAAATGAATATTTCAACTGCTCCAGTCCAAGTGTAGAACGCTGTGGTGTACCATTTTCTTGCTGTATTAATGCTACAGACATATCAGTAAGTATTACTTACATTATAAACAATATTTCCTTAACAGATTTAAAACAAAAGCGACATCATTCAATTTTTTAGAGTGGTCTTGTGAACATAATGTGTGGTTATAAGGTACAAATGTTACCAGTATCTGAAGCAGGCAAAAAAGTGTGGACTAGTGGTTGCATTGAAATTGTGAGAAGTTGGGCAGAACGTAATCTATATACAATAGCTGGTATTGCTTTGGGGATAGCTCTTAGTCAACTATTTGTTATTTACCTTGCAAAAACGTTGGAAGGTCAAATTGAATTGCAAAAATCTCGCTGGGATTCCTGAGCTTGACCTCAGGCCACCTACCGCTATCAGATACATTCCCCTTCAAGCAGGCAGGTGGCCAATGGCCGAACAAGAGGCCAGGATACAGAAACAAATGTAAATGTTCGTATGACATTACTTGTTGTTTTTGCGATCTTTGTATACATACTTTGTATCCTTTCTTTAATTAGATTTGTTCTTTACTTCAAAACTTATTTTCATGTATATTTAAGTAAGGGTTAATTTTTACTTTCATACATGACACTATTTTTGTAATCATTTCAAAATGTTGTTTTTAATCTAGTATACATGTTTATCAACAAATTTTGTAGTAATATTTGTCTATATTCGTCTATTTTGATAAGACTCATATATTTTCTTCTTTGAATTATATGCAGTTTACATTTACTAATTTCAAAGTAAGTATCTAAAAATTGGATATCGTTTAATCGCTATGATTACTAATGTATCAACTTGATTGCACAAATTACTTGCATATGAGGAAATAAATTTTTATTCAACGCGATTAATTAAATGTATAGTGATAAATACATAGTGGGGTAAATTGATTCTGTAATAATATATAATGTTTTCATATTTATAATTCATTTAGAAAATATGCACTTGTATGATATTGAATTTCATATGTTGGTAATTTTTGCATAAGAATTCCAAGACGTCATTCGCACAGTGTATGTATTAGTATCATAAGTATTAAGATAAGTATTAAATGTCCTACAAAAGACTTACAACATTATATAATTTATGAAGTAGCTATGAACTGTAAGAGATTCGTACTTTTTTATATATTAATACCATTTTTCGTTGTCATTATATCTATAAAAACATTTTAATGTGCAGTATTATTGTATTTTCTTTTTATTTATGTAACAGAATGTGTCTTTTATTAACTATAAATAACAATTATTTGACGTATCAAAGTAAATAGCTGTATAAGTAAAAGCACGCACATCTTTGGAACAGTTGGAATCTCTTTCACTATGTATTTACTTCGATTTTGTATGATCGTATTATAAAAATATTAATAAGCATATAGTGATTTACAAAACAATACTGTTAATTATTATGTTGTATTAGTGTAACTCCAGTAAATAAGATGAAAAAACGTCCAGTGCCAAAGTCGAAATATCATTTTATTTGAGAGAAACCTGACAATAATCTGGTATAAATTATTTCTTTATTAAGTGCATATATAATACATCTGCGGATCTTTCTATCAAGAATAAATGTAAAATTGATATATGAAACTAGTTTGTAATAAACAAATATTATTCTAAGAGTGTGTTATTCTAGCTTACCAATAAATTATTATATATTTATAACGTTTAATAAGAATAAGAAATAAGCAGTTCATATTACCTGTTATAAAAGCATTTATTTATATAAAGATGTATCTACAGTGATGTTATCAGAATATTCTAAAATAACACTTTGTCCATCAATAAGTTTAGAACTTTCACACAATTTTGTTATAGGCATGTCCATTTCATTACAAATTAATGCACCATTTGTATGATGAAATAACTGTAATTTACATGCACCTGCTATGCTATTATTATTAGAAATTTTCAACGTATCAGCAATTGAATCTATAACTTTTCCATATACCCAATTTACATTTACATAAACACCTTTTGATGGTTTTATGTGTTTATTAGATATTGAAGTTGGCGGATACACATGCAAATAGAAACGTTCATTTACTGGTATATTTTTAGGACCAACAGCAGAACCTTTTACACGCATAAGTCGTACCTATTTAAATAATGTCCAAATTAAACACAAGTAAATTTTTACTAAACATTATTTCAATATTAAAACATACTTTATTTGCCATTGCAACATTTTTGGATTTCTTCAGATTGTCTGAAATTTGTTGATCTACTATAGCTTTTGCTTCTGCAAATTGTTTCTTTGGTATTTGCCATTTTTTTAATTTTGTTGTTTTTTCCTCATTAGTATATTCTAAGCAGCCATGATATCTATGTTGCAAACAAAAGTGTTTTTTACATTTAATGCATAGCATTTCAATGGGTGAAGTTTCCTTGCAACATTTATCGGAACACACATAATTTGATCTTTTCACTTTACTATGTACAATATTGTCATGAAAATTTAAGCACTTATGAGCATCGATATGGAAATGTTCTGTGCAAAATATGTTGAGACAATAATCACATTTAAGCGGTAGAAAATTTAACTGTTTACAATTCTTCATTGAACATCTTTCTCCAACATCTGGAAACTCCATTTTGAATCTGTAACAAAAACAATGCAGAAGAGGTAAACAGTTAAAGTAATTAAACTTTAGTTATGTAAATAATATGAATACTATGTATTCACAAATTATGACCTGTTTAATTATGTGATGGTGTTGGAGAATGTAAATGATTCTCACTGAGAGATCCTAATGCCAAATTATTCCATTTTTGTTCTAATTCTTTCAGCGTCATGTGAGAATCACCATTGTCACTTTCAGGATCAGGTAATTCCGCAACTGGTACTACAATATCGTCGATGGGTAAACGTTCTTTATGCCAAGCTTCATCGATTAAATCTAATAATCTACCGTCTCCACAAACTTGACTGTCCATTCTAGAAATAACTTTATATGCAATATATTATACATACTATTATAACACAAATCGTCTATATTTTTGCATGTTGTATATATATAGTGTATTCAAGAGCAAATCTGGTTGCTTAATGAAAATGGCAGCCGAGAGGAACAGATCCCTACCCCTACCACTAGCAGTCGACTAACTGGCACGCATTAATCCTAATATGCTGTAGGTAATTCTGAGAATACCTTTACGATTTAATATATTGACAAGATATATTATTTCTTTTACGACATAGATTTTTCAGAAACAATTAATTTAAAAAATAAATATTATTTTGGAAATGTGACTGTTACACGAATTCCAAAATTTAAATTTTCGCACGCTGTTTGGAAACAGTCCAATTAGCGTCATCTAGTGATAAAGACAGGAACTGTCCAAACATTCTTTTCTCGCAATTATCTGTTTTACTAGTTCTAGCGTACACCGATAGATGGCGATACCGACAGTTTCAGGCTGCGCGAGAAAATTTCAATTTTAGAATTCGTGTAAGAATCAGGTTTCCAAAATGTTGTATATTTCTTAAATTAATTGTTTTTCAAGCATCTATATCATTTTTTTTTATTATTAATTGAAATGCAATTATTATTCTTACAAAGTCTAACGTATAATGATTTCTTGTTTGTAATAAAGAGGCTATATATTTATCCATTTAGCTATAATGGTATACATGCAAACAATATTTGATGCTTTGGTCTTTTATTTATATGACGAAGAAGAAATTGTCTCCTGGATTTATATATAATCATAGTTTTTTTCCTTTTGCAATTAATCGTGTCGTTTATGTTCTTCAAATAATCGATTTGTATCGTGTCCTTCGCCCGTATCCTTGCAAATTCCTTCCTTAGTATCGCACGTTAATCCATTAGCACATGGACAAAGGATGTAATGAACATTGGTTAATGTTACTAGGGCACCATCAGGATATCCCAGGGTCATATTAGTGGGCGAAGTACTGCCTGGTCTACAAATTTCTCCTTCAGCTTGCATTACTTTACATTGTGGAATACTGTACCTCAACGGTCCTAGAATTATATATACACGTATTTCATTAACATCTATTCTTATATACACATTACGTATTTTTTGATGTTTTAGCAAATAATTATACCTATGTTACAACAATAGCCTGAATCGCACTCTGCATTGCTTTGGCATTGTATATAATCCGGTCTATTCGTTTGTGCGCGGGAGGAGCAACTCAATACAAACAAAAGAAATAAAGTGACAAAAATTGGCGTCATCGTTGTTATTTTCGCTTGCTGACTCCTACGGAAAAAGAAAAAATAAATTTAAGTATTTTATGATCTGAAACACTGTTTGGAATAGTACTTATCGATTGCGTTGGTTATTCATGAAATTGGTTATATTCGCGAATTTTTATAGAACGATAATACCTTTTTTTGAAATCTGATTAATTGTACAGTTACGACTGTACAGTACCGCTTCAGGAAACGATGCTACATAGGTTGATCTTATAAGGACTGATCTTTTGTCCATAGATTAGTCACACGTTAATCGTAATATGAATAAGTTAAAGTATCTGTTCCCGATATCGGAATTCCTTGATACGTTCAATGTTTGCCCTAATTTCATTGTTCCGTAAATATCCTCAGACTGTAACCTTCACCTTTTTCCTAGTCGCGATAAAACACCATTGAAAATGATCAAATTACTACAATAAATAGAATGACACAATTGCTAACAAACTATATTAGGACGTAGGACCCCTCCCCCTGCGCGTTAAGACCTTTGCCCTATTGGTGATAAGTTTTCTAAAAAAACCAACAAATTATCGATCGACTGATAATAACGCATAATAAGGTTCTTTCTAACTGCTATTCAAATTTACATATTCCATCAAAAGTTGTTTTTAACAGTACGAGAAAACCGATCATGTTCGAAATTCTGTGCACTATCTATGCATCTTCTGTGCTATTTCATGTAGTAATTTTGTACTAGATTATCTCTTCAAATATTAGTTTTCAGTATGTACAGCTGTATTGTTTACAATTTTTAACGGCCAACTTTAATCGAAGTACGATTGTATTAATTTAGTAGGTCTGGGTCACGATTGACCTGATTCTGCTATTCGATAGTTAATCGGATGCACAGATCACTTTCGTTCCTTTTTCACGAAACTGAGAAATAACAAAAATGTATATAGTTGATACTTACGAATCTATGTTGTCCACACTCGACAAACACTTGTCGGCATTTGATCGTGCAAACCGGTGAGCCTGTTGTTTTTATATAGGCTCTTCCTCCGCTTCGTTCGTTTCACCAAATAAACGAACAGTTTACACATTTTTCCTCTGGATTAAAAAATTTACGTGCGATGCGTTTGCGAGTGCATCACGTTACTCTGCACAATTCTATATTTGGTATAAATTAAAATTTAAATATTTAGACAAAGTTAACGAGTAATTAATTGTATTTTGTATTCATTCTAAAAAAAGAAGACGCCGCATTCATCAAAAGATCACTTTAGTAGCGACAACGAAAAGTCTTTTTCAGGTTTCCCTAAACTTTGCATTTTTTTATGCATGTTATGTATACAGGTGACGATAAACACAGTAAAAAATTGCCTCTTTATAATTGTAGTATTACGTCATCAATTGAATGGAAATCCCGAATGGAAATCCGTAAAGTCAGATCGTATCACATCCTGAAAGCATATGCGTAGGATTAATAATTAATGGTTTTAGTTGCACCGATGCAATGGTAATTATTCACGACATTACAATGTATCGAAAATTATAGTGCATCGGTATAATTTATATTACTGGAAAATCAAGACATGTATTTCGAAAAGGGATATGCGGAATTTTGCGCGGTGAATTAATGAAGATCTTTTCAAACTTTTATAGGTCGAGATCGTTTTTCGAAAATGATTAGAAGTCACAAAGTTCATTAAATGCAAAATTTGTAAGTGTGAAAATTTCAAAATATCGATTTTGATAGACAGTATTTTTGAAAAAATACTTTTAATGCATTTTAAATGCCTGATTCTTGCATATTTTTAAAAATCCATATTTACGCGCGCGTACTGTAAAAAAAGCATATTTAGCGCAGTCTAGTGTTCTAGCATGAAACTATAGAAAAAAAGTATTTTTTCGCAAAATAAAGTATTTTTATATTTTGTTCATATTTGCAAATTGTTCTTTGACCCCTATGAATTTAGAAAAATGATATGTTATTGCCTGATATGTCGAAAGAGTTCTGTAGTTCTGCACCTGACCACTGGATTACGCTAGTGGTACTCTTTTTCTGAGAGTACGCGCGTAAACCAAAACTTTTAAAAATATACAAGTATATATTCTTTAAAAGATACTGGTTATTAAAATTGATGTTATCAATAATGTCGGTATTTCTAATTGTATGGCACTAATAACAGCGGCATGTGTAGTCCAAAATTTATCATGTATCTCGTCGGTGCTACTATTTTGATGTTTCCCCGCTAGATGTTCTTACTTCTACCCGATATTTCCACCGAATTACTATAGATAGATTAGGTGTAACTGGAAATAACCTCACGTCACGTCCCATGTGAAGAATTATAATGATGCTGTTGGTTTCACGGGGTTATAACTATTTATAAAATCAGCTATTTAATCGTGTACCATTTAAAATGGTCGAATACGAGTTACCGGTGTTGTACCTGGTATAACTCATTGTTGTGTATTTCAGCATTTTTTGATAATTAAAGAAGAAATTAATGATTTTGTAATGGAATAAACACGTTCGTAAGATCGGTGGATCTATTTTTACTTTTTTAAATTCATTCACAAGTTCAATTATGGTAATTGTTTCATTTAACTACGAATCATTTAAAAAATGTACGAGTAAACATTTAATACTTTTTTACTGTTAATCAAATGTTTTAGGCTCTCCTAGGAGCTCAGTTGGTTATCACTCTTATTATGGTTAGTGTCATTCAAAAATTAACTCCTCATTTTTCTCTGGCAAGATGGATTCTATGTTCTACAGGGTATTTATTGAAATATGTAGTTATTAAAATTCAATGATACATAACATAGTATAAACAGAAGATTACTATTATCAGGTTGACACGTTATTTGTATCCAACTGATCAACAACTTAGAACTCTTGCGGGTGTACCTAAAGAAAAACTCAAGAAAAGTAAACACATGGAAAATGGAAAGGTTGGAGACGTGTTTCATGTTCCTAGGAATTTGAATATTACGCTAGAAAGCGTTAAAATAACCACATTAGATGTAGTGCATTTAAAATATTATACAGAATATCAGTGGTTATTGGACTTTTCTGTTTATGCTACTGCAGTTTATATCATTACAGAGGTTAGTAATTACATTATTTCTTGCGATTGATGTTAAGGTTATTTTCATATGTGTATTTTAATATTTGTATTTTTCATTCACTTAATAGCTGTATAATTATTTATATCCAATTAAAGATGAAATTAATTTAAGTATGCTTTGGTGCTCATTGGTTCTCGGGTTTGCATTGTATCCTTTGTATCAATGACTTTTATTGTAAAGGTGCATTGTATTTTCCAATAATGATTATTATATTTGAATGAATTTAATTTCCTTAATCAGTATGTAGTAAAGTATTACTTTCCCTTTGGGTACAATACTTTAAAGGAGAAGAGAGTATAGGTGAACGATCTACGTGTATTGTAACTGGATTTGCGTATCTTCTTATAGCTATGATAGTCCTTATTGTTGATGAGAATAATCTTGAAATTGGATTGGATAAAGCTTATGCAAGTTTTAACCATAGTGCATCACTTTTTTTAGATAATCAGGGTCTTTCTTCTACGTAAGTTTATAGAATTCTGAATTCTATCTTCTGATCTTAATTTTATTTACATAATAACATAGCCTTTCTCGTAGAGGACCTGCATCCAAAATTGTTGTGAAGTTCTTTCTTGCCTTGTGGTGTGGCTTGGTTGGTTCTTTATTTACCTTCCCAGGGTTAAGAGTATCAAAAATGCATTGGGATGCATTAAGGTACTAAAACATTGGATTAATTCTTAACATTCTTATGCTAACACACTAATAATAAAAAATTGTGTTTCAGATATTATAAAGATCAGAAGTTATTGTTATTAATAGCAAATATTAGTTATGCATCTCCTCTCTTGTTGGTAAGTTTGTGGATTAAACCTGTCAGCAGAGATTACCTCACAATTCGAATATTTACTGGTATGAATGAGCCACTGTAAGTTAAGAAATAGTGAAAACTACCCTCATATATTTAATGTGAAAATTTTAAATAAAAAAAAAATTTTGCAGTATGACAGCTTCAGCTTTTGAGAGTATGAGGTTAATTGTAATAGTTACTGCAGTTTTATTAAAACTTGTTTTAATGCCAATGTACTTGCAATCATACCTTAATTTAGCTGTACAACGATTAGAGAATCAAAAGAAAGAAGCGGGAAGAATTACGAACGTTGATCTACAGAAAAAGGTATTTATAAATAAATTCGCAATATTTTTATCTATTAAAATTATGATCGACAATCTGTATAAAAATCTATATTGTGATTTATTTCAGATAGCTGCAGTATTTTACTATTTATGCGTTGTAGCATTGCAATTTATTGTTCCATTAATTATATGTTTGTTTTTTACATTCATGTACAAGACATTAGGTAAAGTAAATAAATGTTAATTGTTATGCATTTAACATGTTTGTGCATATAAGTATTTCTTCTAGGTGGTTATACATGGGTAGATCTTTTTAAGGGCTCAGCATTTGAAGAATGTCCTGCAAATCAACCACCTAAATCTATATCTAACACAATAAACAGCGATGATGATAATGAAAAAACCGTTGTGCAAACAGCGCAAGACTTTCAACTTGCTTTGAGTTCCTTAAAGCAGGTAATGATAATTTATCTCGTTTAATTTTAATTAAGATTTAGTAACAGACATTTTATTATATCTTTTTATACATTCCTTATTTGACAGATATTTACTACAGATGTGTACAGAGGTTTGTTAGGTTTAGCAACATGGTGGAGTTGTTTTGCATTGTTTGCAACTACCGCTATGGGTATGTTTTATCAATCATACTTCACTAGCATGTAAGGAAATTACAAGGAAGAACATTTGATGTCATTTCGCACAAACTTACGTCATTTATTATAATTGGTTCGTTACTACTGAAACCATTGGATTACTGCATAAATCCTGAAATTGATGTATTTTAAAAGGAAATACCTATATGAAGGTATGCACAATACTGGCTGTTCGAAAGAAACAGTAATACTATAAAACTTTTATGGTATATATATAGCAATACGAATGATGCGATTGCAATACGAATAAATACTATTTAAAAAAAGTTTAAGATTAGCAATTGCAAATTCTTTTTATATTGTACAACATATAACGTTTATATAAAGAATTAAGAAAGTACTGTATCATAAAGTGTAGCAAATATAAAAGCAGAGAAATTTTAAAATGTTTTACAACTAAATATAAATAAGACTTTAAATTGTATGCAAGGCATAAATAAATTGAATCACTGCCAGGAAACAGTATTTGGTATTCTACGAGGAACTAACTGATTACAATTAATAACTCGTCTGTGTGACAGTTCTTGATGAAATTGGTCGAAAGTCGCTTTCATCGCTGATATTACAATCGTAGATGGATCGTATGGAAATATTTCACTGCCATGTAAATATTTGCTTGAACAGTATGTAATTAAAACCTTGTGTATATTTCTGTACAGTATTTATTAAAAATTTTGCGTACAATAATTAATAGTTTTATTTAAAAAATCATAACAAGTTTATCTTTGTTTATTTATAATTTAAATCTTGCACATTATATTCTATCATAAAGATCTGTAAAAGAGAAAACTATTTAAAATGATTACAATTCATGGATTGTGCTATTTTGGTGTAATGGAATCATTGTATCGTGGAGAAAGTGCGATGGTACATTTGAAAATGTGTCGATGCGATGCTACTCACGTATCAACCAGGCTGCTTCCGCGATATATAACCCCCCACGGTCTACTCAATGTCAGAATAGCTATTGATTTTCATCGACTATAATACTGTCAGTGTTTTTTAACGATAAACTTTTTGGAGACACTCGAGAAGTTTTGACACATTTAAAACATGCTGGTAAGTACTTATCATTCTAACATAGGTTTTTTTTTAATATCATATATTTCAGTGCAAATAATTATTTTTAGAAATATACAGCGCTTTGCTGCATGATGTTTTTGTCTGTGCTTGGAGAACCACCTATTCAAGGTGTCAGACCAACCAATGTATTGGGCAGTTCTGATCAACATGCATCTTTCAGTTTTGTTAGACCAGGCTTAACACAAACAGCTTTTGCATTCAGTGGCCCTAGCTCTCACCAGTCATTTAGTTCTAGCATTGGAAATCCTTATTTGGCACAAAAAGTTTTACCAAACGTTGCTAATGCGCTTACATATAGAAATCCCGGCTTAGGTTTGTAACATTTTTATGAGATTTCATAATTTGCAATCAGATATCAACTAGTTGAAATTAAAATAAATTTATTATATTTTAGGTACATTTCCAGTTGGTCCTATTGCACAGGGTTACGCAACTGCACCGGCTGCACCTACATTTGTACCTTTTCCATCTGCACCACTGCCTTATCAAACTTCTGCAGATCCTGCCACAATTTTAGCTTATTATCAGCAGTTACAACAAATTCAGCAACCTCAACTAAATGGTTATTCTGCAGCTACTGCATATCAAGCACAATTGGCACAACTTCTTGCGTTGAGACAAGCTCAGGCCCAGGCCCAGGCCCAGGCTCAGGCTCAGGCTCAGGCTCAAGCTCAGGCTCAAGCTCAGGCTCACGCTCAAGAACATTTGCATGCTACACAAATACAACAGGTATAAAAGTTATTTCAAATAGTACTTTTAAATATATATTATATAAAATTGAAACGTGATTTTTGTTTAATAGTAATCGTCCATAGGTATCAGAACAGGCTGAATTACAACAGGACGGACAGGAACAACAACAGGAACAAAAATCACAAAATTTGTTAGGAATTGCCTACTCATCTGCACCTGCAGTTGCACGAGTTAAAGTATCTGGGAATGGCTATAAATTTGATTTTTAAGAAATATAAATGTACATAGCATTTAAATTTAACTTTATATATCGTTCATATTGTATTTATTTATTTACATTGATTTAAAGAGTGCATATATGCTACTATATATGTGTGTATGTAACGAATACTAAAATTTTGTAATATTTTTATCAAGAAGATTTCGTGTTTTTTTTTTTCATCCTATGATAATTTAAATTTATTTGAAAGCGTATGGTTCTACTTAGAATCTTAAAGGTGTCTTGCGTGTAACTTTATATTTTTGCGAAAAAATGTAAAGTTATTTTAGTAATATAATTTTTAATGATATCCCTGAAAAAAAATATTTCGAGCGAACTCAAATTCTTTTTCCGCAGTCGGTAGGACTCGAACCTACGCTCCCAGAGGGAATCTGATTTCTAGTCAGACGCCTTAACCACTCGGCCACGACTGCTACGATTTTACGTTTTCCTAATATGAAAAAAATGTATAGCTCAGAAATATTACTCAACAATTAAATTATGTTACACTTAAAAATATGTTATTAATAAAATATCGTAATTTTTAATACATCAATTATATTGTAATGTTTTGAAAAAGAAATTGATTCCAAAGTTTGAAGATAACTGTTCGAACTACTGTACAATCTTTGTTTCTTTTAAATATTGTATTCGATGTTAAAAAATTCTGCAATTATTGAATATTGCGCAAAAAGAAAATATACTACAAAAAAAAGGTTGACCCCGACGTGATTTGAACACGCAACCTTCTGATCTGGAGTCAGACGCGCTACCGTTGCGCCACGGAGTCTTTGATACATCGATCTTTTTAGTACGGAATGATTATGAACTCTTCTTCAGTTAAACAAATGTATTAAAAAACAGTTTTAATTAGGATATCAAATTTTATCAAATACTACCAGATATTCTTCATTGTTAAAATACTAAAAAAGTAGTACATTGTTCTTTAAATTGTTAAATATGCCTTACGATTAATATAAACTTAGATATATTTATACATATACATATGTACTACATATGCTGTTTTTATTACAGTTAAGCATTTGTTTAATAAGTAATAATTTATATAAAAAGACAATGAAACTGAATGTACTTGTTTATTTTCTATTTATATATTGTAAATAATATTTATAGAAATATTTAGAAAGGAAATAAAAATTTCATTGCAAATACGTCATCAATCACTAATTGAACTGCTACAATGTGTTCAGTGAAAAACACGTGGTGCGTGCTCACATCCCGCATGCAAGCACTGAATTATCCGAGGAACATATCAACTTAGGAAGCTGTCTTTCTCCCTACATTGAAAAGAGTTTCGCGCGGGTTGTCTCACAAAGCCCCTCCTAGCACCAGGAGTTTATACAACGTACGTAGCGTCCTTCGTGCGAGTACGATGATACTATATTCCGTCATACCTTGACTTTCGCCCGTGAGGAATTTTTTCAACAGGAACGCATGCAGCCAACAGTAATTTCATGACGCCACCGATAGAAGCGCTAGTGTACGCGCTGATTTGTAAGTATGTGTGTATGTACGCGTGTCCTACATATTACAAGCTTCAGCTACCCACAAGACGTGTCCCCCACCGAACTGTACATTAATTTTAGGGGAAAACGTAATAAGATTTGATCCACCTATGAATAATGACCATAGGAATATCGTTGGCTTATACAATGGACAAATATAATAAAAAGATGACGAAGGTACTGTGAAGGATTCGGTGTACGCTCACAGGTAAGGGAAATATTTATTAATTTCAATTTTGGGGAAAAACAGTGTCACTGCCCTATGATTACGCTTTAATTCACACACGTGAAGTTAGAACGTGGAGATGAAATGTATTATTGATTCAATTTCAACCTCGGGAGGTTGCTTATTATTGTTAGGTATGTGTTAGGACGTCGGACCTGACGAAAATTTTATTTGTACGGAGGGGAATGTATTGATAAACAATGGAAAGAGGTCATTATAGGCCAATAAAGTATTACTACGTCACAGAGGTGCTTAAGGCCCGCGCGGCTCTTCCTCAAAATTATGTCTTTCCAATCTGCGGGTAACATAAGATAAAAGGAGGTTGTCATTGGTCGTACTCGACAGGGCTGGCACGAGCATTTGCAGAGCCACGTTCTAAAATTATACGAGGTCAAATGAAACTACAATTTGAAATGCCTTGACTGTGGAGTACTTATAAATTTGAAACGCATCAAATTTCAGATGCTTGAAATTTGTAATTCGAAACATTTCGCATTTAGAATGTTTAGTAATTTTATAAGTACTTATACACTTATGGTAAAGAACAGGTTAAGTGACCGCTCTAAACCTGCTCTTCCTCTAAACCTGGTTCTTCCAGTATCGGACCGGGTACTGGATATCTACCGTTCTTCCTGCGTTCCTGCTAATGAATCGGTTAAATTGTTGATTATGTCCATTCTACTCGTTAACTGCAGATTGCTGAAGGCTGCGTGTAAATCAACATAGCTTTATTTGCAACCTACAGCGTATAGAATACAAAAGATGCTCATGAAATGGTTACCTTCTTATCTTGTTACTGTTTTTTTTGAGTTTATTTAACATAATTTAAAGATTTTAGCGTAAAAAATGATCAATTAGTAAAGTCATTTAAGCTTAATTGAGGTATTGCTATGATTATACTTAAAATCAAGGCAGGATAAGCTGTAATAATTTTTCCACTGTACTAATCATTGCTGTTTCATATTATTCTATTCTTATAAATCAATGTTCAATCTTTATTAGTGTAAAATACAAATTTTCTGAACATATCTGATTCTTGGAAACAGATTATCTGTCTTGCACTTTTGAAGATTCGATTTTATTAACTAGTTATTAAACATGTGTGTGTTATTTAACATAAGTTCACAGTAAATATAAATTGTAGCTCTTAGCTCGATATTATTGTCTAAAGATAATTTTTAAAAAAATTCTTAGAGAATAATATCGATTACCAGGTCACACCACGAGGAGGTGGCTACGTTCGTGACCCACCCTAACTCCAAATCCCTACCACCCTCCAATTGCAACTACTCATTTATCGGAAGGATAAATGAGTTCTGACTCTACTTAACTCATAGGCTCGCATATACAAGTACTTTACCACAATCCAGCAAAGAACTTGTATTACACACACACACATACATTAACTTAATACTAATCGCATGGGATATCCCACACACGCACGCTTAACTTATTCTAAACGCCGCATGGTACCTCTTATTCTAAAATTGCACTCAAATAATCTATGACGAATGCAAAAAACAAAGGGAAGAAAGTTAGAAGAACTTTCTGAGAAAAAGAAAAGAAAGTTAGAAGAACTTTCTGTGAAAAAAGGGGACCATTATTTTTCGCCAAGCGAACCTTGCTTTCCATGGGTCAAAGGGTAGCCCATAGTGACTTACGTGAACCACGACGGCAAAGATGAACCGAAGATACCTTTGGCAAGAACGAGTGATACACCCCAGTTGGCGGAGGGTTCCCATTTCCCCCAGCGCTCTCGCGTCTTACTACAGAGAGGATACCCAGACCGTGATGCCCCTTGGCAGAATGGCGGCGGGTCGGGGAGGCACATCAGAGTATGAGAGGTGCCAACCCCGATCCGCCCCGCCGGGCAAAGAATGTCACTCGCGCTCACCGGCACTTGCAGCTCACCTCTGCCGCGTGTTCATAGCGCTGTGAACCCCCCATGATCCACTTGAGCGCAGAACAATTGACAAAAAATAGGGGGGGTATACTACAAGCTAATGAAAGTTAGAAGAACTTTCTGTCACAAAAAAAAGAAAGTTAGAAGAACTTTCTACTAAAAACAAAGAAAGTTAGAAGAACTTTCTACTAAAAACAAAGAAAGTTAGAAGAACTTTCTACTAAAAACAAAGAAAGTTAGAAGAACTTTCTACTAAAAACAAAGAAAGTTAGAAGAACTTTCTACTAAAAACAAAGAAAGTTAGAAGAACTTTCTACTAAAAACAAAGAAAGTTAGAAGAACTTTCTACTAAAAACAAAGAAAGTTAGAAGAACTTTCTACTAAAAACAAAGAAAGTTAGAAGAACTTTCTACTAAAAACAAAGAAAGTTAGAAGAACTTTCTACTAAAAGA